CACCAATTTGTACAAACTGATTTCAAACAGACTCCAATTAAGGCAAAATTTAATAACAACTAAAAAAGAAAGCACATATAGTCAAGTCCATTATGTCAAAAGCCACTTTGTTTATTTACCAATAGTTAATTAGCTGAATAGTGCAAATACAATAATTACACATCAAAGTAAGTTTATTTATATTACTGAGAGAAAGTTCACTTTATGTGAAATATTTGCAAACTGGCATTGTAGTTTTTATCAGCCCTCTGAAGTAAGCTGAAGATTTTAGAACAATACAAATCCACAAATTCACACCCACATACACACATAAATTATTGTATTATTTCCGGTCCCTGTCATCTGAGAAAACACACATGAACATATTCAATGATGACCCCCATTTATAGGCTATGCAGTAAGAAGAAGAACTCATATCATCTTCGAACGTGAAGCAACCGCTCAATGGAGACATAAATAACCCGGGATACAAAGAAAACCTGTGTAAAGCAATCGTAGCAACGACAGTCAATGAGCTAAGCACTCCTTAGGAGAAGTATCGAGTTGATCGCACTGAATTAGGGAACTAGGAAAGTACAATAAACCAGAAGGCAGTGCTTGGGGTACAAAAATTTCCAAGTATCCATCATCATCATCAGTACGTGGGGTGTTGTATAATAGCATATCCCATATATCGTGATCTAGCCAGATAAACAAAATATTCACATGTCAAACATATCGAAAATCGGGTGAGATGGAGATGAGAACATGAAAGGTTTGAATTGTATACGTAAGAGAAATGGTGAATGATGGAGTGAGTGCGGTGTTCAATCCTTTTTAAAAAAACATAGTTCTTACTCACATTAAGTTGTTTTCACCGATCCGGATTTCGAGCCTTTAGCTCATCGTCAGGTTGAAGGATTTCTACAACACGTCTCCCGACATGAATGAATTCATTTTTAAAAATGTATTTGTATATGTAAGTGTTCACATGCTGAAGACTTCTTTTCAAAAAGCTTTATTCACAACATTGCATTACGAATAAGTTTTACAAAACAGTCGAGATGTCTTTAATGGTGGCTAAAACGATCTAATCTGACGAAGAATAAAGAGGAGGGCATAAAAATGATTTTTTCCGTACTGTTGTTTAAGCAGAAATACGTCCTTGTCGGCGGCATGTATTCAAATCAACAACACCTTATATGACTATAACTTGTATGTAAACTTAAGTAAATATGAAATTTCTAGATGATAATCTTTGACTATTACATTTTTAGCGAGAATATGAAACCCTTTAAAAACAATAAGGCAGAAAGTTCCAGTGCTTGGGAACATAAACCACCACTTCAGTCTCCTTTCATCATCAAAAAAATTTTTATTTGTAAGGCAACTTTTTAACAACTAAAATTCTGTATTTACACTATTTTAAAGTAATTTTAATTATAACATTAATAAAAAAAAATATGACACACAGAATCTTATAAAGGTTATATAGACGAAGTACAATTTACAATGTTTATATTATTATTATGCTACAACAGCTCTAAACTACCTTTGTTGACGTCGTGAATTTTTTAAAAATAAAATATTAAAAGCGAAGAAGTATTCCATTAATTATACTTTTTAGAGGGCTTTAGAGGATGGTCGGAAAAAGGATGAATCGGACTGAAGCATTGGGATGAGAGTACAGGGTTTTGGTTCGTACAAATTGGTCGTGATAATGATATCTAGATGAGGCATTAATTTGCAGTAAGTTCCGATCTGTTGTCAAGTAGACTTTTGAATATTAACATCGTCTGTTCTATTCTTTAGAATTAAGTGTAGGGATTCGAAGTCTTTTGTCGTTGTAAAGTCCCAAATAGCGGACGACATTAGCTACTGTGATAGAGTGAAGGAATGCCTGCAGTGTATACAGAATATAGAATAGGACTAAGAATGGTGGCTTGCGGAACACCCGGCAGAGTGGATAGAAAGTAAAATTGACGAGGAACACTGAAAATGAATGTAATGTGTGCTTCCGATAGTGGAATATTGAGTATACCATCGACCCTAAATTAGTTGTAGCAGGTGTAAAGGGTCATGGAGGAATGATGGAAGTACACCACCTTAACTGAGTGAATGGTATGTAAGTAGTAAGAACGTACTTAAGAAGTGGGAATGTATTTAGGAACTGATTTCGCTGGGGCTGAAATGACCTAGCAGTTGACAGTCTCCACCTACGACTGCCAACACATGGGATTCCGAGGCCTTCTGTTAATTGACTGTAAATGACAAAAGCTGTACTCGCCGGTGGCGGCTCAACGCGCTTTGAACTTATATAAGTAATTAATCAAGACTATTAAAGACAAATACAAAAACTTTAGTTATAAATTTAAGATTTTTTGATACTGGATGGTAACATTACAAGCCTACATAAATATTTTATTTAAAAGACTAGAAAATATCAGCATAGTCGCGAAGTTTTCTGGGTCACACAAGGTTTTCCGCTCGCATTTTGCAAATATCAACGCTAACTCATAAACTTTAGAAATCAGTAAGAAATTTATATTAAAAAAAAAACCATAAGTCTTGATTTTAAATAATAATGAATTGTTTGGGATTTTAATGTTTGTTGTAAGGGTTGATTTGTTTGATTCAGCCCGAACAGTGTATTCAAATTTAAGAGTAAATACAAATAAATAAAAAGATCTGAAAACACAAACCGAAAGCGATTTTATAATAAACAGCGAATAAAACTGTTTATTTTCGACAAGAGTAAAAAACCATAACCATCCTTAAAAAAGAGCTAAATCTAAGTCGTGTTGAGATATGTTTCATCTCAACGATCTATCGATGTCATTTTGCCCACATTACTCATAGATATTCCCGTTTCTGTTTCGGAAGTGTATTTCAAGCGATACTTTCTCGGAATGGAGAACAACTAAAATGGGATCAAAGCTTGTGGATACGTTCTTGGGCCGAAATAGAAACGGGGGTGTTGAATGGGCCTGATACAAAAGAAGCTATCGTTTAGAAACAAGTAGAATTCGTTCCAGCGTGACATTCCTCGCCCTAATTTTTGGCGTACAATTCAGTAGTTGCAAAATTTTACTTTAAGCTGTAAAGGGGTGTTTTGTCATTCTATTAACATTGATAAAGCTTATTAAGTCTTATCAGTATTAATATAAAATATATTATGTAAGTAGTATACGGCATTGTTCAGCCAAAAATCTGATTCTTGAGTCATCTCATGACGACAGAAGAGGACCAAAGTCAGAGTTCGTTTTTTAAAAATTGTGACGTCTACAGAGCCAAACAACACATTATAGAGTGAACCAAATTGTATTTATCATTAGTACCTTTGACAGTGTAAAATTAATTGATGGTCGCATTTGACCAGTAATAAATGAAATGTATTGAAATTGAACTACAACATTAGCTAAACAACGTGCTCTGAAGATGGACTAGGGACGTGGCCCGAAATACATTAGCAAATGAAATATATTGCATAAAAAATAAATGGTGTGTTTAGTTCAAATAAATAACCAACATTTTTTATTTAAATATTGTTACCACCAAATTAAGTCAAAATTGTTAAAAAAATAAAAAACATAATATTCAATGGAGATAACAATCAAAACTAGTTTAGTGTCTAGTAAAGACTAGAAGCTCTGGCGTACCTGAGCACTGTCGATAGGTGACCCTCGGAACGCCTGACTCGAAAAGAAGAGTCTTTCTCACCCGATTAATAACATACCGTGCACACTCGTACACTTAATTTTAGGCCAAAGCCCGCGTATGTGTTTGGCACGCAGAGAATGGTTGTTTGATGAGTTCCATCTAATTGATGGGTTGGCTCCATATAGAGAGCGCGTAGTAATGCAACCCAATATGAGAATTGTGCTTGAACACGGCAGCGAGTAACTGGATCCCCGTGCCGATTCCTGGAGGAAACAAGGGTGTTTCATTGTAAATAGTAATGGTAGTTTTGTGCCCCTTGCGTGCGTTGGGAATGAATGTATTTATTGGCGTGAATGTAGTGAGAGAGAGCCGATGACGGAATATTGAACTGAAAACGTCTTCAGATTTTTTTAGATAATAAATACATGTTTGATGATTCAAAAATTGATTTATAATTTATTAGTAAATTCATGGTTTAGGACTTAGGAGAGACTTTAAAGTTTTTTTGCCTTTTATACAAAAAAAAAGTTTATACGAACTGTTTAGATTTTTCTATTGTAACAAAAAATACGCCAATTTTTTAAAACTTTTTTGTACTTCTTAAAAAATTGCCCAAGGTATTTTCTCACATTTGTTTATATTTAAATGCAAAAACGTTTAGTTTCAATGAAAATTTAGCATCTACACTATTTTTTATTGAACAACAACCAAGGTTTTTGTATTTTTAACAGTTGGAATTATCCAATTTATTAGTTACTTAATCATCACAATATAGATTTTTCCTGTAATCATGGGGTTTTTATGACGGGTATAAATAGATTTTTATTGTACACAAATTTATGAGTTGTTTATATGCTGATTGCAAAAAGTCTCAACATTTCAGAATGATCCAATCGATATTTTAATATTGTAAAATCTCGCTTTTTAGCTTTTTACTGTTGTCTTCATATTTCACGGTGCATTATTTTATTCGTTGCGAAGGCAGTTAAAAAGTAAATAAGCCTCTAGATGGACGCGGTTGAACGAGTATTTGTCAATAGATAAAATCCTCCTTAAGGCTCCACCTTTTAGCTATCTGATCAAAATATTTCATTCGTTTTGTCAAATTTACAAGAAAAAATATTTATTTGTGATTGGATGTTTCAATTATGTAACATATCCATATTCAAATATTTAAGCGACACATGGACTGTTTATGTTGAGTCACTTGCGTTTGAGTACGTCGTTTTATAGTAGTGAGCAAAGAGTTAAAAATATACTTATTAATTTATAATATTGTAGAATATTTATTTAAGAAATTGGAGGCGTTGGTTGGTTATGGTTAATGTAGAATAAAAAAAGTTTTTTATTTCTTTACTCACCCAATGTGATGCAGGAAACTAAGAAGACATCAGCATAAATCTGAGTAACGGTCAAAGTTGTGTAGCCGAAAATCATTGCAGTGATGTGTCCCATGAGGCAATAACCATGTTTGTTGTGTAAACTCGGCAGTATAATATAAGTGATCAAGGTAATTAACAAAAACGGCAGGGATATTATCATTCCGATGGGATATATTTTAGTGGACGTGTCATCTTTATCGTCATCGTCAATGCAGATGAAAGGTTTTATCTCGCTTTCGTTCGAATCCAACTCGAAACAGAACTCAGTGTACTTGTAGCCTTGCTCCTGGTCGACGTATAAAGTTCCATCATCTAAGAGGGAATATTCACCGGGGTCCAGCGACACTTTACTTTCGTTGGGGCAGAACAACGGGCTATAAAACGACGGCAGGTCTTTCCACGGGCGAAACGGATTCAACAATTTGTTGTCCGATGGTGAGCAGATGAAATCTTCATCGAAAGCCTGACCCGGTGGGCAGCATTTCCGCACCCTGTCGAGAGCAGCATAAGCCAGGAGGAAAAACGACACGATTTGTATCGCCAGTAACATGACTGATTTTATCTTCTTTTTTTTATTAATTAAAAAACAAATTTACTCATCCCCTCTTAATTCGAAAACGCGATCTCTCACGGTTCACCTATCAACTAATAAATTTTTTTAATTAACACCAAGTAATCAAGTTTTGATAAAAGGTGATTTCATTTAAAACAAACGACGATATACGTTCCCATTACTAACCGACCAACAACTGGAAAAACTGCCAACGAGCAAATTGGCTCAAGAAGTGAACGAGAAAACGCGAGTTTCAGCACTAAACGTTTCCGACTTTCACCGAGGTTCTTCGGAACTGAATCGTTTTGGCAGGCTTCGCACTAAGCATTGGAAATAACTGGCCTGACGAGCGGATTGAATAAACATTTATTAGTGCCAGATAAACCACGTTGCGTTTTCAAAATATCAAGGCCCTTTCCATTGTTTAGAATCCTTTTGGCCAACTAAGTGACGCACAGCATTATTTGTTAGCAATTAACGATCGAATATACTCCTATATAGGGTGTCCTTTTTTTGATGGCTCGGGATGTTACCTCTTTTTGGAGAAAAAATATTCAGGACGCGTCAGGTGTAGTTCAACATAAAAATTCCGTATACGTCCCTATATATCCTGACACATAATTTTAAAGGATATTTACGCTGAAAACAATGGTACAATCGGATTTTAAAATGGTCAAAATATGAAAAGGTTATGGCAGAAAGTTTGAAAAAACAAAAGTCATTATAGTGTCATTTGGTTTGCTACTTACTAATCACCGTTCATGTTGGAACTGCCTGTCTTGCGTAAAGATTTGCCCTTTTTAACCACTCTTCACCGGTGCTCGGGGGATAGAGTCAGGGAAGATAGATTGACAAGTATTTTCTATTACAATTAATTAAGGTTTTTAGTTGAGATAAAAAAGTTAATGGCACGAGCGGGATTCGAACCCACGGTCTTCGGCTAGATACGCCGCTGCTCTACCACTTCAGCTATCGTGACCTCGATCCACTCGGACACTAACTTCCCATCTCAACCCCACCTTTTGAATTTTCTGAGATGGGAAGTTAGTGTCCGAGTGGATCGAGGTCACGATAGCTCAAGTGATCGAGCAGCGGCGTATCTAGACGAAGATCGTGGGTTCGAATCCCGCTCGTGCCATCGACTTTTTTATCTCAACCAAAAACCTTAATTAATTGTAATATATTAATTGGTCAAGCGGACCACGAAATTAGTGAATTTAAGTATTTTTTATCCTTTGCCGCAGTTCTTCAACTGAGGTTGTTGGGTTATGATTGGCGTAGACCCTGTTTTTTAAATGGCTCCACAGTATAGTCAAGTGGAGTTAAATCGGATGACCAAGGAGCCCAACAGAACGGGCCATGAGGTCCTATCCACCTATCTCGGAAGGGACGATTCAAATAACGTCTCATCTGGAGAGGATTGTGTGCTGGGCATCCATCAAGATGGAGAACCATTCTTTGTTGTTATTGGGGAGGAACATTCTCTAATCGTGTTGGTAAAAAACCTCCCTCAAAAAATTGATGAATTGAGCAACATTTAAATTATTTTCGTAGAAATAAGGTCAAATTAATTTATTTCCGATTGATACTGTGAAACACCTGACAAGAGTACGAAATTCTCGGGTTTTCCTCTGCCCACGTTCGAAAATTCCAACATATGCCATTAGTAAGCCATTATGTATATATAGTATGCCATTAGAGGTGAACTTATCAGTCCATATGATGTATTGAATAACGTTTCCTTCAGCCTCCCAAATCGACATTTGGGCAAGAAACGTTAGAAGCCTGCCATAATGAGAGTCCCGATTTCCCTAGACAAGATGAGTGAGATACGGCATAAATAGTAAGTCCGGAGTACATCTCAAATTTTATTTTATTGAAAAATCTAAAACCCTTTGAACATTTTGGAAAGAAGAATTAGGATTTTATTTATGATAGTAAAATATTCAGCTCCTCGTCGAAATTTCGCTGCGGTTTCTTTTTGCCATAACATTATCATTTTTTTACCAATTTAAAATCAAATTGCACCATTATTTCCAGCATAAAAAATCCGTAAAATAATGTGTCAGGATGTATAGGGTCTTATTTGAAATTTGGAAGCTGAACTGGGCCCTACATCTTTGTATAATTTTTCCCAAAAAAAAGGTAGAAATTAAAAGTTAAATAAACTGCACCAAAAAAATATTAAACACGTATTTTTTATTTTATTTTATTTTGATAGCGTCATTGGTTCAAGATAAATTCAGGCAGGTCCTAAAAAGGACACCCTGTATATCATACTATTTGTTGTATAACATATTCTTAAGTTATTTTTCCTAAATTACAAAAAAAATTATCTTCCAAAATAAAATCTGAGCCGAAGACAAAGTATTATAAGGAAGATATATTTTTCACTGAGCAATGCTCTTACGTTTCCCGGATAAATTAAATATAGATAAAGGAACAGAAAAATTTCTTTTGTTTTCAAGGATTTTTCGAATGTAAAATCTATGCATCATCAATCTACCACTGTTCAGATTTTATTGCTATGATTTTAATAAAAGTTTTACGTCAAATTTTTCTGTATGAAGATAAGAAGTTGATAAAATTCCCCCAAAACAATGAAACTCGTTACACAATAGTGTGACTACAAATCCGAAATATTTATTAAACCATAACTCACTATTTGGTCAAAAGTGCAAATTCAGATTAAAAAAAAGCGAGTAATTTCCATTTAATATAGTCCTACTTTGGCAATCTCAATTTATGGCCAATTATAAATCTAATTATCTCTCGTCTCGCAGGTGGTGTATAAATATATGGTGTTTTATTACGAATTTTTATTGTTTAATTCCAACCAGTATTTGACCTCCTTGAGTCGACTGCAGCATGATTCACCATCAAACAAAGCCCTCAAAGCTTCGTCGACAAGGACAAAAATATTGTGTTAAGCAAAAATAAACGCAAAAAATATATAGAAATCATTCAAGGAGTTCATTCATACTTGAAATGGAGGAGAGCTGTGAAGTCATCTTTCAGACAACGTTTTTGAGAGCCATATATTTTTTGGAGAAATATTTTCGATTATACCCTCGCAAGATTCAGTATTATTGCCAACTGCTGGGAAGAGAACTGTGGCGGTTTATGGACAAGGCAAACATTAAAACACCATAGAGGCTCAAAATTTTCATGGTAGAACAGAAACGTAATAAAATTCAATAAACTACACAAAATAACTTATATGTTTTTCAATATGAAGGGTCACATTTTACAGAACAACAGAGGATCAACACTGGTAATAAGACAATTACTAAAAATTGTAGAAATACTCCTTGAAATACAAGTATGTAAAAAGCAATTAAAAGTCTAATTAACAATAACATAAAATAAAAATTGAAGTATTGTCAATTCAATAGCAGAAAAACATAACAATATTCAATGGAAATAGTTTAAATTTGTGTTAGTATTATATTCTATATGAGATTGCAATTATGGTCAACCTAAAATTGTAAAATTTCGTAGTTTCCTTTTTTGATTAAAGCTGTGAACACACCCTTACGAAAAATCGTGCGTCTGGATTTTGTCTATAAAAATGAAGAACAAATCTTAAGACAGTCTAGAAATCTGTTGAACCTTCAAAACACAAAATTAAAAAGTATCTGAAAGTCTATGATAAGTGACATAACGGCCTGTAGGATTGATAGTGAGGATTTTATTTATAATTGTAAAACAAAGGCAATTTTTTAAACAAAAAATTAATGCAAAAATATATAGAAATTATGCAGGAACAATCACTAAAAGAGGAGGAGAGCTATGAAGGGAAAGTTCTTTCAGCAAGGACGTTTTTGAAAAAGATGAACTATAACGCCATTGAAAAAAAAAATTGTAGACAACTATTTTCGGTTTTAACCCCGCCAGATTCAATATTATTCAAAACTGTTAAAAAAAGCTTTCTCTAGCGGTTTACGGACAAGATAAGCTATACAACTCACAAAGAAGAACTCACAAATCGTACTCTAGAACAGTGTGGAAAATTCGACAAAACTACACAAACTTTTTAAAACTTTAACGAAATGGATGGTACAAATTTTAAAGAACATCGGAGGACCAACACATTTACTGATAATAAATAATAATTTACTGTATATAATAATTAAATACAAACTAGGCCAATATTTCTATCGTGCTGAATTTTCTCTGCTGTTTTGTATTTAAACCAGATAAGAATTGATATGATTAAAATGTTAATTTTTGTTTTTCTAATGTTAAAAAACCCAATATGTTTGGCATACATTACGTTATTTTCGTACTATTTCAGGAATATCTCCAGCTCATGCCCTGGCATCCATAAATGAATTCCTATAAAGGGTTTATAATAAAGTTTCAAAAAGTTACATACAGAGCCATCTATTCTGTATTGCATCTAACGCAGGAAGCTGTCCCTGGAAGCAAATTATCTGCCGCTCTGCCCTCACATGACTACCTTTCTGATTTGATATGAATCATCCAGAGACTACTTTCACAGAATGAAAAAAAAAATGCGCTTGTGGCAACAGCAAGAGATCAAGCAGGAGGATCTTGGAACAGAGTAGGATGCAACTCATGAGGACTCACTACACCGGAAAATGGTTGCACCTGATGAAAGTGTATTTATAAAAAGACTACATTATAGAAAGTGTAGTTCGTTTATTAAAAGAATTAACTTCATAAAATTAGTGAATGGCAACTTTTGTCAAAATCTTGTGAATCTGCTTGCTATTCTTAAAATTTAACTTGTTTCCCTTGCCTTTCATATAAAAAAATCCAAACGTTTAAAATTGTAATATTAAAATATACTTTCGAGAAAGAAAAAATTTTATGTCTTTTTTAATAGTGGCATGTAGCAATAAATCTCCAAAGTCTTGACATAAATTAACGTAAACCCAAACAGCAACATCTTCAAGATTCTTAAGATCGTTTTCTAGAATCTGGCACAATTTTAATAGATAGTTACCATTTTCTTTATAAACAGGAGACAATGAATTAATAAAATTTAAAAAAAATTATAGCAGCATTCATAATTTATTATTTGTTATCCCTCCACTGGCTCTTGTTAAGGGATATGCTAAAAATCTTTCTCGCTTACAATATCAAGATGGAAAAACTAAATTTACATGTATGTTTGTGTGTATATTTACACGCGCGTGCGACACACAACAAAAAGAATGAAAGATTTCATCAAATTTGCAAGAAGCTGGCTAATCTCTAAAAGAAAAGTGTTCAAATTTTATTAAGCAGACCATTGACAATAAATTCGAGAAGAATAAGAGTTTGGTTTATAAATTAATAAAAAAATTATTAGATAATAGCATATACATTTCTTTCACTGTTTACGTTAAGAGAATATTGTGCAAGTGAATGTTGAATAATTGCAATCAATTTTGGAATAGCTCGCAAGTGTTTCAAAATTCAATAGTGTTTTGTGAACAAGCCTTGATAATACTGACAAAAATTAATAAATTATTTTATAGTGGCATTTATAATTTGAGTCGAAATGTGGAAGAATTGTTTTCGACCATGAATTTTGTTGATTAATCTTGGATCGATGGTCGAGACTTGTGTATAAGCGTGCGCGCTCGTTCAGCACATAATGAATTTTCGTAGCATCCACATTTCGAATCGCTGGCAAGCAATAAATGTATAAAAACTTATCTTGTGTGAAATAAATCTGTGACAATGTGATAAGTGTTGTCAACATTATGGATAAGAGAAAAAAATTATAGCTGTATTCATAATTTATTACTTGACATTTAATTATTCCCACTGCTGGCTTTTGTGGGTAAAAGGGCGAGCAGAAAATATTTGTAGCAAATTTATAAATCTTTGACAATGAATATCAAATAAAGAGTTTACAACAGATCATTACAAATTTTTTGTTGAAGTTGTGAGGAGCGGTCAAGAATGTGGTAGTTTGGAAAAACACCTTTTTTTTTGTCGTTTCGACCTTTATTCGGGTCATCTTCAGGGCCTGGGTACAAAACATATGTTGATTGGAAAAAATAAAATTTAAGATGTAAATATAAATTTTGAACTAAATATTTCATACTCACATAAATTGTGGTTGTGTTTTCTTCTACAATACAATACAATTGACGTTTCACAACACTTTCACACAACACTAATATGACACCACAAGAATAGCACCACACTTTATGTGAGTACGAAATACTTGGTTCAAAATTTATATTTACATATTTAATTCCATTTTTTCCGATCAGCATATATTTTGTAATTTACCCAGGCCCTGAAGATGACCCGAATAATGGTCGAAACGTCGGGGAAAAAATGAAAAAGGTGTTTTTCTCTAACTACCCCATTCTTGACCGCTCCTCACGACTTCAACAAATTATGAAACAACAGGTCACTAAGAAACATTCATTACAAATTATTTGGTAGTTACATGTGTAATTTTTTGGCTGTACTGCTGTCATTTTTTTTCGGTTTACGTTAAGCGGATAACAAGGTGAATTTTCTCGATCATAACACTGTAGTGTGTTTAGAAAATCAATAGTACGCGCGAGCGCGTTTACTTTTAATTATATCTATTAAGGCCTTAATTTTTCAAGAGGATCAAATAAATGTTGCAAAAATATGACAAATAAATATTAATCTATATTTTAAAATTAATTGCACTGATTGCTTTGTTCTTTGGACTTGGCTCTTTGATGGACGCTACAATTTTTTTTCAAGTCTTGATTTTAGTTTACAATATAAAAAAAAAGTCTTACCCAGTATGATGCATGTTGTTAATGATATGATTTTGGAAATCAGCATAACGGTAGATAATGCAATGTAGGATAAGAGCATACAAATGCAATGAGATAGCACACAACGCCCGTGGAGGTATTTCAGCTCTTTGACAAAAGCGTAGACACAGCATATCACAGCCAGAAACGGTATTGAAAAAATTATCCCTATCGGATAAACAACGTTCACTTCTCGCGATTCCTCAGAGTCAGTACAAAGGAAAGGCAGTAACTGTTGAGAATCGTTGTAATTTATAAATTCCACACAGTAATGTTCCGGTCTTGTCGGCGGTTCGTCTTCAATTAGTAAATATCCATCTTTCCTGTAGGAAATCTCGCCCGGATCCATTACCACCAGCATGCGACATATGAACGGCCGGTATTCGAGTTTGTAAAAGTGCAAGCCTAAATTTACAGTCGTATTGTTTACTAGGGTATCATTGCTATCGTCCGTGCGAGCACAACCGTGTAATTTTTTTGTCTCTCCGAACGGGCAACATTTTTGTATGACAGTCAGCTCGGCCGAGGCTGTGACAGTTAACAAGAAGAACAAAAACATGACTGAAGAATGATTCGGTTCTTCCTCATCTTCCCACAGCAACTGTCTCACAGAATATCCCCCACTCTTCTCCTTAAAACTGAGTCAGTGGAATTGATTAACACAGAAACTCGACTTTGGTGTTTGTTAAATTTTTACATCGTAGATCTAAAGAATAAGTAAATTTCGAATCGTTTTAATAACCAGGGAAATTGGTAACAATATTAATATTAATAAGTCAGTGGAATTGATTAACACAGAAACTCGACTTATAACTTTTAATTCTCCTTTATTCAGTTATGAAAACAGATTGACACTTATTTTTGTTTTCTCTGTTATATTTAAAATCTATCAATGATTGTTGATTTACAAAAGGTTCCCCCTTTACTCTCAATTTCATGAAGATCTCTAGAACAATAAACAAACATATAAACATAAACATATTATAAAACATGGAGTTTAAGGGTAAATTTGAAAAACTTTGCGGTCTCCAAGAATGACTTGTTAATAGTAAAATTTTTGTTTAAAAAAATTAATGCTCGTAAAAAAACTAGTGTCATTTTGTCAACATCCAAAACTGACGGTCATAACAAAGAGTAGAAAGGCACACCGAAAATATTGCAAATGTTAGAAAAACATTTTTAAATCTAAAATTTTCTATAAAAATTTTTCTAGCATTGCATAAATTCAATGTTTTTTATCTAGAATTTTCTAGCATTGTATAAATTCATAATTTTTTTTCCACATCCTACATGTATTTGTAAAATTCAAACAATGTTTATAAATCCCATGCCCTGAAGATGATCTTAATAAAGATCGAAACGTTGGCACGATAAAAAAAAATGTTTTTCTAAAACCTACGTCACACCAGGCCGCATCTCACGATCTTTTGACTAACGGTCTCTAAACACCACGCATTGCAAATTTGTGTACAAGCAAGTACTCCAAATTGCTGTTGAAAACTGTTGTTGAAATTCGCTCGCAAACAAATAAAAGATGGAGTAAAGTTAAAGCTGGCAAGCCCTTTGCAAGTCCCCAAGGTAAAGTTTGAACAAAAAATTTACACAAACATACTTTCATATTGTTAAAACATCCATATCTGAGGTCATAACAAAGAATAGAACGACACTCGACTCACGAGTTAAACTGCAAAAATTTTGTACAATCAACGACCCCAAATTCCTGTTGAAAGCTATTATTAGATTAATTTGCTTGCAAAGAATGTCAGAAAGGACAAAAAAACTTACTTGTGACAACAGCACACTAAAAAATAGAAGTAAAACATTAAATTCTTTTACTACATGACGAATTGTTTACTCACTATAGCAACAAAAACGACAAAAGACAGCAGCACATAAAAAAATAGAGTGAGAAGTTTATTCTTTCTTTATGACGAATTCTTTAGTAACTATGGCAATTAAATATGAATTTTTTTGCATATTGCAAATTAATTCAAACTAGTGCTACTGCATTTGAAAATATTATGTATTATTATGTGGTAAAAAGATCATTTCATTTTTTCTAATATCAATTCATTACGAAAAAAAATCGTAGCGCTTTTTTTCTATAATCAATTTTTATAGAAATCATGAAGGAAATTTCGGATGAATAATTGATATAGTAAATACAAACTGTCAGAGGTTTATAATACTGTAACAAAGGGAAGTAAAACGTTAAATTCTTTCCCTATATGACAAATTCTTTAGAAACTATGGCAACTATGACACAACAACACTTTCTTTTTCTCTACATGGCTAATACCCAAAACTATTGCATCAGCATTTAAAAAAGAAATGTACAATGTTAAATTCTTTCACTACATGACGAATTCTTTAAAACCTATGGCAACAAAACATGACAGAAAAAACAGAAAACTTTCTTTTTTCTTGATGGTAATCTCACAATCTATGGCAATAGCACATTAAAAAATTGAAGTAAAATGTTAAATTCTTTTTTAGAGCATTTAGCAATCTTTACGAACGATGGCAACAAACATGACAGAAAGAAAAACAAACATGAAAAAAAAAGCAAAAAAAGCAGTACTTCAAACTATATTGCATGCAAGTTCAGTTAATTTTTTCTAGTACCAATTCATTACGAAGTTTGATATTGAAACATGCCAAAAAGTAAAATCTCACTTCTTTTTCTATTTTACTATTCTATGTATTACTAATTCGAACGAACTATGAGAAAAGCACATGACAATCTAAAAAACTAGCACTTTGTCTCTACTTTTAATTTGTTTAATTTTTACAGAAACCATGAGAAAAATTTTAATTGACACATAAATAATGTCATTCTGTTAAACCATCCAAACCTGACAGAGATAGTTAAAAATAGGACAAATTGAGTTAAATATTTCCAATATTTGTACATTCAGCGACCACAAATTCCTTTTGAAAGCTGTTATAAATGATTTCTTACCTCAAGTGCTGTTAAAAAACGAATAGCAAGTAAAAATCTGAAGAATTGTGGATTTTTTAAAGTCTCATCTTTCCGAAATTTCGGCCATAGTTCCGATAATGATTATTGAGAAAAATTAGTATTTTTTCCGCATTTCCATGTGTTTTTGTCACCCTTCGCACGAATATGTTTCATAGAGAAAGAAGTAGGAATCCGATCTCTTTTTGCCGTTTTCTATTACCAAATTTCGTAGAGGATTCTACAAGTAAAGAAAGACATATGAATATTTACCGTGCAAAAGATCACTTTCTATGCAGGGCTGTGCCATAGTTGCTAATGAATTGGTTCTAGATAAATGAACATATAGAAATAGAAAATGTTTTCTTTTTTGCCATCACATCCTGTTGCCATATGGGTTTAAGGATAAGAATTACAAGCCCTTTTCAGTCTGCAAAAATGATTTAAATACAAAATTAAAATTTGTATTAACAATAATAATATACATGCACAAAGGAGTGTTAAAACATCCAAACCTGAGAATCATAGCAAATTATTATTTTGTAAAGACCTCAACAATTTATAAAAAGTAAATTAAAATGTGGAATTCAGTGTCTGAACATCTTTTTACAGCTTTATTTGTCATTTTATCACTACCATTGTCGTCCTCAGGAATGAATTGCCGATCTTTATAAATCCAAAATAGAACATTTACTGAATTCGACAATTTTTGGCAAATCGAATTGACTTAGCACAGAAGAGTTTACTCTTCTTAAAATTTTATTATATACTATTCTCACTTAGTAAAAAAAAAAGCAATACAATAAATTAGAATTTTTTTCAGGTACAGGCCAGGAAAACGTGGTTTTACTGTTGCTACAGCACACAGTGTTCAAGTCTCCCCAAATGATAAAACTCTCAAAAACTATTCGCGAAATAAACCTTTCAAAAATATTTCAAGTCAGGAGAATTCATAAAAACACGCTAGGGCAGCACAAATCGCTCTTATCTCACTTGCCTAGATAATGGGATTTTTAAGTTGACCTTAGGAGTAGTTAATCTCCCAAAGACAAGTCGAGCTAGAAATGTGCAAAGTTCTTCGCTTGTTTGTTTTGTCCAGCAACTGTTCTTTATGAGAATTGATCGCTTGACAAGTGTCCACAATCCATATATCGCATTTTTCCCGTTTTGTTATTACGCTGTTCCGTTTCTAGGGTTTTACGTAGTGACTCAAACGCCTGAAGATAAAAGAAAAAAAGATAACACTTCCGTTTATTCATGCGCTTTGTCAAAACAAAGAAGCAAACTTGCAAATTAAAATCTGAAGATTATTTTTATTTCTTTATATATAAACCGTTAAGAGAAACGAAATAGGTCTTGATGGAACTTTCTTACAGAATGTACAGATATTTGAGATAATTTACTGCGTATGTGAGATATAAATCAACCTCCATCTTTCTATCAGCATTAGAGACAAGCCATTAAGAAAGTCATTAACATAAAATTAAGTAGCAGCGTTACCCAAATTGCATTTATTTTAATGAATCCAATAAGCAAGAAACTGAAAAAAGCTTACTTTTTCCTTTTATAAGCAATATTATAAGTAACTATGGTGTGAAAACACTGGACAAACCTGAAATGTTCTACTACTTCTTTCCCAACACGGCCATTTTGTATGAAGCATGGCAACAGCAAATGGAAAAAAGGTAACTTATTTATCTATATGGTTAATTTTTACAAACTAAGACAATAGCAAAAATAGCAGTAAAAAGGTTAAGTTCTTTACTACATGACGATTTATTTGAAGGTATGGCAAAAGACATTTTAAAAAGAACAAAAAAAACTTTTTTTCTTTACAGCTAATTCCTACAAACTATGGCAATAACGCATTAAAAAGGGAAGTAAAATATTAAATTTTTTACCACATGCCGAATTCTTTACGAACTATAACAATAAAACATGACAAAGACTTTCTTCTCTATATGACTAATACATTTCACACAGGTCTTGAAAATATATGTTCAAAAAAGTTCACCTCGTTTTCTCTAATACCAATTAATTGCGAAGTTTGATACCAAAACATGACAAAAAGTAATAAACTTACTTCTTTTCGTCTGTTACCAATTCGAACGAATTAAGAGAAAAGGACATAAAACGACAAAAAAAATTATGATCAATTCTTACAGATCGTCATAAGCGGAATTACGGATGAATGGAGATATAATTGAGGTAGTGAATAGAAATATCCAGAAGTTTACAAAACTACGACCTATGTTGAAACTGTGCAGCGCTGTTATATTTAAATTTAAATTGTGTTTTGTTTCATTTAAATGGTCCTTAAATTCAGAAAATTTGTTCGATTTGGGCAAGTGTTGTTTAACTCTCGTTTTAATTTCTCTGCCGCTTTATCTTATATATTTAATATCGCAATTATCACAATTATGTTTGTAACCCCACTTTTGAAAGGATGTTCCTAAGTGAACACGCACCTCTAAAAGTACTACTCGCTAAAACTCTTTTCGTTTAGGAATTTTACCTACTTTTCCCATTGTATGGCAAGCTACGAAAGCCTAATGTAAAAAATATATAATAGAACCCTTAAATATATGACTATTATCTAATTACTGTAAATTTAATAATATATTTTATGAAATGAAAGGGTTATCAATGGAGTCTCCATTATCCCCACTTTGGGCCGAAATATTCAGGGATAACTTTGAAAAAAATCTTTTCAAATCAAATAACAAATTAATTTAATCTGTCCTTTTTTGGAAACGCTATGTAGACGATATTTTATGTATATTGTCAGGAACTCTATAGATCTAAAAGAATTCCTCCAATTAACTAAGTCATTACACCGTATAAATTTTACATTGAAAATAAATAAGATGGTTGTTTAAAGCATTTTGTTATTCTCTGACATTTGACATTTTGGAAGGCTGCTTGTTTACTCTTAAACTCTGTGAAGATCTTTGGGAAAAAAACAAACAATGGAATTCAAAGATTAAAAAACTAACAAGCCACCATAGAAAAATTTGCTTTAAAAAAATCATTTACACAAAAATAATGTCATACTGTTAAAATATCCAAGCCTCAGACATAGCAAAGAATAAAACATAGTTAAATATCGCATTGGTTTATACATTCCAAATTGAAAAATCCTATTGAAAAATGTTCCCTCAATGTTATTAAAAAACGAATAAGAAAAAATACGTTATATAGTATTACATTATTTTAAATTATTTTTTTATATCTTTTTTATGAATCGGGAGGGACAACAATATATTTTGCTTTTAATTTCTGGCATATTCCTGTTCTCTTACTAGGACTGTGATTTATTTCTTGTTGGATCAACATTACCAGAATTCATGAAAATACAATAAATTTTGTAAAAAAGGCTAATTTATTTTATGTTAATTGCTTTGAAGCTTTAATGAGTCAAGTATATCTATGAATGTTTCCGATTAAAATCTTACAAATGGAGTCCATGTAGGATTTCCAAAAAGCTCTATCGTTTATTTTATTATAAGTTTATTCTTTATTTATTTCATATTTTGAAACTTCTGTACGTTCTAGATAACTTTTTGCGTGTATGAATCGGTGGAAAAATCACCAAACCATTCGTCTCTCTCTCTCTCTCTCTCTCTCTCTCTCTCTCTCTCTCTCTCTCTCTCTCTCTCTCTCTCTCTCTCTCTCTCGCGCGCGCTCATTTCCTCCGGTCCTTGTTCTCGCTATCACTATAATATTTCTCTCTAAAAAAGGTTTTGTATAAATGATTGTTTTAAAATGGTTTTCGAGTAAATACATATATAGTACAAATACTATATATTTTTTAAATGAATAAAATAAATAATATTAAACATAGAATTTCTTTTTGAAACGGGCTCCAGGAATAGAAGGTCCTTAAGGAACTTTTTCCTAGATCCTTAATTATTTATTTAAAATTTACATTTAAACATTTGATAAAATTTCATTCTCTGTCACTCTCACTCTCACTCACTCACTCAATCGCTCTCTCTCTCTCTCCCCCTCTCCCCACTCTCCACTCTCGCTCATCTATCTACATATCTATCTATCTATCCATCTACCTACCCATTTACCCATCTACCTGTCTCTACTTTGTACCTAATAACATTTCGAAGTTTTGTGCTAATCAAAATGAAACCAATATTAGTTTAAAAAAACTTATTTTTGAAATAGGACCCGGGAACGAAAGGACCTCCAGAACCTTGACTTTTACTTCATTTCATAATTGTACATACAAAATAAAATATTTTGCTCTTTTCGCCCATTTCAAAACCGTTCGAATTGCGTTACATTTAAAATTAGAAGTGAAGGGAAATTTAGTGAGAAATCCGTCCCACTTTCGCCGAGTGTCCGCTTTCGAATGACAACTTGTCAGTGACAAGTGAGGAAACACGATAAGGATTATCCATTCGATTTTATCGCTATTATTTATTACATTTTCAATGAAAATGAGCGGTTTCAGTCAAGAGAATAGCAATTTGAAGAAAAGGGAGTACCTCAAACAACAACAACAACTTCGAAACTTGACTAAAACGAGCAGCGTAAGAGTTTATTTTGTTTTACTATAAACACATCTGCGTCAATGAAAATATGTGGAATGTCATTCCAGGTCATAAGCGCTGATGACATGATTGAAAACTTGCTGTCGAATAAAGAGATTTTTCAGAAAAAGAAGGATCCATGTGTCAGCAGCCAGCCTTCAAAAACGCATAATCAGGCATGTATTGTATAACATCTATTGTTCCAATTTGGCAATGTTGTTTCAACAAAAATGAGTTTTTTTTGTATTATTTTAACGTTTAGCCTTACAGTTTTTGTGTGAAAAATTGTCGTGATGTCTGTGAACCTGTAGATATTGGTTTTCTGTTTAAGTTGCGTTTCGGTTTAAAATATTGTACCAAATATATAACACACACCGACCACAGAAGATGGTAAAATGCCGAGGCATACCTGATAGGTTAAACTAGTAAAAGTAGGCAGACTAGGATGTTGATGCTGGGTGTCGGTGAGCTCATGCTGAACCACCGTTGGGTCCATCTTCACTCAAGCGCATTTCGGCCATGCGCCATCTCAGTGAGGAACTCCTCTTTTCCCTTACAAATTCCTCAATGAAGACAGACCCAATAACTGAACTACAGGTTCAGCTTGAGACCAGGATTTGTGCACGTGTTGACTTAATTACGAACATCCACCCTTAACTTTAGACTTGGATGTTCTCATGCTACCACATCATATGAGATTTTTTTATACTTTGCATATTACTTTAACGAATTTAAATTTAAGTAAGCAAGAAACTAACAGAATATTCATATGATTGCGTTTTTAGAATGCTGGACAATGGCCATCCTGGTTGACCCCTGGAAAGGAACCTGCCCTTTACAAACAAGTTTGGGCCCACGTCGGCCTTCCGAACGGCTTGGCCGATACCACAAAAACCTCTGCTCTTCTTCTAACAAGTCGTATGACAACAGACACCCTTGGATATATTTGGAGTCTGACAAATCTCACAGTGCCGGGGTCTTTAACTCAACAAGAACTCTATGTATCTTTAGCCCTGGTTGCTCTGGCCCAGGTATAAAATAACTATTTAAACCATTTATTTGAATAATTATAATTTTTATTTTTAGAATGGTTACACTTTCACTAATTCGAATGTCGTGAAGCAGTTATTAGAAGCGCCGATGCCTAAGTTGGAATTAAACCCTTGTGATACTCTAAATCTCCAACCTTTTTCAAATGTTAACACCCCAGCACTTCCTTCACCGACAAATAATTTGTCCACGACTTCTCAGCCACTGTCCGTTATCAACTTGCAGATGCCGTTAACTGGCCAACAAACGAACGTACCTACAGTTACAGAAACTCTTTCCCTTTTAGATATATCATCAGAGCCTGTCTCACTTTTAGAATCTTCCCCTGTAAAAACTCTTTCGGTTCTATCTGCCACAGATTTGAATAATGATTATTCCATCTCTAATATATCCACAGCACCAGAGGAATCTCTTATATTCGGTGATTTTCAAGCAAATGAAGATGATTTTGATGATTTTAAAAGCGCCGATGCTTTCATGACCAGCATGAACAATTTGACTGTCCTCGATGTCAAAGACCCATTGGATTTAGTCAATATATCTCCACTTAACGAATTTAAAGATGTTCAGCCTCAAACTGTCCACTCAAACAGTGATGATTTTTCGATCTTTGATGATTTAGGCGATGTGACTCAACCTCAAACATCTGTGCAGATCCCTTTAGAAGTCGAAACATGCGATACGACGAGTCAACACCAAGAGAAAGCTTATGTCGAAGACCTGTTTCCAAAATGTGTGCTTAAAACCAAAAGTCCACCCTGCGAAAAAGCAAGTCCAGAATGCCTACAGCCTCCAGTTTTACCGTCACTTTCTGTTGTTGAAGAGGATCGTTATAGTGCGCTGAGAATTTTAGATTGTAGTATTCAAGGTGATGAGCACCAGGAATTTGATGAATTTGGGGATTTTCTGACAGCCTCTGCACCTGTAGAGACTCCATTAGAATCTCCATTGCAAACTAACGAATCAGATGTTCAGGTAGTTTTCTCATAAAACAATCGGTCATAATTTTGTTGTTTTTTATTTATTTTTTGGTGATAGCTTAAATGTCTTGAGGCTTGCTTGCAACTGCTAAAAGAAGCTGTTAATATATTGGAATCAATTGAAGATACCAAAGTATTAGAAGAAGTAACATCAGATGAAAGGGGTCGAACTTTCTTAGAAGGTAATCAATTTTTTTTTTTTTTTTTGTCACCAGAAAATATAAAACAATGTATATTTTGCAGAAATTGTTGAGGTTGAAAGAATCGGAAGGAGGATCAGATCTAACAGGGAAAAAAGCCAACATATAGCAGAATTTGAATCATTATCTCAGTCTTTACAGCCGTTTATTGAATCGGTTAAAAACAACCATGTAATTTGGAAGATATAAATTTTAAAAATGATAAAAATTTTATGAATAATTTTTGTTTTAGATGGAAGAACAAGAAGGCCCCAAATGTGGTCTGTGTCAGATGGAGTACGGCCCAGCACATGTTAAGTACGGCATCAATCATTTCCACGCACCATGCGCAAATCTGTACCTTCACAAAGTGGATGCCGTTCTTCCCATTGCACCAGTCATGTGATCACAGATATCACCGTTTTATGCGGTTAAAATGAGTAAAAAGTAATTTATTGATCCTAATCGGCAACCCGTTAAACATCAAATGGTTCCTATTTTAATAGAATGTCCTATGTAATCGTGTAAATAATATGAATTTGCATTTTTAAAATAATTTTCTTGTTTAGCAAACTGTAGTATTACTTAAATTGTATTAAATCTGTTTTTATTAGGTAATATAAGCAAAACCCAAAAGTATCTGTGATATAAATTAAATATTATATAAGGTAAAACTGTATTTTGAAAAAAAAAATGCTGCACTTATAGGAAAATAAGGATTGTTTATTCCATAAGCCAATCTCCTTTATTTACATTGTTTTTTATTCATAAATAAAGTAATATTTTATTCGTTTTGTGTTTGTCAACAACACGGTCTCTAATTTGTTTTGTGATTTTCACCCCTGTTGTTTTTATGCTCAGCCTGTTGAAAAAATATATTAAAAAAAAGATAAGAAATTTTATATAAGATTTATATAATGTAAATTTAACAATACCTTGTTTTCTTCTTTTCTTTTTCTATTTTCCTTTATTTTCTGTGGTATAACACTTGATGTAGTGATCATATTGCCCATAAATAATATAAAAAAGAGCATTGCCAGTACAGAAACCTTGAAAATAATTTTTTTAATTATACATCACCTCGACTTGTCAAAATGATTTATACTCCATACCTGCCATGGGGAATCAACTTCATATGTCAGTTGGAACAACACCCAAGCGTTGTAAAGCTGGAACAGATAGCCCAAAAATAGGAAAGGCAACAAAAATCCAAGACCCCTCCACATCCAAGAATGAAATCCTTCTATAGTTATGTCCATGTTGTGTCTTTCGCCAAGTGCTTTCAATCTATAAAGCACACCTTGCTGATACCTAAACTGAAGGTACTGGACTATACCTGGAAAATAACTTTCCAATTAGCATTTTTTTTTGTTAATGATATTAAAAGATATTTTATTAAACTTACTAATATAAACATTAAACACCATAAACTGAGGCCTGAATATGTACCAAGATGGTGATTGGGGCCATACTAGTAACACTGCCGAAGCAACTGTTGATATAAAATGGTGTAATCTCCACCAACCTTTAATTTTTGAACCATTCACTTTTAATATACTTTCCCGAATTGTCAATGTGCAATAATACCAAACTAATAAAAATAAAAACGAAAGTTCAAGAGCCCTGGAAAAAAAAATTGTCAAAGCTTAAAACATAATTTTTAAACAAAGGAAAAGGATTATTGGGAATAATCTGAAATGCAAACATTTGTATTCATGCTATCTAAAGCTGCATTTAAAAAAAGGAAGATTTACATAAAAGGTAATTTATTACCTTACGTTGGTGCAAAGGTTGATAACAGATAATAAAAAGCCTATGACACTTAAAACAAGTTTGAACTTTTCATATTCATCTTTATACTTGAACCTATGAAAATGAAAATAATAAATTAAATTGCTTATTGTTAATAAATTTTTAATATTTACTCACTTGTCATTTTTATTCAGTATAGAAACATTAACATTCCCTAATATTATTTTGAGGTACATTCCGTTTGGTTTGGGTAGTGTTTGCGCTATTTCGTTTAGATTTTGCTCTCGAATTTCGAATTCATGCTGCATTCTCTTTATTTTTTCTTTTTCTTCTGGCTCTCTGATATTAAAACTTAAAAAAAAATATATATATAAATAAGAGATATAAATTACTTTCTATGCCTCTTATTCAAAATTATTAAAACAGCTTGTTGAGATGCATCTATTCAGACAGCCAGGAGGCACTGAGGATAATTATTACTGCAGTGGTAGTAAAGTTCAGAGTAGTTTGGGATTGCATTAGGGCCCTGTCACACATTAGGAAAACAATAAAACTATTCTTATAAGTTCTTTGTTCAATGGGAATGTAATCCAGGACAGAATAATGTGAAAAAGTTCATCAAAGAACCATTGCAGAAATTAACAGCACAACTACTAAATCTAGGACTAGAATGATAGTTGTCAAGAAGAAGAAGAGATAATGGCCATGTCCTCTGTTATTATTTAAAAAAAAATTCCAAAGCGTTGTGTGAAGGCTTATGTACACTGAGATTCCTACTCTGGGATAGGAGAAGTCCAGGCCTGAAGGATACACATGGGAAGCTTTAGGATCTGGTAAAAAGTTTAAGCTCTAGGCAATAATGGAGATGCACAATAGACCAATACCGGCTGCGGAGGTCAAAAAGAAACCAACTTAACTTAATATTAATGTTCGTTGAGATGCAATATTGAAATTTTCAATATATTTTATTAATACATCATTAGTTACTACTTATATTCATATACATTATTATTACTCATAACATATTTACTCACAATGTGCATGTTATGTTTCTAACTTAAAAAATTAATAAAAGAATAATGGTTGGACTGAATAAATAAACAAGCTACTCGGTTTCAAGCAGTCATTGATTAATATATGGTGAAACATGAACACCAAATTTTGAGTCAAGGCACACACAGAGATTCAAAATAATGGAAAGGTGTGGGCTGTTTTTCCACATCAAGAAAAAGTAAACAAACCAGCCATCATGAAAACTGTTCATGAGCAGAGCAACTAGTTTCTACTAGCTTGGTCCACTTATTTATAGATTATATATTATGATAGGGATAATGGTGTTATTTTAATTTTGCCATATGTTTTGGTAATATAATTTTTTGTATAAGGCGAGGAATATCAGACAGTTCAGCTTTAATAGAATTTGTATAAATTTCTTCTCAATCTTCAATCCCTGCTTTCCTCTTACACCCACAACATAAATGACAAAACACACTCAATCACCATTTTTGCTACTGTTGGTTCAGCTAATAGAAAAATTGGTCCGATGCCCATACACAGTAAAACGTTAACACATGACAAATATGGAAAATATGCCTTACCCGGCCATGCCACCTGATTTGAGAATCGTTTTTAAGCATATCAATGTTTTCTCCATCATCTTGTTTATTTTTGATTATGTATAAAGAGATGCTTTAAACCCCAAATTGACTATTGATTAGTCTAGTTATACATTTTATTTACAGGAAGATGTAAGAAAAACAACTATTTTAAATAATTTGCAATCCTTGAAGCTTAAATAACAACTTAAATAAACAGAATGGACCTAGATGACCCTGAACTCACTGTGTGAATTCTTAATTCTAATTAAAACAATAATAAAATGGTGGTGCGATTTTTTTTATGTCTACGGACTGAAGTCTTGTAATTAATCAATAACAATAGTTTTGGTCTGCTTTTAACTGTAGATTTGTACCACTTTAAAAAAAATTATGTGAAATATCTGTAGTTTGGTTGCACATGCAACTATTGTGCTCCTACTCATATAGGCTATACCTTACAATCTAGCTTAAGCTTTTTATAAGACTCAACAGCTTTGATAATGGCACTTTTATGTTTGTTAGATTGAGTTTCTTTTTTTTTTTCAGCCTTGAATAAGTAGTTATTTCTCTCGTACAGGAGGGCTTAAGGTCCAACTACCTGTTGGGTGTCGTGGATGAGGGATCAAACCAATTTACAAAACTTATTTCACATTACACTCAATTAGAAAACTTGAGCTATGCCAGGATTCAAACCCAGGACAACTAGCATGGCAAATACGAGTAGAAAACTTTCTTCTCGTTAGACCTTCGCATTGACATACTGGAATTTCCTTCCATTTTCAGCAGAATCTAGATCTATCATCTGCCAAATATTTTCATATGCTTTTTGTGCATGAGTTTGGACTGTCTTATTTGACAAAGACTTTTACCTGTCTGTCCTGGGGTTTTGTCCCACCAGATATTTGTCGAAACTGATTAAAGGCACTTGTAGCATATGGTACATCACATTCGAAAACTTTGGACATCCATAAGGGACTGAGTTTCCCACTATATTGTTAACGATTTTTAAGGTTTTACGTATGGGATAGTCTCCTTGGTGGCAATGTGAGGGGGCGATAGGCTCACCTGGTGAGGGAGGAGTCTCGGCGGGTTGTGGGGCTCGATGAAGTTAGATGTACTATGGCTAGATTGAGGTAGTAAGGGGGGGGGAGATATTTGTCAAGTTGACGGAGAAAATATGCAAAATCAGGCATACTATCAGGGATGATCAAGCAACAGACTTCGTTTCAATTTTTTTTTTTTTCTCCACAAGATTGTCTCTTGTGTGGCAGAAGTATCAATTTAATGGGTTAAAAATGAGTTTTTTAAACTATATAGTAACAGTTGACAACTTACTTTTTAATCGATTTCTTGATGCGTCCCATTTGATAATGATGATGTCCAATTTCTTTGGAACATCTTGATTGCATTTCACAAAGTTGCTCCATCTTTTCTAAATATTCTTTGTTAAATGCCTGCAAAAGAAATATATAAATATAAATTTTGGCAGCTAGGTGTGAAAAAAGAATGAATCAAGGTAAAATTTTGACCTCTAGTGCTTTGAACTCCTTGCCCAATTCTTCCCAAGTCTCTACACAGGCGTCTAACGACTGATATTCCATTGTAAAAAAATTAGAAAAGAACGTTTAAAAAGTTAAAAAGGCAGGGAATAAATCGATCTTGGGTGGATGATTTATTGAACGTGTGGTAGAAAGAAAACTCGGCAACCACTTGCAGAATGAAGTGACAGTGTGTATTAGGCACAGGGCCGGGTCACACCCTCCCGAATATTCGGTTCGTTCGAAAACGACTCGGCTATGGGGCGGGCATCGTGTTGTCAGGTTCCTCACGTAGAGTTTCAGTGAAAAGCGTGTTGTCGAATGACCATCGACCAGACCACTGATTTACAGACGGGAGTCAGACCTTACGAGAAGGTAACCGCGACTCACGGCAGTGCGTAGAGACGGAGTGGAAAGCGAAGGGCTTAACGATGACGGTCGTCACCCGTTCTACAAACTGACCCACAAGTGCCATCGTCCTTTCCTCCACATCCTCTTCGTCTTTTCGACAATGAAATCTTCTTCTTCTGTGTTATCCCCCTTCCTTGTACATTTGTAAAACTAACCTCCGAGCGATGTAATTTTCTCTTTGGCAAACCTATTTTCAAATATAACATTTAATACAATTTCATTATTGTAATAATTAAAAATCGACTAGATCTCACCTGTGAAAAAATTCATAGAAATCTTCATTTAATGTTCACTTAAAATTTAATTAAACCATTTCCCCGAAAGCTAAGATTTTGTCCATACCAGATGTAAAAATGTTATCGAATAAAAAATATTAAGTTGATCAAAGGTAATATAGGTTTTTTTTGTTACAACTAGTATTCAATTATTTTTTCAAAATAATTAATTTATAATATGCCGAATGTCATATTTTCATTAATTTTATAATGCCGACTGTTTGAATTTATCCGGAAATTACTAATAGTATGACAGTAGAAATTATAATTTTTATTACGTAACGGTTTTTTTGCTAAAGATATTATCTTTTTATTTATAATTTGTGGATTTCAAAAAAATTCAAATTGTTTTTTTAATACATTTTTGTTTAATTTTTACATTCAATTTTTTGGACGTTTCTGGAACTTACAGTTATAAAAAGGTCATATATCTAAAAAAAAAAGATATATAATGAAAATTTTAAAGTTTATCTAGGTACTTTTTTTGCCTCCTTTTTGGAAAGATAAAAAGTACGAATACTTTTACAAGAAAAAGGAGGCAAAAAAGTACCTAGGTAAACTTTGAAATACATTTTCCTAGCGTTTATGTTTAAAATCATTTTCTTACACTCTTTCTACAATATTTAGGGTGTTGGGTATCGGATTTGACGGAGTGTCATCGAATTTCCCTTTTACTATTACCAGGTCATCATAGCTATTCTAAGCTGTTAATCTTTTTAATTAGATAATCTGTTACTAGCAATCCCCCTCTTTGGGGGCATTAAATACAATTGGAAAATCATTACACCCCCGGCAAACACCACTTTTAAGTATAGAGAGAACAAGACTGGGAACAGAAGACAGCCTTGTTTTACCCCGTTTATTGTATCGAAGTACACTGACCATACAAATTTCTTATTGTGTTTATGAATTTGTTTGAGCGGCCATATTGCAATAAGTTGTGTGATAACAAATATGGTAGGGTTCAAAGGCTGCCCAGAATCGACAAAAAACAAAAATAATTGAAATCATCTTTTTATACCTCGTTCCTCCCACTTAGAATTTATTCAATTAATTGATCTAAAGATAAATCTATTATGGAATACTACACACGGAATACTTCTTGAAATTCTTTTTTTCACAGAGAAAACACTTCAAGCCTTTTTTCGTTGATTGGACTGTTTTATCTTTCTGCTCAGTAAAATATCTTTAATTGATGAGATAGGGCAGTTATCAGGGACTGTTGGAAATAATTTATAGTAAATTTGCTTAAAAAATCGGCCTTGGGGCACAGCAGCGGGCATAGTTCGCGTTCCAACAGTTCGCACCTCCGGGCCATAAATATTTTTTTTAACTGTACATAAATCGTTATGTGTTTATGTTTGTCTATATTTTTATTGGAAATCCATATATGTATTTTTAGCGAGAATGTAGGGGCAGACCCACCGAACCCGAGGAATATCAAATACTCGGAAACGAATGAGTAAGTTAAGTGTTGTATTATTGGCTTAAATGAAAAGGAGGAGTAAGAAACAGTTCTTGTTTGAGTCAATGAACTGAGTGAACGTAATTTATTAGTGTGAAAGTAGAGGCCCCGATGAATCGAGTAGTCTGGGGCAGTGTGAATGAAATCAGATGTGCGAATGTAATTTATTAGCGTGAATGCAGGAGCTTCTTCTCTAATAGCCACCATTAATATTTAGTACTTGGGAGCAGTATGAATATAATTTATTAGCGTGAATGGAGAGGCTCCTTCCCCAATTACCCCAAGGAATATAATGCAGAATGAATGCTAACCAGATTAACTTATTTTTAAATATATATTTTTTTATTACACAATCTATCCTTGATTGACGAGGCCCTAGGGTAGAGAGAGGCTGGTAACCAGAGAAATGAGAGTCTAGTCGGTTACTTAACATTCAAAGCCTAATTGACATGAATATAACTTGACTGTAGCGTCAGAAAAATGAATTAGGAACAACAAAATGCAAGAAGATAAAGAAAAAACTACCAAAGAAGAAGAGGCTGGCGAGGACCAATTTATCGTACTTTACCGGCCATAAAATTATAAAATTTTATGCTGTGTATATATGTTGTAAAATGGAATACAGACTAAAATGTTTTATAGATCCCTGATTGCTTTTTTTAAATTGGAATAAATAAACCAACAATAAGATAAACCACATTAATTAATGAAGCGAAAACAATTTCTCTGTTCTAGCTACAATCCATTCCATTTGACGACGAAGAAAATATTCTTGCGCAAATGTTAGTTTATAAAACCATACTGAAAATGTGAAACAGAGGCTGGGTCGTCCAATTACGTGGGTTCAAACGTTTCTTCACATCCATTCGAAAACTTCGTGGGCGTCTGTTGATCTCACTTTCGACACAGCGACAAATACAATAAGGTGTTCATGCTATAATTCAATTTAAAACTAGACGAATTGAGTGAAAATGTCCCCATAAAGGAACAAAAATCAATTTTTCAATTATCAATATATTATGGACAAGCAAATTTAAAACGAACAATTGTTCTATTTTTTTTAACTTGTATATGCAGAAAATTGGTGTAATCAATTATCGAACTGTGAACTATTTTCAAAACCCAATGAGCATTAATACCACATCTCGGGGGTTCTCCGAGCATCAGAAAAAACTTTCCCACGGGTCATTATGCAACTGGGCATTAATTGTAATTAATTAGGATTGAAGTTAAACATGTCTTTATTATTTGTACAATCAATAGTACGCAGATATTTTTACTGTTTCGTGTGGATCTTGGTACAAAGTCCTTAAGCACTCTGATATTTTGTTTTCCAAGTTGTCTTTCCAAAACTTTGAAGACATTTGCATGATGGCAAAATCGATACAAAGACCAATAAAAACTATATCAGCTTTCTTTGTTTTTAAATCTGTTTCGAAAATAGTTTACAATACAAACTAGGTCACGAGTTTCGCACAAGTACGATTGTTCTGAGTGACTTGCCCGTCAGATAAATAAAAAAGGTACTCTTTTCTCAAGGTTCAATTATGCACAAACTATTTAATAGAGTGGAAAAAAACAGGTTTCGTTTTAATATTTAAATTTTCAATGTTTTAAATTTACAAATCAACAGGTCTTGGATATATAGGTCATGCCCTGCTAGCCGAACTTCGGGATTTCCGCGTGGGCTTGAAATGCCTTCTGCAACTATCTTTCGCAACTGAGCATCGCGTTCCACTTCTCCTTTCGATGGGCTTCAGGCGTTCAGTTCTTCGTTTGCACCCTCTCAGCAATGGATCTGAAGGTAAGGCACGACAGTTTCACACATACTATCTATTTTTTTTTTTTTTTTAATTTCATTATTATATTTTGTGTCATAATTAGACCAAATATAGTCTAAATTTGGTATAATGCATAAATCTTAGATAATTATGTAATACCATTATGCCTTTCTCTTCCTTACATCCTGAATCATATATTAATATAGGTTTCTATTTTTCTTTTAAGTTCATATTCTGGCAAAAAAAGTTTAATAGTAAAAAAAATCACCTACAAATTTAACGAAATGTCTGTACATTTGCATAAATGTACATACAAGTTATAGTCACATAAGGTGCTGATATTAATACATGCCGACGATAAGGACCTTTTCTTCTTAAAGAAAAGAAGGGAAAAAATCATTTTTGCGCCTTCCACTTTATTTCTCGTCAGATTAGATCGTTTTAGACACAAGTAAAGACATTTAAATTATTTTTTAAAATTTATTCATGTTGTGAATAAAGCTTTTTGATTCAGCGAGTGAAAACTTACATATAAATTCAAACCTCTTATCTTCATCTCACACGCTTTTTAATATGTTTCAACAAGGGCGCGATAATGTCGCAAGGAATCTTCTTAGCTGTTGTACCTTGGATAATATCCTTTCCAAATGTAAACCTGGATTTGACATCCTTTCTCAAAAGTATCAGGTTGTTGAGTTTCTCCAAGTTTTGGAGATTTTGGATGCATTCACTGACTAATTTTGATGTGATTTTTTTTACATTCTAATACTTTAATAGCTGCTTGGCTATCCGATCGTATGAGAATTTTTTGTCAGTGTAATCATTTTTAAGATGTTTATCAAGGCATAAGCGTTGATGGCATGTATTTGAACTTGAAAGACCGAGGTGTACTCATCAACTAATGAGTTTGATTGCTTATATTTTGGGTCTGTTCAGGAAACGCTTGATCCTGTTTCTTCATTTGTTTTGGAGCCATCTGTATACCATACTACATCTGATTTCTTCTCGTTTGAATTATGTTGATTTTTTATAGTATGTGGAGAAGGGATCGTGTAGTCAGTCTCCATATCTAACAAAAGGTGTTTGGTTTTATTAATTAACATCCTACATGCAGATATAATAGCTCCAATTAGAAAAAATGCGTGGCAACAATGGCAGAAAGCATGGGCCAAGATAAATAACCACAAGCGAAGGGTAATAAAGCTGAATGTTTCACACTGGAATTTTTCTTCCCGAACGACAAAACAAGATGAGACCATCTTGACTCGTCTCAGAACAGGGCACTGAATGCGGATATCTAGCTTGATCTCCTTTTTGTAAAACCTGAGGAATTAGTCCCAGTAAAATATATAATCGAATAGTGTGTTAAATATGACCGGGATAGAAGACAACACCGCCTGGCCAGTCAATTGTCGGAGATTCTTGGAAAAGATTCCTCGAATATAGACAATCTGTTTGCCTTCTTACGAACTATTAAATTATTGCTCAAAATTTAAATCACTCTAGCCATCTAGTTATGAGGCAGACTGGGCGTCTTGCTAGCATGCATGCTCCTCAGATGATCTGCGTAATAACAATTAATGATGACCACATCCCTGAACTCTAACTTCCTGGTGATATCCTGACGGTCGATTCATCCTTCCTTCGTAATAACAATTAAGTGCAGATGCATTAATTTTTGGAGTAAAGGGGAGTGTGTTGCGTCGTCTGGGCTCGCCTTATGTCCTTCATAAAGTTTATGAGGTTATGAGGATTAAGGTGGAACATAACCCATTGAGGTTGATCGCTTTTTGTCATTAAAACAAAAATCTGACGTCGATATACAACTGAAGTCAAAACTAAAATAGAATCGAGCATTAATTTATGTTTAAAAACTACGTAATTAATTACTGACGAAAATAAATTCATTCTGTGATTCTTATATTTTAAAATGTTAACATTTGAATATATGTAACATTAAACAGTTTGCGTGTTATAGTGAAGTAAATTCATGAACCCGAGAATGTTATGTACACGAACAATTCAGTCATTCATGGGTCGTCGTAGAAGCTTTCAATGAAGATACAAAAAAATCTGCATATGTAAGAACGTTTAGGTTTTTTGGCTTGATTTTAGCTTGGTCGTTTCCAATCTGCAGGTCCAATCTACGCCCGCAGACTGAAAAGAGACCATTTATTTATGAATGTTCATCGCTTTTTAGTTTTAGCTTTGGATAATACAAGTTTTTCTATTATTTCAGGTGTTGTTGACAATATTCGCAATATGCTTTTTCGTCGTCGAGACAATTGGAGGTCCGATTCAATTTCCCACCGATGACTCCGGCGCGATCGGAGAGGGTAGGACGTTCCACGGGGACCACGGCAAGTTCCACCACAAGAAAAAGAAGAAGAAAAAAAAGAAACACGGGTGTTTATTTCATCACCACAGATCCGCAAATCCGCGGAACGAGCCGGAAGGAAGGACTTTCTTTCTAGGGTTGAACTATTACGACACGGACATACACATCGTGAATCCCGGTTACAAGCCGTACCGGCCGTCGGGAGGACAACAAGGCGGAGGAGGTGGAAACGATTGCGGCGGAAACGGGATTCACCAGGGTCTCGGATTGGGAGGATTGGGTGGATTGGGCGGAATCAACCCAGGGAGTTTAGGCAGCCTTGTAGGTTTAGGAGGAGGAGGAGGAGGCAGTAGTGGTAGCAGCAGTAGCAGCAGCAGCAGCAGTAGCAGCAGCAGCTCGAATGGAGATGATGACAATGACGAAGACTACGACTACAGCGATGGAGCGCCAAGCAGCAATAACGACAACGGAAGCAATTCGATTGGCCAAGGAGTGAGCAACCTGAGCTCTTTCGTAGGGACTGTTCCTGGTGCAGTCTCCTCGGTTTTCAGCACTATAGGCAGTGGCATTAGACCAGTATTTGAGAGACCGGAGAGATATTTCAATTACTATGTAATAAGACCGATAAATAAGTCATTGAGAACATTTGCCAGTTTGTTCTAAAATCAACTCTTTCAGTTAAAAATTAAACTGAGCCACCATTGGCTTCAACCGATGAACCTTATAATAACCAAAAATCTGTAAATATGTTTTTTAAATCATTCAACAATTAACTGGCTGCACAAATCGTAATTTCAATATTATAAAAGAAATAATGTTTCTATGTTTCAAAGGCCATTTTTATAATAAATAGTATACTATTTGCAGTTTTAAAAATAAAATTATGTTTGTGAAGATTTAGATTTTAGTTAATACTGTTATGTACAACGAAAAAAAAATCAAATGTCGAATGAAATTATTTGAGTGATTAAGTACTAATTTTTAAACTGTACCAAAAAAAGCACAAGTCATGTTTTTTTAAAGAATAATACAATTTAGGAATAATTCTAGAAAATTACAAACATTATGATTAAAATATACGTTATTATGACAATTATAACAAATCTACCATTTTGTAAGTTTAGTAATTTTAACCTTTTATGCATGAATTTTTAATTAAAACAAGTGTATATTGTAACCCGTTAGTTACCAGTTGTTCTATGTATGCTTTATAAGACTGTATTTGTAAATTAAAATGTTTAAGTTTTTTATTTTAATCCACTTTTTTTAAATCGTTTTTTCCTTTTGTTTTTGATAGGGGGAGAAGAGGCCGATTGAGCCGGCGCAGAAGAACGTTAACCCACAAAGCACAAATGTCTTGAAGGTTTAGTGAGACTCGTCGTTTTGTAAGGCGCACAGAATTTACTAAAGAACGAATTTATATAAACATAGATAATAACTCCTCAACACAACACGCAAGAATGGCACATTTACACAGAAGACAAACACTTTGAGCCCTTAAGATGATCTCAATAAAGATCGAAACGTTGGCACGATAAAGAAAATGTTTTTCTGAAACCTACATCACACCAAACCGCATCTCACGATTTCTGAATAATTATAGATAATAACAATAATAATAATCAGTTGAAGGTTTATATTTTAATTAAAGTTAATACTTTGATTCAGAAACTCTTAAGATTGACTAAATGTTGTTAAAAATCAAAAATTAACTAAGGCATTTAACTTATTAGAAAAAGAGACTCTTTATATGATGACTTTCAAACAGGTTGAGTATTATTGGTAGATTTGGCAAGCGTTTGAGGTGATTCTAGATGATTTTCGCTCTACCTACCTTGTCTGCACTCCCCCTGAGCATGGTTACTGTTGTCCTCTTGTTGGAGAGATACCATGAAGCTGGAGCGTCTCAGCAAAATGGTGGACTGGGTACCCATAGACATAGGTCTGGAGGGGAACAAAAAGGCAGACGGCTCCGGGATGTCCCAACCTCAAGCTTAACTGCCAAGAACTGGCTAAAAATGCACTGAAGCAAACGAGTGAAAGAAAATGGAAGGGTTGGTGGGCTGGATAAGCAGAGAACCTCTCAAGTATCAAGCACTGTAGATAGATGGCCCTTGGATTACGTGACTGTTAGAAGAAGGGTCATTCTCACCCTTAAGAATAGGCCATGTGAGGTTGTCACACGGACACTTACTTTTGGGCCAAAGCTCACGTATGTGTCTGGCATGCAGAGAAAGGTTGCCCAATGTGTCCCATCTAATTGAAGGGTGCAACTCCTTGACTCTATACAGAGATGTAGGATTGCCACTCGATATGAGAATGATGTTTGCACGACAGTGAGTATCTGGGTTCCCTGTTCTAATTCTTGGAGGAAACTGGGTTTTTTTATTGAATATAGTAATGATAGTTTTGTGTCCCTAGCATGTGTTGAAAGTGAATGTGCAATGTGAGAGTGTCGATGGTGGAATATTGAGTACCTATCGACCCTCAACTAGATCAGGTATATAATGAGTGTAGATGGTGATGGAGGAATATCAGGACTTAATTGAGCAAATGGTATATAAATAGAATGTATTCAATAATGAGTGAGAGTATAAATGGGTTTGGATCTAGAAACTGCATGCATTGTGTGCTCAATAGACCTAGCTGTTGATAGATCCTTGGGCCCAACCTTAGTGGCTGGATGGACAAATCCAAGGTCTGCCCCTGGACTGCCAACACCTAGGGTGGGTGATTCTCGAGCCCTGAAGGTAATCTATTATAAATAAAATTGAAATTGCCGGTGGGCTGCGAGAAGTGATATGCTCAACTCTGTACATGTTCAGATTTGAGATTATAAGATTATTATTATTTTACTATGTTTATAAAACTAAATTTATTTCTAAGATATGTATATGTAAGATGGCTTAAAGCCTAATTTGTACCTTTGAAATGAATAAAATAAATAAATATTTATGCTATTTCCTTCTATTTGAAAAATGTTGTTTTCTGCCATTTACAGGTCTACCACCCGAAGATTGATAATCGTGCAAAGTTATAATAATCCAACTTTACAGAAGATTGTGTCATATTGTGACATTTTGTCAATCAACTTTTTTTTACTTTGTAAAAATGGTGTAAAAATATGTTTATTGTTATATTTTTATATTAGAATTTATTCATAATATTTTCCTAGTTAGTCAATTAGGATATGTTATTTGTCTTCTCTTTTATATAATAAATAAGGAAAATTGTCCAGGAGACTTGGAAAGCGGAATAAAAGAAGTTATTTACATTTGATTGTGTTGTTGGTTAGCTCAATATTGATCGAACCAGCTGAGCCGTGTTTGACAAGCCGTAGTCCGTACGTTTCTCGTAATGTTTCGGACGTGGTCCTTTCTATTTTGAAATCGCCTGTCGTATTCCACCTCCGCCCACCCGGAAAAGTGAATCGGCCCAGCCTTTACGCGATGTAAACCCAAGTGGAGTAAAGTGTCGCAAAGGTGTCAAATTCGAACCAACCCGACATGGAAGTCGTCGGAGACTACGAGTACAACAGCAAAGACCTTATCGGCCACGGTGCCTTCGCAGTCGTCTTCAAAGGACGGCTCAGGAAGGTTTGTCCAATTTAATTCTTGGCTATTATGGCCTATCTCTACCCATAAAATAATCATACTTTCCATTTAACTCTTTTATTTCCAAACCTACACATATGGGACTACCTACTTACGTCAAAACCTCATTAAATAATTACGTTCGGACATTAAAATTCAATATGTTTACAAGGAACAATTTACCCAAGTAACATATACATTGTCTACGGCTAATGTCATTCAAAAATAATATTTTTTAATTAATTTTCTCCTCGAGTGGAATGTCAGCTGTGTGACAGACCATTCCATCTCTTGCTGGAAAAGTATGCTGAAACAGTAATCATCTGGGTTTTCAGCCAGGTCCTTAACAATGAAAAGCTACCCATCCGATCCAATGATCCAAAACAATTATCCAAACCTGACCTTGTCAGATGGCAGTCCACATGTTTCCTACAATTGACTTGTCATATAAAATTGGATCAAATAGTTGGACTCATGTTCCTAATACCCACTCATAGTGCATGCAGCAGGGGCGTTAAATATCAATAGCATTTAACATTAATGAGAATGTGTGGTGAATACTCTCTGGCACAAATTGCACTTGTGTTTTGTCCAATTCCTGGATCCCTGCTAGATATTGTGGAATGACACGTATATCCATACAACTGAAACTTCCTTGGTGTTATTGCACAACCGTAGTGTATGCCTTTGATCCTTTGGCCGTTATCAAGTGTCTGTAATAAGGCAAGACCTTAAACATCTTAATGTTAATGAAAATGGTATGCAATACCTAACTGGCGCATAAGTTTTTATAAAATTCTAGAATCCTGCTTGGATCAATTATGGATGGACACTACATTCAAAACACAGAAACTTCCCCTTCTTAATCACTGATTTCTTTGTGAGTTTTTATTGCCCAATGTGGATGTTTCGGTTTCTTGACAGAATGGGCAAGGCAACTTCTTTCATTTTTGCACCTACCCTCTCTCAGAACCCATGCAACAGGGACATATAAAAACATTGACATTTATTATTAATGAGATTGAGAAGGGTGCAATACCTTTCTAGTAAAGGAATGTCTTTCCTACAATTTAGAATCCCTGGTTGGATTTATTATAAAACGGCTCCGTTAATGTCCAAGCAACAGAAACTTCTGTGGTGCCATTTCACTGATGTCTTTGTATGTTGTTACTGCCAAACAATGAGTCATGACTAACAATTTTTGCACCTACCCTCTCTCAGAACGCATGCAACAGGGATGTTTAAACATTGATGACATTTAACATTAATGAGAAAGTGTGGTAGCACAGAACTTTATGATGTGTCTTTTTGCCAGTCCTAGAATACCTGCTGGGATCTATTATTTAGTTAACCCAACTTTTTCTCACATTATAGAATAATTCTTTGGTTCCATTTTAATTTATCAGTATGTCAATGTCTAACCTTAGTGGATGTCGGATTCTTCTTGATAGTGTGGTTCAACTAGAACTTTGAATAACTAATAAAAAACTATGGTTAATAGTTAATTTTGGCTTCCAAATTCGCAGAAACGATGCAACATGGGCCTTTGTACAGCAACATTAACATTATGAGAAAAGCTGGGCACCATGGAAATTTCTATTAAAGACGTGTATTGGGCGTCGGTGGCCACAACGGTTTAGGCGTTGACACGGCGCCCATCACTGTAAGGTGAAGGTCCTGGGTTTGAATCCAGTGGCCCTGCATTCAAACCCGACATACTTACATATGGGCTTTTTTTCAAAAACACTGGCACCGTGAGGGTTTATATGACCTCTGCTGTTGCGAACCCTAGTAAAAAAAAAAAAAATTGTTCCAATTCTAGAATGTTTGCTGGGTTGTACTATGGATCTGACCCTACTTTATGCCAATACAGTCGACTCTCGTTATCCACGGTGGACCAAGCATCACTGCAGGTGATATGAACCACCTCGAATTTCAAATTTTGAAGCATTTTATTCTATCTGCATACCCATCAGAAACTTCCCGCATCATGTGTCCTATCATCAATGTTATGTATTAACTTATGTACATATATTTCAGGGCTTTTTCAATAATGAAAATACAATGTATGGTAACATACCTAAAGTTTATTTCACACAGGAAAACAATATGTACATAAGTATATACATCAGGTATGCACATAAAATAAATAAGGAAAAATTATTAGGGACATAAATATACTCAACTAGGAGGGCAACTGCTAATGAGTGACAGCACAGATAATGAGAGTCTACTGTACCATGGGAAGTTCTTTGGTACTATTTTATTTTCTTTGTATAATATTTTCTTACTTTAGTGGATGTCTCTGATTCTTCTTGGCAGAGTTGGCAAATATTTGTCTCAGCTTTGTCAAATTTTTAAGGTATTAATTCAACGAATGATGGCCAGTAAAGAGGTTTATGATTTTCCTCAATGCACTCCACACAACATGAGAATTTTACTTAAGAAGATCAATAAGTTTCTGGGCCCCCTGCTGTTACCAATTTTTGTTTCAGTGAATGTATTTATTATGGTACTAAAAATTAGTAATCTAATAAATGTGTGGTGTTTAGTGACTGTTAGTCAATGATTATTCGGAGATCATGAGATGCAGTCTGGTGGTATCTGGTAATCTAATAAATAATAAATTTTCTTTCATTTCAGCAATTTGAGAATGTTAATACAAATTTGAGATGTGTGTTCAGTTTTTTAATGAACTTATACATAAATAATCAGAAAACTTGTATATTACTGTAAGATTCTTACTAATGTTCTCATATTAATCTGATATAACAAACATACATGTTGTTAGAATATTTTATTGAAATAATTTTCAAGTCCTAAATGTCATATATGTTATGTGGGGTTATCAAACTGATGTATAACAGGAATTACTTTATTTTTACCATAAGCATACAATCAAGGCGTTTGGATGAGGTTTCCAAAATAACCCAAGGGCATCCTCTCTCATTGTATTAAATTCCTCTGGAATATTCTTAAATTCTTATTTGTTTTAATTTACAGAATCCAAGGGTCATCGTAGCCATTAAAAACATAACAAAGAAAAATTTGGCCAAATCGCAAAACCTTTTGGGAAAGGAGATTAAAATTTTGAAGGTAAGTTTCTTCATAAACAGTTCTTTCAGACACATAAAAGTCTTATTTTTCATACCTGGCAATTTTTTCCAAATTAAAAATATTATTGAAAAGTTTTTTTAATATAATTGAAGAAACAATATTAGAAATGATGGTTTGTAAAGATTGATGTTTTGAATTTTTTTAAGGAATTGACTGAATTACATCATGAAAATGTGGTAGCTCTTTTGGATTGCAAGGTAATAAATGGTTTAAATTTTACAGTTTTATTTTTGATAAAAAACTAATTTTTTAATTTTTATTATCTTTTAGGAAACAGCTCAGCATGTTTTCCTTGTTATGGAGGTAATTTTTTCTTAATACTTTTTTGTTTTCAAGACAGAAATTTGAAAGAATTTTTTATTTCCAGTATTGCAATGGTGGAGATTTAGCCGACTATCTTGGTGGTAGGTAACATATCAATTTATTAACTTATTAAATTTAATATATAATTTTAAAATTGTATTTATTTTTAGTTAAGGGGACATTGAGTGAAGATACAATTCGTCTTTTTCTCAATCAATTAGGTAATTTATTGAAAAGTTACAATTTCACCTTTATATAAATTTTTAAAATCAATTTTATTTTAAAGCTGGTGCAATGAAGGCTTTACATGCTAAAGGGGTGGTTCACAGGGACCTTAAGCCCCAGAATATTCTTCTTAGTCATTCAGGACCAAAACCTTGCCCACAACCTTCTCAAATAAAATTAAAAATAGGTATTAATTAAATGAATAATTAAAAAAATAAACTTATACTAAATATTGGTTGATGATTTTTAGCTGACTTTGGCTTTGCCAGATTTTTACAAGATGGTGTAATGGCAGCTACTCTCTGCGGTTCACCAATGTACATGGTAATTTTTTTATTTTGTACCAAAGTATTGCATTATTAATTATTGTTTATTTAGGCACCTGAAGTCATAATGTCCTTGAAGTACGACGCCAAGGCAGATTTGTGGAGTCTTGGAACTATAGTTTTCCAGTGTTTAACCGGCAAAGCACCATTTCAGGCTCAAACGCCACAGGCTTTAAAAACATTCTATGAACGGAACGCTAGTCTCTCTCCAAAGTAATTGATTAAAACAGAACTGTTTTTCAAACCCAACTAAATGATTTTATTTAATTTAAATCTTTTTCGCCTTAGAATTCCCAGCGGCACCTCGCCAGAGTTGACTGAATTATTAAATGGACTTTTAAAGAGAAACGCTTCAGATCGAATGGACTTCAATACATTCTTTAACCATCCATTTTTACAGCCTCCCAAGCAACCTCAACAGCAGCAACCACCAAGTCCCCTTTCAACAAGTCCCGCACCTGACCCAGGTATCTGAACATTAAAATACTTTTTAAAAAGTATTAATTATGAATGTTGTTTTAGGATTTCCAATATGCATGACACCAGAGGATTCGGATGATTTTGTTTTGGTGCCTTCTAATTTACCGATGGATAAACAGTAAGTACATAAGTACCAAGTTTTCTAGATTAAGTAAATGTAGGTGTTATTTTTATTGTTTTGCTAACATGAAATTGTGGTGGTTGATTCCTCTTACAAGGAAATGCCTTTAGATATATATATATTTTTTTTTTAATTCTAGTGGGCATGAAATAAGCATGAGTCCACCAAGGCCCAGTTCTCTTCCGATTCCAGTCCCTGCCAGGACAAGAGCACAGCCAATTACTCAGCCCATTACAAATAAGGTGATTTACATTACAGTAGATTTACTAAAAATTTAAGGGCCGATTGTAAACCGCCTTCTGCTTGTATGTAGAGCAACGTTCCAAGATCACAGCCTATTAATATGCAGCAGGTGATGAATAAAGCGTCCCCTCCTGATATCTCTTCTCTGACACCACCTCCCGTAAGTTGACCCCAACATTGATATTACCATAACAATTTTAACTTCATTTTTATTGTTGCTCTTTTGTTTATTAACATTACCATTAATTTAATTTACTTTTTGCCTTGTTAGGTACAATATTCAATGGGAACACCCCCAGGTAGCAAATGCATACCAGAAACACCCCCTCCCGTAAACACATGGACTGTGACTCCCACTAATTCACCACTTCGGAAATCAAGTGAGTAATAAAATTCAGTGGCATGATTTTATGACATGGACAATTTTCTTCTTTGGTTGAAATTATGGTTTGTACGCAGTAATGTGCTCTCAGTTAAGGCCCTGTTTTTAATCAAGCATCCCACCAAAATCTTTACTATCCATTCTTATTGAAATTTGGCGAAATAAAATTATGTTATTACACAAAATCACTGATGTTATCGGGGTGGTGAAAAAAGGAATTATTTTTTCTATTCACTAATGAAGTTGCATGAGTATTAAACGAAAAACCTTAAAAATTTTCTTGCTTGGTTTTCTGTACTAGTGTCTACTAACCCTCATTTTAAGTGACTGTTTATGAACTTTCTGTTTAAATTGTGTACATTTTAGTGGTTAATTCACCTCTTCTCACCGGTGCCTTGACATCTATGAACACTAACTATGTGCTACCACTAGTTCCTTTCAGCAAACCTATAACAGGAAATTTACCAGGTACAGAAAATTGAGTGTACTCCTATTGCTTGTTTTCCCATAAACTTTGTTTTCTGGTCTTTAGTTTTTTCTTTGGTTTTTGCACAATGGCTTTCATAACAAGTTTTTACCTGTAAATCAAAAAATTATTTTAAAAACGTCTATTTCAGACTTTAACACCATCGAATCCCCGGTAACGTTTGTGCTACCAGAGCTTCCTCAAGAAACTCTTTTAGAGGTAAGATATATTAATTGTATTATTAAAATTACATTTTTATTGGTTATTTGTTTTAGAGGGAACACAATGAAACTCTGGCAAAACTTAACTTTGTACTTGCATTAACTGAATGTGTAACTAAAGTGGCAGAATCAAGGGGTAGAGTTGAGAAACTCGTGTTGTTAGTGAAAGCTCTTCAACTTTTTAGTTCTGCCTTAAATTTAGCAACATCTCAATTAAGATCTGGAGCCTTACAACCATCCGCATCTGTGAAAAATGGTACGCAAAAAAAATTTGCATTATTTTGTTTTTGTTATTGTTAATACTATCTTTTTCAGTCGTGGGGGTTTTAAATTCTAAATTCCGAATTTGCTTGGCTGATTGCAAGCAACTGCATTCACCCGGGATATTACAGAACTTGAGTACTTCAGCTGATAAAATCCTGTACAATCATGCGATTCATATGGTAATATTGATAGAAATTTAATTGGGTTTTAATGATTTAACATTGGATATTGTTTTCAGTGTCAGTCTGCAGCTCTGGACGAACTGTTTGGAAATCCAGCTGATTGCTTTGAAAGGTATCAAACAGCTCAGATCCTTCTCCATGCCCTGGCTCAGCAAACAACTCACACACAAGACAAGCAATTGCTGACAAAATGTAAAGAATTTTTTGACATTGATTAAAATTTCATGTTTATAAATTTATTTATGTATTTTTAGACAAAGAGGCTGTGGAAAAGAGGTTAAATGTACTTCAACAACAGGGGTACATTTATTCAAATACGACTAATCTATAATAGGATTGTTTGTACAGCTGACTTCATCACTTAAAGTTGAACAACGTTGCTCAACGAAAATAATAATCAAAAGACTCAATCGTGTTGCTATTTAGTGTAAGAGGTAACTAATCCTCTCTTGACTGAAGGTTGTGGACTGTTGAAGAGAAATCTTTTATTACCTCTGATTACACAAAAATTTACTTTCCATATTTTTGTATCATTGTAAAAAAAAATGCATTTTCATTTGTGCTAATTTTTAAGTTTAAGCTTAATAAACATTTTTCAAAAATAGAATTATGTACAAAGTATCCGGAAGAATTTTAACTAGTCAATGTCTTCCTTCCTTAGCATGTATAATTAAGTTTGTTATAATTAAGCACATTGTACATAAAGTGCTTTGTTCATAATGACATATCAATCTGTCTTAATGAATTGTGTCGCTTTGAAAATTATAAAGGCAGCATTACCATTGTGACAATATAATATTTATAGTTAAATATCAAATTGTAGATCTCAAGTTTGAAAATAAACTTTTTGCTTTAATAATTTGGGGGATTCGACTGGAGGGTTGTTTTGTCTGTTTTAAATTTGTTATCCTCCATTCATGTAATATATTATTTTTATGCTGAGTATTTGTGATACATAGAACTTGTGTCTTAATGGGTATTATTGTTAAAGATGTAATGTACAAAGAGAAAAAAGAAGGATGAAATGTCATATTCTGTTAATCACGTAAATGCGAAATGTATTAGATCTGTAAAAAGCTTATAAAAAAATCTATTTGTGAAGAAAACCAGAGACAATTATTCTATATAGACCAACTGAAAAACACTAACAGGTTATCGCCTAAAAAAAAATGCATCATATAATATATGTTTCGTTTATGATTTTATGATTACCTAATTATTTTTTTTACAATAAATAATATGATTTACCATGATAAATTTTATTCACCTTTCTCAGTATGAAGTATTTACTGTTCAAATGTTGCAATAAATAAGTAAGCATTTTAAAATTAAAATAAAACAAAAACCAAATTTGATTAAATTCAAATTAAAATACCTCTTAACAGTGACCAAAGATTTGTCTTTATGCAATAACTTAAAAACTGAAATGTAAATATGTTCAAATAACTTAGAAATTTAAAATTACCAGTAATAAAGCAAATTGTGCACCCACTCACTCAGCTCAGTACCTGCTGTTCGTGACAGGTCTTCCGCCAATCTTCTCATTGGGCATTTGGAGAGATACGACGAGTGGGAGTGTCTTGGCAAAATGGTGGTTGTTGTCTAAGAATTAGATAAACAAATCGATCTTATTGCCATCCAAAATTTTAATACATCCTTTAAAATATTTAATTTAAAATGGCAATGTATGCAAAAAAAATTTTAATTATAAAATTTTTATTCCTATTCTTTTTTATTTCAAACTTTTGTTCCATAATATAAATATAAAATGAATTTATACAATGCTAGAAAATTTTAGATTCAATCAAAGTATTTGTACTCACTCAAAGTGTTTGTTTTCTGTGTAGATGTGTCATTCTTGTGTTGAGAGTGCATAAAACAGCAAAATCTCACTGGCACGACTCACACTCGGACACCAACCTCCTACCTCAACCACATCGTGGTTCGAATCCCGCTCGTGCCATTGACTTTTTTTATCTCAACTGAAAACCTTAATTAATTGTAAGATATTAATTGGTCAAGCAGACCACGAAACTAGTGAATTTAATAAGTTTAAAATGAAGTATGCTTCACAGAATCAAATTGATTACACGACATTTGAAAAATGGCAAAATGGAGGGAAGATTCAAAGGGTGTGGTTGAGGTGGGAAGTTGGTGTCCGAGTGGATCGAAATCACGATAGCTCGAGTGGTAGAGCAGCGGTGTTTGTGGGTTCGAATCCCGCTCGTGCCATTGACTTTTTTATCTCAACTGAAAACCTTAATTAATTATAATAATAATAATGGTCAGACTAGCAAAAATAGAATAGGCTCACCGTTTTCCTATTATTCTTCCTTTCAAATACTATAAATACACTAATGCTACTTATTAACAAAAAACACAATAACACTTTTTTTATGGTTTATTTAAATTATGATTTTTGGCTTTATTTTATTTTTATAATATTATATATTTATATATTCTACATTATATGTTTTGTAACGTTTTTCTTTTATTTCATTTTTCTGCCCCTGCTGCCTCAAAAGTTCCTGAAAAAATAAATCTTACATGCAGAACTCTCATTCAAACACTGCCAGATAAACATTCAAATGTATAAGAATTTGCGAAAAAGCCTCAAACTCATTATAAATTCCAATAAATTTAAGATAGCTGAAAAGTGTTTTTTGAAACAAACACTGGGGACCTCCTTTAAATCACTCGAAATTTTTAAACTATTATTCACTTTTTAAAACAATAATCAAAAATTTGAAATACTGTTTAATAAAGAGTGAAAACTTATAAAACAATCTTTTTATTCTGCAATTTAAAGAATAAATCCTAAAAAACATAGAAACTATTATTTTGGGGGGTGATTTTATTATAAATGTAGTAATAAAAAGAAAAATATAATAATTCCTTGCCTATAAACCCTATTGTGAGTATGATTGAAAGTGTTTATATCAATAAACAGGTACATGTATTAAATATTCATATATTAAACTGAATAATGAAATAAATACATTAATTTTTCTAATTTTGTGCATTTTAAATATTTAAAAATTGTTTATTTGTTTGGCCGTTGAATGATAATTGTAGATAAAATATATTTTAATACATATTTCCCTTTCATCTACAAAGTGACTTGTATTTTATGACAACATTTCTGCCAGAAATCTGCATTTTATTTATTTGAGATTTGTGTAATGGTGCTGCATTCTATGCTATAGGTGTGTTTTTTCTCCCTCTCCTTTATCTTCTCTCTTGTAAACCGTATCAGTATTATCACTCAAGACCTATCAGTTTACACGATCGAATCTATTACGATCTAATTTTTTGCTATACTGTAAACTTAATGTCAAAACGACAATTTATGAGCATTGGTTCATTATTCCCAGTTTTATCCTCTGTGTAGAATTGTCATTATGTCACCTATTATATTTTATTTTGATGACCTCTCACAGCCTTGTCGAGCCATCGAAATATTTCTTTTAATGAACGACATTCCACATGATAAAAAAAAAATCAAACTTGCTAAAGGTACGTGTACAATGGTATTTATCTAAGTTATTTTGTGTAATTTTTTTAAGATATGAAAACAATTATTGATACACAACAGGTGCTCAGTATTCTGATGAATTTGTTAAAATAAACCCATTTAAAAAAGTTCCTGTCATTGACGATAATGGGTTTATACTTACTGAAAGGTCTGTAGATTATTTTTTTCTAGGCATGTTAACTATGTTTCAGCATAATTATTAGTACGTGTAACTATTTTTTGTAGTGTGGCCATATTACGATACTTGTGCCGACAGTATAATGTACAAGACCACTGGTATCCAAACAACTCTAAACTCAGAGCAAGGGTGGACGAATATCTTGAATGGCAGCATATTGGAACCAGAGCCCCTTGTGCCCTTTATGTCTGGGATAAGGTACTTAAAAAAAAAAAACGTGAGATGCGGTCGTGTTGAGAGTGCCAGTAAGATATTGCTGTTTTATGTTTATATACGTGTTGAATTTTGAAGTGTGGGGAAGGAAAAAAATTCAAAATCCAACGTATATAAACATAAAACAGCAATATCTCACTGGCACTCTCAACACGACATGCAAGAATGGCACAATTACACAGAAAACAAACACTTTGAGTGAATAGAAATACTTTGAATGAAATAAAAAATATATTTTGCATTGTATAAATTCACTTTTTTCCATATCCTACATGTATTTGTTAAATTTAAACAATGTTTGTAAATCCCAGGCCCTGAAGATGATTTCAATAAAGATCGAAACGTTGGCACGATAAAGAAAATGTTTTTCTGAAACCTACATCACACCAGACCGCATCTCACGATTTCTGAATAATCTTCGACTAACAGTCACTAATCATGACACATTTTGTTCAAGGTTTTTACACCTCTTCTGACAGGCGTCGGTACCAATGAAAGGAGGTTGAATAACTCTTTTAAAAGAATGGAAGACTCCTGCAACTGCATCAACGATATTTGGTTGAAGGATGGAAAGAAATTTCTCACCAGTTATTCAATTAGTATTGCTGACTTGCTAGGAGTTACAGAACTGGAGGAATTGAGTAAGTCGATCAACGAATTATTCCAAAAATTCAGACTTTATACGTCTGAAATACACTTTTTTTAAAAATATCAATCGATTACATTTGTATCTAATATCTGGATTTTCATAGAGTTGACAGGATATGACCCAAAAGAAGGCCGGCCTGCGTTAGCCGCTTGGATGGAAAGAGTAAGAAATGCAACTAATCCACATTATGACAAAGTTCACTCAAGACTTAACAATCTCAGCAAAAAGTACAGTACTAAAGCAAAGTTATAATGACCAATGACATTGCTTTGATAAAGTTGTTAACGTACAATTAATATTTTAGTACATTGTTGCTCAAATTTTTTTGTTTTTATTTGATAAATATATTGTACACTTTTTCTTATTTTTCTACTAGTGAGTGTTATTACAATAAAAATTGTTTTTATCAGCATTTCTTTTCTTTTTGATAAATATTTCTGCACCAATTTTAAAATGGTAACATCACGAGTATACGTACAATAAAATCCTCAAATACATTATATAATTTGCACTAAAAATATTAAAATGCCAAAAATGAATAAACAATCTAGATGAAAACCTAGATACATTTTTCTTTTGATCATATTCACATTTATTTTGAAAGGAAACAGTTGTTCTCGTTGCAATATGAGTTCACTAGAAAACACGCTTTACTTTTCAGCCCAATTACCAATACTTTCAGAGTTTTGACCACTGACTTTTGGACGTAGTATATTATCAAGGGAAAAATTTTGCGAAATTCTTAATGATCCTGCTTGTCGCCTCAAGCGTGTTACTCTTGACTAGCTCAGTTATGGAAAAATGTTAGTGAAGCAGTTTAATTTTAAAACTCAGATAGAATTTACTTTGTAAGTTTACAGTAGTTGTTTTCTTATTTACTTTTGTTTATTATTATGTCTTACTCTAATTCATTATATTAATATGAAAAAAAAAAAAAAAAAAAAAACGCACTCAATATTTCATTTCATTTTTGACTTTAGAAAATAAAACGGATTTCCGGCATATGGTTACATAACATGGTGTTTTGTGTTTTTTTTATTTTGTCTTTATTATGGAATTTTATATTCAAAATATTAGTTCAACAATAAATGTTAATCTATCTATAATTCCAGCTTAAGGGTAAATCTTCTAACTTTGGCTTCAAGCACATTATAAAAGTTCCGAACTTTACATATATTTTTTTTAAATTTTGTTTTTAATTTAGGAAAGTACCTAATACATTTTTATTTCTCATCAGAATACTTTGTAGCTTTATTTATTTACATGCAGAATGCTTTTTTGTTTGACGGAATTAATTTATTAACACTTTTAAATTGCAAAAATGGAATGAAATTCTTTCAGTGTACCAAGGAATTCGCTTTAATTTGAAAATTAAGAAAATGGGACCAGAATCTATTTAAGCAGGAAGTGCATTGTGCATTGGTAAAACTGCACCAACATGTATATTGCAAAATTTACAAACATTATTTATTTAACTGGGTTTTTACTTGTAAAAAAATAATTAAATATGATATTAAAAGCAAAACAATTTTTAATAAAACATTTCATTATAAACTTTGTATTTTTTTTAGATAAATGTTATAATCATAATTATCTAATAAAATGAGATGCCTTAGAATTAAGGGTTTTAGCCTTTGAAAAAAAATTAATATCTTGTTTTTGTTTCATTTTCTATTTATAATTTAGCCTTTGGCTTTTAATATAGTGTGGATTTTAGTGTATTCAACGTATCAGAAATTGAAATTTTCATATGGAAAAAATTTAATTAGTAGTTGTTTAATGGATAACACTTGTGAATTAAGTGTGTACTTTAAAATTGCATTGATTAATTATTTATTTGTTAATAGAAAATATTTGCCTAGAATAAAGGATTGAAATATATATGTAATTTTTTAATGTGAGGACTTTAAGCTCGGTCTCAATTATTCAATTCAATTAGGCCTCGATATATATTTTTTTTTAAACATTGTTTATAGACTGTTTAATGGTTAAACATAAAAAGTTGAAAAAAACTTTGTCTTTAATTTCTCCAAAAGTGAAAAGTTGGCTCCACTGGCATTGATAAGCCGAAGCTTTACAGTTTGCTCTACTGCAAAGGCAGAAGATCGAGCTCGTCTGAGTTTGTTGTCATTGATATGAATAGCGTTTAAACGAATTCGTTCTCTGAACGGGCTCGTTTATTTTAACGTCGATTTCTTTAAAATGATATAGGCAATTGGTTTAGGCCTAAAGGAAATATACTACATTTATAAGCTAACGTTTTAATTCGGATCGGAAAATGTCTAAATCTACTTCTCATACCTGTGTTATGTGCAATACAGAGCTGGACTCCAAGGAGGCCCTTCAAGATCACTTCAGGTAAACTGTAAACCTTAAATTAGCCCATTCGTCAGACTTTGGTTTAGGTAAAAAAAAAATGCTGTTTTGGCCAAAGATTACTGGTAAAATTTAAAGGTTGAACTCGTTTACCTTGTAAACACAATTAATTTCAATAAAACTGACCAGTTCAAGGATTAGAATAATTTTTTAATGAACAATAATCAAACCTATGTTCTCACATGTCAATACAAAAAAGCACATCATCACATATACCTGATCATTACCAAAATGGTATCTGGAAGAAGGAGTAGATAAATATTTACAAATAAAAAGGTTTATATCTTTAAGAATAATAAATTTGTCGTTAATTTTTGCCTAACATAACTAAGTATATAAATTAATAAAGAACCAACACCCTACACATGTCTACATACACTCTAAAAAACAACTTTAACATAAACAAAAGCTTTTAAAAAATGTAGAATAAGTAGTCATTTCAGGTAAACCTTAAACCTTAAATTAGCCCATTGTCAGACAGCAGGATTTGACTGGGATTAGGAACAAAAAAAAAAGGAAATCAATTTTGGCCAAAGGTTCCTGGTGAAATTTAAAAGTTGACCGAGTTTATCTTGTAAACATAATTAATTTCAGTAAAACTTACCAGTTTAAGGATTAGAATTTTTTTTTTAAAGTGCAATAATCAAACCTATGTTCTTACATGTCAATACAAAAAAGCACATCATCACATATACCTGATCATTACCAAAATGGTATCTGGAAGAAGGAGTAGATAAATATTTAAAAAGAAAAAGGCTTACATTTTTAAGAATAGCAAATTTGTCGTTAATTTTGCCATTAATTGCCTAACATAACTAAGTACATAAATGAATGAATGAATGAATAATAGTATTTATTTACATGGAATACAACAAACTCAAAATATGTTACAAAATACTTTACGGCATGGACAACAGTCCGTCAGCCGGAAAGTACATAAATTAATAAAGAACCAACACCCTACATAAATCTGTTATACACTCTAAAAAACAACAAACATTAACCTATACAAAAGATTTTTAAAAAATGTAGAGTAAGTAGTCACTTCAGTTAAACCTTAAATTAGCCCATTTGTCAGACAGCAGGATTTGACTGGGTTTAGGAACAAAAAAAAGAAAATACAATTTTGGCCAAAGGTTCCTGGTAAAATTTAAAATTTGACCTACTTTATCTTGTAAACACAATTAATTTCAATAAAACTTACTAGTTTAAGGATTATAATAATTTTTTTAAAGTGCAATAATCAAACCTATGTTCTTACATGTCAACACAATAAGGCACATCATCACATATACAAAGAAAGTATACCTGATAATTACCAAAATAGTATCCAAAAGAAGAAATAGATAAATATATATTTAAAAGAAAAAGGCTTATATTTTTAAGAATAATAAATTTGTCTTTAATAATTTAACTAAGTATATAAATTAATAAAGAACCAACACCCTACCCAAGTCTGCATACACTCTAAAAAACAATAAATACTTACATATACAAAAGCTTTAAAAAAAAAAGTAAATAATAATAAGTAATCAGTAGAACTCCCTTTAATACACTCAAAGTTTCTTATGCGATCAACCAGCTTCAGATCCCCTGAAGAAGACAATAAAACTTGTCGAAAGTTTGGGCATTGATATAATACCATTGTATGTTTTGAAGACCACAATATACTCAAATACAAATACTGGACACTTCATTTATTTGTTTATTGTCCATAATAACTACATTTTTTTTAAGTAAATACTTTTATCGTTATTTTTTAAAATTTTTATATTTTGTTGTTTACTGTTTATTTCAAAGAAAAATATAATATACATAGTTAAATAAAAAAAATTAAACTGAGTGAAACAATTTTACCCAAAATATTGCTATGGAAACTGAAGATAATATTCAATTCAGTATGAAGTATTTCCTCCTGTTGTGTTGATCACCGCTTGCATTCAACATGGCATAATTTTTATGAGGTTTTGAATAATGTGGAATATTTTCATACTCTTCTAACAGCGCCATTTATAATCCCTACAAATTCACTGGGCAACAGTTTACCCTTTTTGACAACTAGTCCCAAAGGTGTTCAATAGTGTTTAAGTCGGGACTACATGCTGACCACACCAAACATTGAATTATAGTTCCAAGTAGTCACCAATCCTAGCTGTGTGAGGCCTCTTGCACTGTCATGCATAAAAATAAAACCGTCTCAAATTAGTGGCATTTAAGGACAACTTTGGATAACACATCTTCAATGTATTGTGTAGTTGCCAGGGAACCTCGATGAAGATAAAGTGTGATCTTCCATAGAAATGCCTGCCCAAACCATAACACCCCAACCTTTAGCTTCCCTGGAGTGAAAATGTTGCTGGGATATATTGCTCTCCTGTTCTTATCCAAACTCTCTATTGCCTGGCAGAAGACCCCAAACAAAACGTTGACTCATCCAAAAACAAAATTCTTGTCCAATCTTGATCAGACCAGTTGATGTGATTTCTTACGAAACTTAACTGAGCTGTAGTTATTTCTTGTTTCTCTTTTTGTTGCATCTGGATGAGAATCTGGATTATAAAAACTTCGTACGCTTTTCAAAATAAAAAAGTTGGAAAAGCTTACAAATTTTTTTATAATCCAGATTCTTACCAAGATGTTCTATGCCTTGTCAGAAGTTCCAGACCAGTGGCAGGCCTTCCCGCACATAATCCAGAGCTTCTCAAAGCCTTCCCCTTACAGTGTGTAAACTGACATAAAAATTTCTAACTTGTTGAAGTCGCAGCTTGATTTCAATAGTAGTAGCATGTCGATTATGTAGTACCATCATCTCTCTGAGATGTGACATGATGGCGACCTGACCCATGCCTTCTTGAGAACTTGAAACTTAAAAATGGTACAACAATCAAATCACCGGAACATTAGAAATAAGCTTTACAGAAAAACCAATAAAGAAATGATTATTTATTCAAACATTTATTTATCCAATCCAAATGCAAGCACAAATGGTAGTTTTTATGTGTTTTTTTACCTCTAATCCTTTAAAACAGACCAAATATTGTTGGATTTTATTCTCTTCACAGATGTGTGCCGGTTTGGTTTGTGGCAATCAGATGACTAAGTCTGTGTGTGGAGAAAACATGGAGAACACTTTGCTTCATGTGCCATGCAAAGGACAGTTATGGATGGGGTGGATCAATGACAATACCCATACCAAACTGATTATCATACGAAATCGACCTTTGACTGCACTAAGGTACATTGAGGAAGTTCTTCTGAAAGCTGTGGTCCCATATGCTCCATTTATTGGGGGCAACTTCATGTTGATACATGGTAATGCTCGACTGCATGTAGCACAAGTTGTCACCTAGTACTTTGAGGATGTAGGGATTATCACAGTAAATTGGCCAGCATGTTCCCCTGACATGAACCTTATAGTTCTAATGTTCTGGCACGTGATGGGTTAGGCATTGTTCATTGCCTTCAACAAGTGTTGAACAGCTTCAAACTTCTTCTGTTGAAGAATGGGATTCTGCTTCACAAAACAAACCGGTTGCTTATTTACTGCATCGTCCAATAGGTAGTTAGATATTAAACCCTTATTTGTCACAGAAATTGTTGCTAAAAATGGTTATGGTGTGATTTTTTATTGACATAAAACCTTGTTTTTTCATATTAGTATTTATCCTTCATTTTTAAGACCTCAGTCAAACATAGAAGTTTGAAAAATCTCGGTTTGCACAGTAGCACTTTGTCAATGTTATTTATTTTAATTTTATTTCCAGGAGACATGCCAATAAAGAAATTGACCTTAAAGGTAGACCCATTGGGCCTTCTGGTGAGCTCAAAGATCCCACGGCAAAAGACAGGACGTACATAATTGGCTCTGGCTCTCAAGTCGACTCCAACATAGTTTGCGATGTCTGTGGCGAAGCTTTTACCTGCAATACAAAAGCCATACAGCACAAATTCAGAAAGCATCCGTTTAACGCTGCCAAACACTACTGCCCTCAGTGCGGAATGCAGTTTCCTTTAAAAGTACGTGTGTGACTGTTATTCTGATCAAGATGGAATAATTGAAAATAGCTCAAAACTTGTTAAAAAAATAAACAATATTAGCTTGCATTTAGTGGGTGGTTGTGTCATTACAATTCAAAATGGATTTTTAATAAATCTACGTAAAAAGTTAAAATATGTTTTTCTTGTTTTTAGGGGCATAGGGATAAACATTTGAAGGAGCAACATGAAAGTGATCATGTACCAAAAAATCCCAACCCGTGTTACCAATGCGGAGCTATATTCTACAACCAAAACGCCCATGAATACCATAAAAAGTCAGCACATCATAGGTAAGGCTATGGTTTCTTGTTGCCTTAGCACTAAAATACGGATTTGGATTTTGTAACAAAAAGGTGGTTGGTTTCTTAAACTCAGCATTCCTTAGAGGGTGATAGTTAACTGGCATGGGCAGTCTCGGGCAACTTTCATTACACATTCCCTTCTTTAGTATGCAATTTTTTGGGTCGGTGGTTGAAATTTGATTATTCAAAATTTTATTTTACCTTTTTTTTTGTTTTTAGTTTGATTTTACAAGTTCATTCTATTTAAAGTACAACTGTACTACTTAATGGGAAAAAGAACAATTTGTTTCTAGCAGCAGTTCCCCCCAACTGAGATTTGAAATGTTCTATTTGTAAAAAAAAAAAAAAATGATAAGGCAGGTAATTCTTATTTATTTTATTATGAACACTACGTTTTATTTTAATTTGTTTAATCTAAAAAAAATTGTTGTCAAGAAACTGAAGTCTAAAATTGTGCAACTAAACACTTAAAAATCCAATAATAAGTTATACCCTGATTTTAATATAAATATACAAAAATATAAATCTTAAAGTATTAGTTTTACTACTGCCTTAACTGATTCTATTTGCTATAGTTTTCTTTGACAACAATCATTAAGATTTTCTCATTTGTATAATGTGTTATTTATTGATTTAACCATTGAGATAAACTAGAAAATAGTTCTTATCATACATTATACTTTATATATGTGATTTTAATATCAATATATTAATTGTTTAGTAATTTAAAAAAAATTTAATCATTAATAAAACTTAGATATACACAATATTTCTTATTTACTTGTAACAAAAGCCTGTTTTTCTTTGTTAATGATAAATGTCTATTCAATTCAACCAAGACAATTTTAGTTATTTTCTTATTTTAGACAAGAAACGTAAACAATCTTATGTTTAAATTTGTATTGAGAAGACAAGTCAATTGAAGGATTTTTTTATGTTAAAAATTGTCACAAAATGTATTCGACTTTGAGACATTACAAAAGGAAAAAATGGTTTGTAATTCATGCTGCATGCAATGAAGTAGAGGGGTGAAGATCTAGCACCTTGAAATAAAATTAAATTAAGCTGCAAATGATATTAGCTACTTCAGAATGTGAATAACCTAGAAAATTGTAGGTGCATATGAAGTTTCTCTCATTATTGTCAACTGTAAATTGCAAATCATTGCAGTTGTTCTGCAAATCGACTTCATTTCTCACAAATTAATACATGCAAGGCAACATATTTAGTTACGTCAGAATGAAATTTATTTCAACTATTCTTAAATTTCTGAAAAACTGTCTTGATATGATTAACATCAGCCTTAAATTATAATATCTTTTAAAAAAATGAGGCAAATTTTATATTTATTATGGTTGAAACTGTAATTTCAAGTATTTCAAGTTCGTATTTGTATAACATTTAAATTGTTAGTAATTTCTGATAAAGCGGATTTATTCCTCGAGAGCTTGACAAAGGAACTGTGTGTTTTTCCTTTAGACAAACCTGAAATTTGTTCTTTACCGATCATTTTGGGACTATCCTCATTAGTTTGGTATGTCAGGCATGTTTTGTCATTTCGCCATCTTCAGTGTTGGATCTGTGAATGTCAGAAGATGAAACAAGCCTGACAGGCCAAAATGATCAGACATGACCAAATTACAAAGAAAATAAATTCAGTACTGATTTGCATTTGTTCGGAATCTGAAGTTCATAGTGGACCATTATAATAAGAATAAAAATAATAATAATAATAAGGATCGAAAAGAAATATCATGATTAAAAACCCTAGAGCACAAAAAAGTATATTGATTTCTTTTTCAGATAGAAGAAATTCTGAAGGAACTTAAAGTTGGAGTAATTTTCCTGGTCTGCCTATACTGCATCTGACACATTATCTTCTAGACACATTGAAGATGGCAAAATGCCGAACCGTGTCCGAGAGATAAACCCTGCATGTATAGGCAGACCAAAACTATCAGTCCAAATTTCAAATAACTAAAACTGTAAATCAATGGATGTCTGGACTAACACACCAAGGCTAGATTGGTAGCTAATAATTTTGTTTGGGCTTCAAAAAGAGCTTGTAAGTAGTCTGAAGGAGCAAGGTCAGGAGGATTGGATAGGTAGGTGATAGAAAGTTGATTCCACTATTTCAGTTAGTTACTGTTAGTACTGTGCGGCTGTTGTCTTGAAATTACACCTTTCTTCTTATTCACACTAAAGTTGAGAACCTTCTTTATACATTATAAATTATTGTAGTTATTAAAATTTAACTCAGAATTGGCGTAGTACCATTGTAAAAATTTTATTACGAGTTGAAACTATAGCATTATTTTTGAATTTATCACATTGTGAAGGGTGAAGTAGGCAGTCCATCCATAGTTCACTTGGATTTGAAACAGTATGCGTCCATGCTGCGTTCATTTTGCTTTTAAGTGAGCTTATTATCTTATTTATAGAAACTGGTCTACATGCTCTTTTCATTTTCCCTAATTTGTGTGGGGTTCACACTTCTCTGTAACAAAACTCATTCGATATTTAAGTGGTTTTTGCAGGTGGCCTCAATGTTATCTTATATAGTTGGCTCCGTTGAACCTTGCACTCTGTTAGATTTCCTCTTGGGGCCTGTTGGTTGATGAACCGTTAGTTTGGACATTTCCAATCATTTTGGATTATATATCCTAAAACAGCGACAATAGGCTGATCAAAATGATCAGAAACAGCCTTACTTCCTGGCTCTTTTTAGCATTTTCTAATTTTTCAAACTACCTTTACACAATCTGCATATATTCTCTTCATATTTGCAGACCATATTCATTTTTTTCTTAATAATGTGATATTACCAGTATTTGATACCCCAATGTCATTTTCATTAAAAGTATATGAAAAAAACAAACCGAAATGACAAATTTGCAAGTTGTTAGATTTCAAGTATTATTGAGCCGAACATTTTCCACCTTTTGTGTAACAGTGAAAAGCTTTATGTCTGGGAAAATAGGGTTTTATACCAATCCATGCTTTTGAAAAAACATTTTTACATAATTAAATGTACCAGTTCTCAGAATACAAATTACATTATACTTTTATTAATTTAATTAAGATTATTCCAATAGTATTTATTATAAGAAATCAAGTATTGTTTTAAACTTTTATATTTCTGTGAAACATCGAGATTTAGATTAAATTGATAGTTTAAATTAATATTAAATTCTAATTTAATGTTTTAACAGGGTCGTTTCTTTATTTAAACAAATTGAGACCCCACCCCCTTCAAAAAAGATCCGCTACAATAATGCTGGAGAGCCGCAGAGTGTCTACTACTGTCACCTGTGCGGCTCTGAATACATTGTCAAATTCAATCTTCAGATGCATTTAGAGAGGGCACACACGATGGCCGAAAGATCTGCAGCCCCTCCTGATCTTTATAAGTGCAATACATGTGACGGTCTTTTCTATAACCAAAAAGCATACAAAAACCACAATATCTACCACAGGCCTGATGATTTGTATGTCACAAGCGAGGAGCAAAGGTGATATTTGTTAATGAACCGTCCATATTTGATTATAACGTTTGATATTTAGATTGCAGACTGTAACAAGAGTAGACCAGGATTTTGATATAAGAAGAGTTCAGCCTGTAGTAGAGAAATACGTTCCAAAGTTTAGACGGAGAAGGACGATAAATTTACCTTCCAAAGTGGTACGTATCAAGAGATCAATTCACAACTGCAAGTTAAACTGTAAGTCAATTAAACAGACAACGTTTACTTTAGAACTCGAGAAATAAAGATTGTGAAGATGAAGAGCTTTCTCCTCCTCCCGCATCAGATTCAGAAGATTCCGATCCTGAATGCAGCCCCGAGAAGAAGATTAAAAAGATGGATCAACAAGAAGTTCCAGTTTTGTGATCAGACGTTGAATAAACTACTAACATTCAGTTCTAGTCAGTTTCATTTTATGTAAGATGGACATGCCAAAATAATTATACTTTTATTTAGTACGCTGAATCGTTTAACTTTACGTTAAATATTATTAATCTTAATATCTTATCTAGTCACTAAAGAAGTTGCAATCGATTATTATTTTATTTAAAAACAAATTTATACATTTTTTCAAGGCATGGTTTTCATTACTAAAATAAAAGTACTCTTAAAAAATAAAACAAGATAAAGAGAAAAGTACCTGACTAACTACTACCTCACAGTCTTTATGGTTTGCAACATAGCCCAATTTGATCAGATTAAAAAAATTAAATAATTTAGTCAAAAAGAGTAAAGCACAAAGGAAGATGACATATATAAACAATATATATATCTATATATGTATACTATATATATAATTTTTTTTTAATGGAAGAGTAATAAGAAAAATTTTTTGTGATACTTGTTTTTAAAATTATTATTAGCAAGCAAACCTACTTTAATTTTTAATGTGTTAACTATGTATGGTTAATATTGACAAATAGCACATAATTATTATATATTTATAATGGAGAATTCATCTTAAAACCAATCTCACGGTTTTAAAAAAAGTTTATCTAGAAATTAAAACTGTTTCTATTATATGTACGTTTTCTCTTAAATCTTGAAAGAGTATTGATGACATTCTAAAGTTAACGGTTCTATATTAATAGGAATTTATGTAAAGAAGGCCTTTACCATCCAGCAAATTGAACCCGAGCTTTGTACCAGGTCATCATCATTTCAGGCAGTCGCAAGTGTGCATCTGGTCATAACTATGTACAATTTGGACGATAGTAATTCCAAAATGCATAAATACATTATTAGAATTTGGATGCCAGAGGCATCCCTTTATTTTAAATGTAACAAAGTTTAGTAATTTCTCAATATATGAAATAAATCTGTTGTTTCCTGGTGGAGTAATTGTTCCAGTTTATATTTTTATTCTAAAATAGAAGTAAAAAAAAAGAACAAAATAAGGTATATTTGATACGCTAAGTGTAAGATAATAATTAAGCATTATGCACTCCGTTGTGTGAAAGTCATTTGTGTTAGAAATAAGTGCAAAATTATTCTAGTCATGTAACTGGTCTTTAATTAGCGTTTAAAAGTTTCTAGGTAGTAGAATCTCATAACCAGTAGTTTACAAATATTTATTTAATAGTGTTAAAGGCTGTAAATGTTTTGTTTTTCCTCTTTGTAACGAATCTGGTATTTATTGAATATAATTGGACAAATAAAAAAATTATATGTCTAATATTAAAGTATTTTATTTAACCTTGAAACCAAACAGATTAATGTTCAGTTGTTCACAAAAAAAATTGTTTATATATTAAATTTAGGGTAGATGTCATTTCTGCAATTTGTACCTCCAACAAGCAATTATAATGTAGTATATCACAAAAATAACTTTATTTTTTTGGCTGTTATTGATTTTCAATAGATGTGTTATTGTATTAACAATCATAGAATGTACCATAAGCTAAATATTACAAAAAAGCCAAAATAGGTAGTTATCAGTTTGTAATGACAAAGTATTAAAATTTTTAAGTAAACAGCCATTTCAATTTACATCACTATGCATTATAATAATCAATAAGATAATTTTAATGAAGTCAATCATTACAATTTTATTTTAAAAGTATAGCTGTGAAAAACAGTCCTAAAGTAAAAGTAATGTTTTCAATTAACAACAAATAAAATTATTATATACATCAATTGGAAGTTACGAGGTTAAGGCACTAAAATTAAATTATTTCCTAAGAAAATTTTCACATTTTAAAAAATAAATACGCTTATGCAGTACCATTATTTTTGGCAGTTAGTTTGATTAGAATTGTTCATCACTTAATTTATAATTAGTCAGTACAGTTTGCCCACTAAAATACTGAATATTTCAAATTATGATAGTAAACACTGTATTTTGAAAATCAAAATTGTTAGAATCAATTTCAACTTTTAGAGTATTACTAGTTTATTTAATAGGCAAACTAAAAGTTTTAAAAAAATTAACAATTAAGAAAATTCAGTTAATATAAAAAACTTAAAACGGTTGACAAATTACACAGCCATATAATAAAAAATAAACATATGTAGCAAATAATTCAGATCTCTGTCATGGTAACAAAAATTGGTTAGGAATGGTTGTTACGGTAACCATCCGTAAACATTCCAAAAATTGCACCTGTACCTTGAAGTACCATTTAAAAAAATTACATAGGTAAAGCGTTTACCTAATTAAATGCCAATAGGATATGTTTAGAAAGATGTAGAGGCACGTAGATACAAATCATTTTATGGCCTATCCTTAGTACTTGGCATGAACGACATTGTCCTCCTAACTTTAACTCCACCCTAAAACAAAGCAGAAAATATATTTGAAAAAATTGTTTTATTATAAATAAAAATTGACCAAGTTAAAATACAACACCTTGGTAGGTTCCTGAGTCATAGTGTGTTCCACAAAAAATATCCTATCTCTTGCCTTTTGAAGTTCTTGATCAAGTTTAGCCCGCTCTCCTTCTAATTCTCTTAGTCTGTTTTCAGCTTCTACAATTAATTTAAAAAGTATTATTTATAATCTAAAAAAACTGAGTTTTTTAGATCTTTCGATAAACCAAATTAATATATTTATTTATTTTTACGAGGGTTCGCAACAGCAGAGGTCATATAAACCCTCAGGGGCCGGTGTTTTTGAAAAAAAGCTCATTTGTAAGTAAGTCGGGTTTGAATGTAGGGCCCTTGGATTCGAACCTGGGACCTTTACCTTACAGTGATGAGCATTGTGTAAACGCCTAAACCGTTGCGGCCACCGATGCCCCCGTATTGAAGTTCTTATGTATTATTATAAAAATACAGATTTACGAGATGGGAATTGCCAGGTTTATTTTATTTGATACAATTGCAAAATGAATATGTTTGTATATCGTGTCAGATAACCAGGCAAACACTATGCTGTGTCTGGCAGAAAGGTTGCCAACATTTATAATTTATCAACTCCTTGGACTAATAATGATGATGGGACTTGATGAGTATAAAAATAAAGATAAATATAACAACAATAAGAAGAAATTAAAGAAAAGAAAATTAAACATGTTATGTTGTTAATTTTTTTATACATGAGTCATTGTTTTTCCTTATTCTTGAAAAATTAAATCTAGCATGGCACTAGCTTAAAAAATGTTCTTAGGATAAACGTCGATTTTAACACGTACAAGGTAGTGGGACTCATATGAGACCTCCTTTATCTTCTATCCAGGTCTCAAATGAGATATTAATGAGATTAGAGTTTCATTTGAGGCCCAAGGCTATTTTTTGGATGCACCATTTTCTAGTGGTTACTTTTTCCTGCCTTTATGGATCGCCACTTTGAAGTAATTTTTAGATTCAGTGTGAAACACGCTTTTAAATAATATGTGTTATTCTCAAATAGCTCCATTAACACCTGAGAAAATTGACTGTAAATTTTCTCTTTCAATTTTTTGCTCTTTGAAGGTATAATTTGATTATTTTTACATGAAATTCGATTATTAACAGAATTGACAGATAGACTGTTAAATGCTCAAGTATGCGGTGATTGTTAAGGTTTTGTAAAGAAAAACACCAAAATTTGAACAATTTGGTGTTGTTTTCATTTAATTTGTAAGTAATTTAATTTTAAAAAAAGTTATTATAACAATAAATAATGGTAAATATAAAATGTATTTGTATTTTCTGGAGTTTTAAATTATTTAAATTAGTTTTTGAAAATTTAGACTTACTAGGAAGAGCTGTAAAATTAAGAAGGTACAAATGGTATAAAAAATAGGCCTTTCACCTCTTCCATTCACTACTCATGAATAGGTTCTTCTTGTTCAATAGTTATTGCCAATTGGATGACAAGAAGCTAAATGACTTCCAATTGGACATTCCTGGTTTTAGGGAATCCTAACCGACCCGGCCAAAGAGTCATCCTCTTGCTGGCTGTTTTCGTACTTACCTACCTTCAACGTCTGAGGGACAAAAAAGACAAATTCTTTGCTTAAATTGCAGCAAAAGAGCTGATGGGTGAGATATGAAAGTGAGAGATCATGCTTCTACTGCCCAGGTTGTAGCACTGGTGACAGAAAAATTGAACTGAAACCCCACCAGTGCTTCGAAGAACACCACTCTAGATTGCATTTTTTGTTAATAATTTTAGTTAAATAATGTTTTTTGTAAATAGTTCTAATTTATTAGATACAATAGCTTTTTCAATGAACATATTTCAAATATATTTATTGTAAATTAATATATTTTATATTTTTATAATTTAATTTTTAAAGAAATTTCAACCTTACACTTTCAAATAATGACAAACCAACTAATTGTCAATGGCGTCATAAAAGTGAAATAGAAAGACGAAATAATTTTGGAAACTTGAGACTATGCAGTTCTCATGTTGTCTCAGGTCCAGCCAGAAAAGCTAATTTATACAAAAGATAAAATAAAATAAAAAAAGTTTTACCATGTTTTATAATTAAGATTAAGGTCATTTTAAAAAAATTGCCACCCCCAGAGGATCAATAAAATTTCAGGCTTCCAGCATTTAACGTGTTAAAGAACTTTCCCAAATAGCAAATTTGAAAAAAAAAAAAAATAAATAAATAAAAAATAAAAACCATGTTGAGAGAAATCTAATTTTATCCTAACAAAATAGTCATACCCTCCAGTTCCTGTGAGAATGAATCATATTCATCACTAGTCATTCATCTCATGAATCATTCTCTAGCATTTGTGAACATTTCAATATTGTTAAAAATAAATCTTTCTTATAAACTGTGTTTTTAGAGTCTCTTTGATTACCTTCGAGTTGTTTTTCTTTTTCTCTCTGCTTTTGCTCAAACTCCCTTCTTTTTGCCCTTTCTTGTTCCAAAAGGAGCCTTTGCTCTTCTTGTAATCTTTCTAATTCCTCTCTTTTTTCCCATTCTTCTCTCAAAACTCTAAAACGAATTTAATTTTGTTCAAGAGGAAAAGTGAAGAAGCATCAAATCAAATTTACCTCGCTTGGAGATTCCTTACAATTTCTTCGTCCCTTTTAGCCTGCGTTTCAATTTCTAAAAGCGTTTCTAAGTGGTTGAGCTGTTTCTCCTGTGCTGCTTTGATTTCACGAGCCTCCAATTCTGCTGCTACTCTAGCCTAAATGTACAAATTACATACATTAAATAAAATCATACAGAACTATCTAAAAATTTCAAGTTTTACAAAAATATATCGTACACATACATGTATACATCCACATATTAAATATGAAACATATTTTATTACAAATAATTATTCAGATATCGTGCAGTCCTCACAAGGATATATACAGATATTGTGAGGTATTTTATTACAAATAATGAACTTATTTTGGAAACTGCCCAAATAAAATATATATGTTCACAAAGTTTGCAATTTAAGTCTAAAGAAGCATTCATAAAATATTGCATTTGATGTAGGATAAAGTAATAATAATTTTATAAAAAGAATTATCATTTAAGAAATACAAAATTTGGTTTTTATTGGTAATTTCAATATTATGGTTCTAAAATGTTGAAATTTATTTTATTTATTAAATGAAAACATTTCTGCAGCATGTGCTGTTCCACTTACGTATGTGTGTGATGTGCAGTGCTTGATGCATAAAATGTTCATTTTTACACTTTACACTAAAATCCGTAAATTAATAGCAACAACCTGTAATCATTACCGACTCTGACAATAACCACTGGATAGTGGAAAGTGGAAACAGTTCTGACAGAAAAGCCAGCATGAATAGGCGGACCAGAATGGCCGATAAAATTGCAATTGGTTGTCGCATTTTATGCTTTTTTTTAGGTCTACTTTCCTCATTGAAAATCAGTGATAAGACGAAGACACTTAAAGAAGAGTGTTCCATGCTATTAATTCATGCTGTTATAAGGGCTTTTGTGCACACTCACTATATTAACAAAAACAACTAAATTTACAACAAAAAAAAAACATTATTCACATAAATAATCCCGTGATTTAGTGTACTCTTTAATTGCAAATTAGATTTTACTGTACCTATTAAAATTGTACACTGAAATGGTACTGCAGCAACAGAATTTTCTGTAAGAATAAAATACATCATAAACCAAAATAAAATGTAAATCTGGTTTAAACAATTGTCATGATGAATCAGAAAAAATTTAAATAATCAAATCAGTGTTTTTGTATTGAAGATAAAATAAATGTGCAATAATGATAGATTATGCAGTAATAAAATAAGTTTGGAAATCATTATCAATTTATAATTAAAAAGACTAATATTATTGGGACAGTTATTCAAATTGCTCATCAGTTATTCTTCTAAGCTATCAGAACTAAAAGTAAGTGCAGTAAAACTTCCCTAAATGGACAGTCTATGAAATGAATGTTGGCTATACAAGGTTGTCTTCTTAGCAAAAATATTTAACAATTTAACTGGAAAGTTTTTTTTTTTTAAAGGAACTCTGGTGGCTTTGTGGTTAAGGCCTCACTAGCAGTTCTGGGTTTGAATCCTGGCCAGCCCATGGCTTTTTAGGTGAAAAAAGCATTGCAGGGTGGTTTGACCAACAGTTAATTGGATGTTAACCCCCTCATATTTAATAGTAATGACTTTACCTAAAAAAGTAAGTTCAATATACTTTTTTCTTACAACAAAGGCTTGTTACAATTAAACTCCAAGGTAAAAAACGCTTAAGGCTGAATCAAGAACAAATTCACTAATTTCCTGGTCCGCTTGACCAATTAATACATTACAATTAATTAAAGTTTTTAGTTGAGATGAAAAAAAGTCAATGGCGATAACCACGGAAGTTGATGTCCGAGTGAATCGAGGTCACGATAGCTCAAGTGGTAGAGCAGCAGTGTATCTAGCCGAAGATCGTGGGTTCGAATCCTGCTCGTGCCACTGACTTTTTTTCATCTCAACTAAAAACCTTAATTAATTGTAATGTATTAATTGGTCAAGCGGACCACGAAATTAGTGAATTTAATTAATTAAAATGAAGTACACTTCACTGAAACTCTCTGTGGCCATTTCATTTGTTGTCGAGAAGCCAATCCGATTACACGACATTTGAAAAATGGCAAAAAGGAGGGAAAACTCATAAGGTGGGGTTGAGATGGGAAGTTGATGTCCGAGTGGATCGAGGTCATGATAGCTCAAGTGGTAGAGCAGCGGTGTATCTAGCCGAAGATCGTGGGTTCGAATCCCGCTCGTGCCATTGATTTTTTCATCTCAACTAAAAACCTTAATTAATTGTAATGTATCAAGAACAAAGATGTATTGTATGAAAATAATGAATGTACTTTCAAAAATCAAATAAACCAATATAAAATGTATGTATGTAAAATAATGAAAATGTAAAGGTCGTTTTTATATTTATTTCAGTATATATGTTTAAACACATACCATCTTCTCTGCTTGAAGTTGCACGCCCATGTCATGGATCAAGCTGCTTTTCCTTTTATTCTCAGCTTCGTCTATTTCTCTTTGTTTCTTTCTTCTGGCTGCTAACGTCCTTTGATAACCATGGGAACCACCAGACTGAGAAATCGCGATTTGCAATGCCGACACCCACTGAAGGCGGCTCCTATTTTGACATCAATTAGTCAAAATTTACGAGAAAGAATTCCAGAAATAGAAAATAAACAATACCTATGATCTCTTGGGGCGAGTTCAATAGTTCGATTCTCACTTGTGTGGATGAGCAACCTATTGACTGTCGAATCTACCCAGCAATTTGGATCAAGGGTGATAACTCCTACATCACATTATAAATTAACATGAAAAATCAGGTACATTTAAATTACGAGTTATATTATTTTTACCAGAGAGTAAAAAAGAGAGAGAAGAGTAAAGAAACATTTATTTAAAAACCAAGAACATTAGGACTAAAGCAAACATACCACACTGTTCCTTTTCATCAACATGTTTGTAGTATGTCAACTGATTAGGCTGCAAGACAAACCAGTATTCTCGTAGAGTGGGCAATAAGTAGCCACGTTTCATCAAAGTACCCTTAAACAACAAATTAAATTAGAGACACTAACATTTTATTAGGTATCATTCATACTTTTTTAATGACATCTCTAAGAAAAGTATTAGCTAGCCCTGTGATCGCTTCAACTAGAACAGGTTGGTCAACTCCTATGAGATATTTGCTCTCGAGTAGTGTGAGTAACGTTGAAAACTTGAAACCCGGTGTGTTGTACGTCAGACTGTCATAGCTCTCCTGATTCCAATCTCCTCCCAAAGATGTGACCAGCTGTGAAGTGACCAAGCCAACTTCACTTCTTTCCATAACAACCTGGAAGTCAACATTTAGAAATTATCACTGATCCACATTTTATTCCATACAAATTATTATCTAGAGAAACCTGGTACACATTCTGTTGTGTGGTGCTTTGACTAAGGTCAGCGAGCATGCAGAAAACTCTAAATAGGTGGTAGACACATTCGTCTGGTAAGATTTGGTGGTCCCTGGGCGTGTAGTTTCTTTTGCAAACTAACCAGCATACCTCATCTATTCTAGATTCGTAATCTCTTAATGCAACCGGAGAGATTGATTCGGGTAAAGATGAAAAAACCTTTAAAATTGAAGGGAAAAAAGAAAAGAAAAAAGAGAAAATAATAGTGTGATGGTTTCTTAACAAAATTACGAGATTACAAATTTATATAATGCAATAAATAATTATTAATGTTTATTAAAATTAAATAAAACATCAATTTCTCATAAAATTGAAATTAACTAGAGATGTTAATCAGGTGGAGACAAAACTATTCATACATATTTTGCTTTTTTTATAGTTTTTTATGCCATATAATAGTGCATATTTAAAGTTTTACTACTGTATATTATAAGGCATATTTGAATGTTTTTTAGTGTATATAATAGTGCATATTTGAGGTTTTTATGACAGATAACAGTGAATATTTGAGATTTTATTATTGTATATTATTATATGGCATATTTGAATGTTTTTTAGTGTATATAATAGTGCATATTTGAGGTTTTTATGACAGATAACAGTGAATATTTGAGATTTTATTATTGTATATTATTATATGGAATATTTGAATGTTTTTTAGTGTAAATAATAGTGCACAGTTGAAGTTTTATTAGTGCAAATGATATGGCATATATGAGGTTTTGATGGCATATATCAAGGCATATTTGAGGTTTTATCAGTGCAAATTATATGGCATTTGAGGTTTTTTATGGCATTATGGTATATAATAATATCGTTGGGTATAGTACTGGCCTTCATGATAAATAGTAAAGTAAAGAGATCAGGGATGAAGCCATGCACTGTGAAAGAGCCAACTTCTTTTTCTGCTGTCGAGCATGTGGCTGTATTTGACACCTTTCTCAGGACTTTGAATAACTATTTAAAAAAACTTTACAATCAGTCCAGACATGTGGTCCTAATATGGTTCTTTACTTTACTGTATATAATAATGAATATTTTGCTTTGTTTATAATTTATAAGTTGTTGTTTTTAAATTTTTTTATCATTTTATTATAATGCATATTTGAGATTTTTATGGCATATTAATGCATATTTTGCCTTTTTTATTGTTCTTTGTGACTTATAATAGTGCATATTTGAGGTTTTATTAGTGCATATTATATGGCATATTTGAGGTTTTTATGGCATAAATTAGTGCATATTGTAGATTTTATTAGTGCATATTACATGGCATAAAAATCAGACTCTTGTACAAAGCACAAAACTGGCATGGATGTACAATTTGTCTGCCTTCATCAATCGTTTAGAGTTATTGAATGCTCCTAAGAATTTGAATTTCTGTTTTGTATATACGTATTACTGAAATTATACTTTGGGTTTGCAGCATATACACGCATGAATGTACACATATACATGCAGACACACACACACACCTACATTACATTAGACAATTTGTCCGTATATACAAGTTTATGTTATTTGCAAAGATTAATCAATTTCTGCACCTTTTTAAATGTTTTATCCCAATAACGCCCATGGAATTTACTTTTAGCTCCCCTTCCTTAAAAAAAATATATAAAAATCAATCATTCGAAGAGGGGCTGTGGTAGCCGATATATCAACGTGTTAGACATTCGGTTCGTAGACCCCACAGTCATAGGTTTGATTCCCACCATCGCTCCTGGCCTTTTTTTCACATCCCCTTCCCCAAAAAATATAATTACAAAATACAATTAATTAGAGCTCTGGCTAATATTGACCAAATAAAGCCAATAAAAAATATATAAAATTTTATCTGGCTAATATTGAAAGATATAAGGTCATAAAAATAAAAAATAAAATGATTATCACAATTAAATGTATGAATTCATGAGTCATTGTCAGTCATTAGGTTGAGTGTGTCCTTCAGTTGACTGGGTCCTTAACTGAGGTCTTGGGATCAACTAAGTCCTCATGCTGACTGAGTTTCCCTTTTGAATCATTCACTTAAACCTCAGGTTGATATTCTTGACTGTGTCCTCCAGTTGATTCATAAATAACTATTGTCCATTAATTTTGGTAAATTACCAAATGTATTTTTGAGTTTTTGAGTAAGAAGAAGGCAATGCCTTGTTTATTTATTAATATGATTAAGAGATAGGATTTATTTTAAGTTTTGTAGTTGACATTTATTGACTTATTTTTTTGTTTGACAGATTAATGTTTCGATAGAGGATGATGAAAAGAAAACATCCATTGACTGTTGACTCATTGTAAATATGAACAGATATTTTAAATAAATTGTCTGTTGGTGTGTACCTTCCAGATTAGCACGTGCACTGTGCAGTATGTGTACAAATTTCAACCCCTCCTCTATGTTGTAGAAGGGGGGAGTGACACATTTCCTACAGCCTTGCCTGTGAATGCCCTAACTGAGCAAGTATGAGTCATAGCAACAACTACAGAGCTGAGTAAGGGCAAAAACCTTCAAACCTCTTAAGCGTGTGATTTTTTGTGTGTGATTTTAGAAATGATATACAAAAACTCTTCTCATTTGCCCATAATTAAACAATCTTTAATGTTTTTATTTTAATTAATAAAAAAGCAATAGTAATTTTATTTTTTAAGGTATATTTACCTCTTTAAGAAGATAGTATTTAAAGTGATAAAAATTTAGATTTGTTGTACTTCTGAAATGGTCAAGGCCTTTCTCCACTCCATATAAATCCAGTAGAGTTCCAATATTCGCAGTCAAAACCTTAGGGTAGGACAGTCATAAAAATTTGTAGAAAACAATCGATAAATAAATTTGAACAGTCAGTAAATAAAAATAAATAAATTAGATAAATACATTTTCAAACAAAAATAAATAAAACACCTGTTGTTCCTCAAGACACACACCTTTAGTTTTGACTTCATGACGTTCCCAGAGGAATCGGTCGAAAGGGAGTTGAAGGCATGCCAGATGCTGTTGGTGACATTCTTGAGAAGGGCTGCCATCGTCGAGCATTCCTTAAGTTTTGGGTTCTGGCATTCTGTCGAGAGTCGGTGTCATTGAAATGAACAACTCGACTGGTCGTGTAAAGGACTACCACTGTTATCAACCGGCCCCCACCCACTTGAGCCTCTAAGTTCTAAAGCTTTACAAATTCCTGAGGAGCATTCCATAACTGTCAAAAATGAATGAACAAGTTGTCAACTTGTGACAACCAATGAATTCATTCAATTGACAATGTGAAGATCTTTAAAAACAAACAAACTTTTATTTGTTAAACACAAATTTTTTAAATAAACATATTATTGACACTAATCTGTTACGTGTGCAGAATGCATAAAAATAAGTTAAAACAGAAGAACCAATAATATTATGACACGCTTAGGAATGTCTGTTTTAATTAACTTGTGATCATAATAAATCTTCTTTTTTTTTTAAATCATGTTGTACGGCCAAAGCATTATTTTAAATCATAAATCAACAACAAGACTTTTCATTTGGTTTAAATCCAATGTATGTATGTATAAAAAATTTAAAATGTATCCGCTCTGAATTTAAACTTTTCGAACTGGCACTAAGAAGGGATTACTTTGATATTGTTTTTGTATTTAAATTATTAAACAATCTCATTGATAGTCCTCTCTCCTCTCTCAACTACAGCTACATGTCCCTTCGCACTCTCTTAAAACCCACAAACTATTTTATATTGAATTCCAAAGGTCTAACTACATGCTCTCTTCTCCTCTACACAGATCAAGAGTAACAACATCTGCAATAGCATTGACTTCTTCAATAGTTCTGTGCAATCTGTGAAAAACCATATCCTACAACCTTAGTTTAGTTGAATGCTTTTATGTTTCATACTGTACAAAATTTATTACAATTTATTTCATTTACTGGTTCAACTAAATCTCGCACTCTAGTCTTATTATATATTTACAAAGAGCATTATTTTTAATAAATATGTACCTAAATATTGTAGTTTCAATTGTCTTTCAGCTTTATTTTGTTTCCTTTGCCTTATTTGGTTAGTAATTATGTCTTTCATTTTTGTTGTTCAGTTTTTACTCTTTAATTGTATTTTTATATTTATCATTTATATTTACCATTTATAATATTACCATGTAGATTATGTCCTTATTCTTTTTATATATATTATTTGTATTTTTACATACATTATTTGTATTTTTTGTTATTGTAAAATGTCTTTTTTATAGAGGATTTCGATCCGTAAATAAATAAATAAAATCTGCAGACTTCAACACCTGTGATAACATGCGAACATGAGTTCACAAAATGAATTCATTCAATTATCAATGTGAAGATCTTTGAAAGCAATCAAATTTTTATTTGATGAAAAAGAATTTAAATTTTTTTATGTAAACATTATTGAAATTATGATCTGTTACATGTGCAGAATGCATAAAAACAAGTTAAAACAGAAGAGCCAAGAATAATAAGACACACTTACGAGCGTCTATTTTATTAACTTGTGATCATAATAAATATTTTTTTTAAAATCATGTTGTATGCCCAAAGCATTATTTTAAATCAAAAATCAACAAACAAGAATTTTCATTTGGTATAAAATCTGCAGACTTCAACACCTGTCATAACGTGTGAACATGGGTGGTCAACTTGTGACAACTAATGAATTTATTCAATTATCGATGTGAAGAACTTTGAAAGCAAACAAATTTTTATTTGCTGAAAAAGAATTCAAATATTTTTTATTTACATCTTATTGATATTATGATCTGTTAGGTATGCAGAATGCATAAAAACAAGTTATAACAAAAGAGCCAAGAATATTAACTCACATAAACACAAGCATCCGAAGACTATAGTGCTGGAATCCTTCAGAATGGCACCAAGGATCTATGTGGAAGCCCTGGTAATCAAAAACATTTTGGAGAGATGGGAGCAACATTGGTCTGCGTCTGATGTGGGACAACACACACACACACACACACACACACACACACACACACACACACACACACACACACACACACACGAGTGTCTATTTTATTAATTTGTGACAATGATAATTTTTGTCAAATCTCTTTTAGCTTTTTTTAAAATCATATTGTTAATGTTGTCAAACCGAAAGCATTATTTTGAATCATAGTCATCAACAAACACGGATTTTCATTTTGTTCTAATTCCACAGAGGCAACACCTGTTGAAAATGTATGGACTGGAGTAGACAACTTGTGAAAATATCTCATGAATCCGTAAAGTATCATAAAATAAAAATTATTCTTTGCAAATAAACATTTTCTTTCAGTTGTTGCACAACATTATATATTTATAGGCTTTTGAAATGTCTAGCACCCGGGCATACTTTATAAATGTAAGCACTTCTTGCTCACTCCTAATTAATTTATACTGAAATCCTATCTAACCAACCATTGCTCTAAAGTGTAGTAGGCATTGAGTTCTCAGAAGTCAGATAAATACAAGCCGGCATCCCAAAAGGGAGCATTTTTTGTCCCATTCTTTATCATTTACACTACTGACCTACTCATTAATAAACAAGAAATTATTCTTTTTTTATAGTTTGTTTTAATTTTGAAAAATATTTAAACTTTGTTTTATAAAATGAATGAACTGGAGATGTTAACTTGTCACTTAACTTACACTAGTAATATGACCAGTGAATAAATTACCTTTATTCCAACAACTTAAGAAAATTATATAGTAATATTCTATAAATAGCATGCCATTTACTGTTTAGTATTTATTTGTTCAGGATGAAAAATATATATTATATGTTATAAGATAAGGGACCGGATTTAGTCCCCGGATTGATAAGATGAACGATATTGTCATCGAAGCAATTGTCGAATGGACTATTTTTTGTTTAAGATCAAGCTTTTAAAAAAAAAGAAAGGTTGATTGATTCCATCCAAATGTGGTCAAAGTACCGATAATAATATGAAAATATTTTTCTACAAATAAAACTAAATGTTTATTGGCAAAGATTAGTGCCTTGCGATGACAATTTATAAATTTGTAAATAAGAAATCATTAAGATAATATGCTGATAAGATAATATAAGCAATATATTTCAGATAAAAGTCAATAAAAAATTAATAAATAAAAAATATAATTTTAAATTTCATTTGTATATTGTGACTTTTAATATGGAAAAGTACTGTTTGTGTTGACTCTGAACAACCTTAATGTTCTGTCCTGCGCTAAAATGCAGGCGGCATCATTATCTCGAAAGTAGTGTGATGAGGAAAACACCGTAATCAATTTATTGTTAAATTGTAACTGAAAAAAGTATAATACTGTTTGCAACTGTAAAACTGTTGTTTAATTAGCCATACCTGAAACCCAGTATACTGTGATTCATGTGCTCTAATGACAAATGTCAAATTATTTATCTTCATAAAATTCATGAGGGCTTCATAACTGAAAGCGTGACCCGTTCCTCTTCTTATATTTGGTGCGAAACCGTTGTTCATACTTAGCTGGAAATCGATTGTATCCATATCGACATTTTCTCCTTCCCTGCAAAATTATATCAAAGTTATAGCTGTTGTTGCTTTAGAATAAAAAAATAAGTAAAATTAAATACTTTAGAGGGTCATTCCAAAGTAGTTCCCAAGCTAGTATGCTCTCTTCGTTAATTTTAGATAAAGGACAAGGTATTTTGTTTATCATATTAATTGACGGGCAAAGCCATGGTGGTGGAATTCCTCCATGACAACAGAAAATCTAAAATGAAGGATTATAATAACAATTAAAAAATAAATTAATAAATTATTATTGAATATTTTACTTTGTTGTCTATTCGTGCGGCTAAAGGCAAGCAATCAAAAACATTGTTTATTGTTTCCCACATTTGTTTCCCCAATCTGTCAAATTTCCTTAAGCATTCACTGTAATTGTAAAAATGTTTGCTAATTCTTCCAATCAAATAAGACATGCCATACAATCGTATTTACCTGTAAAATGTGAAATTCTTTTGTACATCTCTTATTTCGTGGTTGCCTCTCAATAGAAAAACTCGTCTAAAATTCTGCAACTTCTGCGCAAAGAGGTAGCCAACAACTTCAACACTGTACTCTCCTCTGTCGACATAATCGCCGAGAAATAGGACAGACATCGGGCTCAAATTAATGCCCAACCCCCAGAAAAACTGTTCAAAAGAAAATAGATCATGGTAATTACCATGAATGTCACCTTTAAACAAACAGGATTAAAAATTATAAAAAATAATAATAATAATAATAATAATAATAAGTTTATTAAACTGCATATATTTAGACATTGTTTTTACCCAGGATGTAAACTGGAGAATTCACTTCAATCATTCTGGGCTCTTTTTTCATTAAATCAACAAGTTTGTAGCAAACATCTTTCAATGCCATAGTAAAATCCTCAAATTTATCCTGTAGCAACAAATCACACATTGCATTAATTCCAAATCTGGAAAATCTCAATTTTCTAAAATTTTCTGTTAATTATAACACCGAGAATATGGACGAAAGAATATGGGTTGGTCAATATTTTTACTTCTTTATTAGATGCAAGAGTATTGGGGTAAATCTTGATAACCAAAGGGTTTAACTGGAATTTAAGCAGAGATATACGTTAAAAAATCACAGCATTGTCCTGAAATGTTTTCACTCATCACGGATGTAATTTTAATGGGCATGGGTCTCTATCTGACTTCAAATTACTAATAACTTTTTAGCCCAAAATGATGAATTATCAGAAGCAATTTTTCCCTTTGAATCTTTTTTTTTTTTTTAATGAAGAGACAATTCATGTGCAAAGTATTTGGAAAATGGTATGATTTCATAAGCCAGCATATAGCCTTGACCTAAACCACATAGGATGTTTTCCCAGGTAAAGTAAAATGACAAACATTAATGTCAGATATTAATGTCTTTGCTGAAGGAAAATATACCCCAGGACTACAACCGAAACATATAATGTTACAGTGAATGCAAGCTGTATTAATAAAAAAAGAGGGAACACATCTTACTACATCGGCTGGAATAAAAATATTTTTATTTTTTATATTCTAATTTTTTAAATAAATATTCTATTTTTACATTACATAATTAATTAAGATATGTAATACTGTTTCTAAGTATTTGTTAAAAAAATAAGGTTGGATGCTTTACCCCTCAGTGTATTTGTAATATTTACTTTTGGAAATATATTGCTGTAGGGGTTTTATCAACTCAAAATTTATTAATTAATGTTTTACCTGTTGCCAGCTGTATGGAGGTTTTAATGCCGAATGATCGTCACTTGCAAAATATTTAAGCGAGGACAATACAACATGGCATGACTGTAAAGCATCAAACATTGTGTAAGATGAACGATTAAGTGTGAGATCATTAGCTTCTTTACTCTTATAAAATGCGCCTAAACACAGCATTAATTAATGTTTTTTTTCCAAATTATAAGAATATGTGGAAACACTCACTGGACATAGATGACAAATCATCAACACCCAATACACCCCCTTTTCCAACGTATACGCATGTATTTGAAATGACATAATCTGGATCTATTTTATTATCCTTACAAACAGCAACTGTAAAAAAAAAGAAAATTACAAACAGGAAAATTTTGAAAATTGTCAGAAATTTAAGCAAACAACGTTTGATGCTGCAAATGACATGGGAACTGAACTTACGATTTTTATATGAATCTGCCCGTTCAGGTAATCGCTCTGTGTTATTGGCAGATTGCAATGCTCTTTTTCTGTTTAAAAAAAAAGTTTATTAGCTTACTGTGTACAAAGCGATCAATTGAAATTTTTTTAAAATCAATAATGTTATAAAATAACCTTAAATATGATATAATTTCACAAATGCTTTTTGGGTTAACTAGAACATTGTAGAACTCTTTGTATTTAATATTTTTGAGATGTTTGTGAAAATTAGTCAGTGTGAAAAATCTGTATTCTCCACCTATATTTCTGAAAAAAAAAAAATCAAAATTTAATAAATAAATTATTGCTGCATAGTTTATTAGACATTACCTTGTAACTGTTGTTAAACTTTGATCATTACTTGCTGTAGGTAGAAGTGCCTCGACAATCTCTCTGATATCTTTTGTCTCTAGTATACCATCACTATTTTTATCATAATATCTAAGGAAGAAAAAAAAATTAAATCAGCGAATGTTTAGTATAATGATATAATGTTTGTTACCTGAATACAAACAATACCCTGCTCTCTAGACCTAGCCCAGTGTGAATTGTTTTAGGTTCAAGTACAGCAATAATATGCAATAGTTCCCTGAAATTGATGCACTTTCTGTCTCTACTATCTGCCGCCCTATTAAAAAGTTTAATTAGTATAATTATTGTAGAACTAGGCAAGGAACTATTTCTACTGAACTACTAAATTCTTTAAACCTTAACAAATCTGGTGCCATGTTTGGATCGATTCCAATTCTGGAGGATAGTCTTTTGAGGGAATGTACACCCATAAAAAGAAATGGAAATGTGGTTTTTAAATATTCCTGGTAAAGGTAAATTTGATCTGAAATCGAATACTTTAATAATAGTTTTTTTTCTTCATTTATTAGATTATTTTTTTAAATATACAATTCATACCTTTTTCTTTTAATCTTAATCCAGCTAAAAGCGTATCTTTCAGATTTTGCATATTCATAATGTTGACAATAATGGAATATTTGTCAATTTCAACCAGCGTATCATTATCTAAAAGGTTTTATTAATTGTATGATAAGAAATAGAGCTTTTAGTTTATAAAAATGAGCAAAAACGAGAAACATCAATACATAATACATTATTAAGATAACATACATTACTAAGAGATATTTTTAAAAAAATTGACAATTATTTCTATTTTATCCATTTAATATTATTTATCCTACTTACTAATACTTGATTGCTGAATTTCTAATATCATTTGCATATCGGGCTCCTTATCGACTGGCGTTGAAATATAACAAAATATTTCTCCACAAAACTCATTTTCATTTACCAAAATTCCTATTTCCTCTACACTCAACCAAAAGTACTTTACTCTTCTATTCTAAACATTTAAATATAAATTAGAACTACAATGATTTTATTGTTTAACAGGAGGAAATGGTTGTTACATTTCTAAAATGCTTTTGGGTTAAAGAAGTTTTGCTTTTCATGTCACTGGTTAGGTTTAATCTGAATATTGCATTTGTTAGATACGGTAATGAATCGGATTGCCAGACTCTTATTATTTTCCATAACGTGGGCTGTGGTAAATCTTGGCCTGTGATCTGAAATAATGTAAAGTTATATCATTAACAATTAAAGAGATTGTTTACAATTTATTAGAATATTCTGTACTACGCTTGTATAAAGTTGAACCTATCACTTCTCGCAGACCCCAGGCATTCCAGCTTTTGTAATTTACAATAAATTACTGGTAGCCGGCGAGAATCACCCACATCAGATGTTAGCAGAGAAGCACTTGTATATCAAGAGCACTGTCACTCTCAGTGCCCTCCGAGGACCTGACTTGTAGAAAAATGGTCATCCTCACCCAAGAAAAGGCCATTTGAGGTTGACATACAGACCTTAATTTTGGGCCAAAGCCAATGGCATGGAGAGAAAGGTTGCTCGATGTGTCCCATCTAATTGAAGGCTGCAATTCCTTGACTTCATATAGAAGATGTGTAGGAATGTCATAAGATATGAGAATTGTGCTTGATCATAGCAGTGAATATTTTGAGTTCCCTGTTCTTATTCTTAGAGGAAACAGGGTTCTTTTATTGTATGTAGTACTGATAGTTTTGTGTTCCTAGTCTGAGTTGAAAGTGAATGTATTTATTAGCATGAATGTATAGTGTGAGAGAACTAAGGGTTGAATATTGAGAACCCCCATTGACTCTCAATTAGGTTAGTTATATAAGAGGTGTAGAGTGTGATGGAGGAATATCAAGTATTCCACATAGGAAAAAATATATTTAAGAATGAGTGAGAGTGTGAATGGGTGTGGATCTAGGAACTGCATGCTGAATTGATCTATCATGATAGCCCCTGGATGAATAACACTGAGGTGTGATCAGACTGCCAACACCCGAGGTATAAAGCTGTAATGCATAGAAAAGTGCTTAAAAAAAGTATTTGAGAGCAGCCTTCAAGGCTAGATCAAAGTGATTGTCAGGAGGTTGGGACATCCCAGCCATAGCCGCCTCATCCACCTTTTTAGCATGTCGTTTAACAAGTTTTAAACATAATTTTGATCAGTTTTGATGATCATTTTTATTTTGTATTTTACAGTGTATTTTGTACAGATTTGCTTATAAATATTTATAAGAATAATAAATGTTGAAGGTTTTATTCAATTTTATTTAATTTTTAATTATGCATGTAGTTTTAATAGGTCATATTTATTTCTGTCAGTCATTATCAAAAATTTAAACATATGTTAGAAAAAATGTTTTAACTAAAATTTATTATTGGTAGACAGTAAAATGCAGAACATTTCATAAATGCACAATTGAAACAAAATTATTTTACAATAGGTTGCGGTTTTTTCTGATGACAAGAACAATGATGTGACTCAATTGTTAAATAAAGGTAAATTAATAAAGAATTTGAGCTTTAATAAATAATTCCCTTGTCTAGAGAATTTTATATTACTTTTTAATTTGTAATATTGTTTGCAGGGAGTATATCGTAGATCCAGGGATAAGAAAATGCTATGGAATTGTAAGGAGTACAGTACCATTTTACATCCATCGCTTGCAGCATTTGTCCAAGTTGAACATTTTCCCTGGAAGTATGGTAAATGATAGCCTTTTTCGGGTTGAAAGGCAATTAGCCAGGCTTTTTCTACCAAGCAACCTATGATGACCGTCACTGCGTCTTCTTGTTGAAGCATACTGAAATTTGGATTCTTGGCGATTTTAGAAAAATAAAGTAATTTGGCTCTTTATGTATTTCTGAATTATACATATGTGAATTAAAATTAAATCAAATGTTTTATGATATTTTAAGTAAACAGTTTTCCCATTATTTACAATTTATGAATTATCATTGGAATAAAAGTATGATAACTAGGAAATGTTTTGCGAATTGAAACATCCCACCTGCCAGTTATGGAAATGTAACAGTAATATTATTTTATATGATGTGTCGCCATGTTTAATCTTTAAAAAAAATTCACCAAGTCAATAAACAATCGATTGGTTTAATTTAAAAGCACGTAATTTTGTTAGTATAACAGTAAATATTATTATGTAATAGAAAAATATTCTTACAATCTTCAGAAAAAATTGGTTTGTTTTTTTCAGTTGATTCTATGATAAATATGGAGATTCTATGTTGACTGTTAGTTGATCAACTTCTTGCAACTTGCAAAATGATTACAAAGTGATTTATAATTATATCTTAAAATATATTGAGGTAAAAATCTCACTTGCCATTGTTTATATTGTTGGGTCACAAGACAAAAGCACTAATTTCCAAAAAAATTAACTACCGGTATTAAAAAAATGGAAATATTAACTTTTAAAAGTATAATAATATCATGTTGGATGTTATCAAGTTTATTAGAATTAAAAATTTATTTAAAAAATATATCTGTGGTACATTTGCATTTTATAAATATACAATCAAAAATATGATGAGAAACTTAATATTACAAAAAAATAAAAAATAAAATAATCTGTTATATTAAGAAGATATATTTAAAAAATTGCTTTAATAAAAGAGTCTACTTATGTGACTAATATTAATCACTGTTTCTGTTGCATAAATTCTTTTGCTTTTACAAATTCAGCTTTGTGAATATCATTTCATGATGATAACTTTTCATAATATATTTTTTTAAGTAGACCACTGAAAGGCAAAACTAAGAACTTTTATAATAACTATAGAAACTAATAGAACTAACTATAGAAAAAGATAACTAAAGAACCTTTATAGTTCTATAGTTTTGCCTTTAAAAAAGTCAATTTATGACATTATGAATAATCTGGATCTCTGTGTCGTCTGGATGAAGAAATAAATTCCATTGTTCTGCCATGCTTTCAGCCTATTTTAAGGTCGTTATCAGGGCAAAATAAAAATGTCTTCAAATTGACATATTTAAGTTTTTAATGCAACAGTAGGTTTTACAGTCCTTGGCAATGTTGGGACTGAGTCGATCTTCTAAGAAATTTAAAAACGCGCATTAAAAATTAATTATGTCAATTTGTAGACATATTTAAGATTGTTTTGTCCTGATGATGTCCTTAAAATAAGTTGAAAGCTTGGCAGTAACAATTGATTTTTTTCATCCACTACTTAGATCTAAACTGTAAAAAAGTTGTCGATACATCTAACACTAAATTTGACAAAGCTCTTTATTTAAAATAGTCAAATGTTAACAAATATGTGTGTTTATTTAAAAAATTTCCTTGGCCTTAAAGTCATGTAGAATATTCGCTTTTTAATGTTATAGTAATTTTAATGTTAGATTAAATATTTAGCATGATGAATCAAAGATCAATTATCGTAAAGGGAGGTTAAGGGTTAAATTGTGAAAAGACAACTATAGAAGTGACGAATTGCCAAATATGACGATTTGTGACATCACACTTTACTGTTTTTAAATCAATAGAAGCATGTGCAATTTTATTTAAAAGCTTTCCAAACTAGATTTATTGTTTTTAAAGACATTTTATTGAAAGATTAAGTATACTAATTTATCCATGAAGTATAAGTGTGAAATGTAGGGGGGTAGTTGAGTGTTATACATCAGAAGGTAAAACTATAGAAGTAGAGAGGTTCTGTTTTTGCCGTTGTTTCATCCATCTGTAAAACTAGGTGTAATTGAGGTATAATTTGAAATATTTCTGTATATTCTAGTTGGTTTGCTGAAAAATGACAAAAAATAGGCTTTTGTTTATGTTAACAGGTCGGATTGAAACTTATGTTTAGTTCCATCAATCATAAAGATTTTTAGATGACATGTGATCTTGATTTGTTTAATATCAATACTTGTTTTCAAACTATTGCATGATGTGGAATTAAACGTTTTCAATTTTGTTTTTTCTTTGTTATTAAATTCTTGGTTTCTTCAGTACGTCTCGTAATTTATTATGAGTGAATTATGATATGTATGAGTCATATTTTAAGTACTGACTGCTGAATTTAATCCGTAGTTGGGTATTTCAATGCTGTAAGTCTACACAGTGGGCATCAAATGCTTGATTACTTAAATTTTATTTTAATTCTCTAAATGTTCTATAAATTTTCTTGGACTGTATCAAGAGAATGTTGCAATCAAACTATAGAAATATATAACCACTGAAGTGCCATCAAAAATATATATGTATGTTCAACAAAAATGCACCCCCACCTGTTTGAAGGTGGTGAAATGCCAAAAATCCATCTGATAGAAAAACAGCATAGGTAAATCAGGATGGCCATACAATTACGCTACAACTAATCATTATTGTTGTAAATATTTCATTACGGAAGAAATAGTCTATTACTCTTCTGAAAAAATTGAAACCTAGGTTTTATAATTTTTTGTGGATCAACCTTCCTGATTCCTCAAATTTCATCCTTCCTGATGATGGATACTAGGAAATCGTGGTTTTTTGATCCGCAAGCTCTGCAGGATTCTGGCTTATTGTACTTTTCTAGTAACTTAGTTCAGTCTGTAGATTCGAAACTTCTCCTAAGAAGTACTAGGTCATTGACTGTTGTTTCTTCAATTCCATTCCCTGGGTTTTATTTGTATCCCACTATGGAGTGTTTACTTTGCTTTCGAAGATTATATGGGTGGCTATTTTTTCCTCCTCATTGCATAATCTACAGATAGGGACAATATCCAAGCCTATACTCCGTTTAGCTCTCTCTAACTGTAGCAGTGAGTTTCCCAATCATGGTGAGGATTGTTTTAGCAAAGTTTACTGCGTCTAGCACCTCTAAGTTTACGCACTTTTCCTTTTACCTTTTTTCAATCCTTTCTGTGATGGAGGTTGAGTTTGATTGCTCATATTCTGGGCCTGAACAGACAATGCCTGATCTCCTCTGTTTTGGAGCCATATTTAAACCTTGCTGACTTGAAGAACTTCTTATCAGAAAGATTCATCATTTCAAAAGTTAAGGCAACACTTAGGGAAATTAGCCTATGTGAAACAATCTATCAACCTCTGCGTCCTTTTCAGTACTGATTCATTCTCCAATCTCTTAAAATTTCAAATTACCAAATATCCAGTATGCTTTTTGTTTTAAAATGTATCCATGATATCATTTCTATTGAGAGATTTATTCATGGTATCTGCGGGGTGATGAATCATTAATTTGGTTGTGATCATTTTGGTCTGCCTATCCTTCCTGTTTTGGTCTGTGAGATTTTGTGTTTTTTGCCATCTTGGCTAAAAATATAAATGGCGAGGATAGGCTGACCAAAATAATCTAAAACGATTATTTGGAGATGGTGAGATGTAGTCTGGTGTGACATTTTAGAAAAACATTTTCTTTATCGTGCCAACTTTTTAATCTGGCTGAACCATTGCCCATTTTTTCCCATTGTTGGCTCCTTTCACCTCAAAGAAGCCGACTCATAAAAAAATGTCTTTCTACCGTGGTAATTCAAAACCAGGTGGTAGAGCAGCGGCGTACCTAGCCGAAGGTCGTGGGTTCGAATCCCTCTCGTGCCATTAACTTTTTTCATCTCAACTAAAAACCTTAAGTAATTGTAATGTTTAATTGGTCAAGCGGACCACGAAATTAGTGAATTTAATGAATTAACTGAAGTACACTTCACTAAAGCTCTCCGTCGCCATTTCAATTGTCGTCGAGAATCCAAACCGATTACACGACATTTGAAAAATGGCAAAAGGAGGGAAAACTCATAAGGTGGGGTTGAGATGGGGAGTTGATGTCCGAGTGGATCGAGGTCACGATAGCTCAGGTGGTAGAGCAGCGGCGTATCTAGCCGAAGGTCGTGGGTTCGAATCCCTCTCGTGCCATTAACTTTTTTTCATCTCAACTAAAAACCTTAATTAATTGTAATGTTTTTCTAAAACCTACATCACACCAGACTATAATCATTTTAGATTATTTTAGTCAGCCTATCCTACATCAGCCTATTTACTAACGGTCACTAATCACCACACATAATCTAAAATAACCAAACTACACAACTTCCTCTGTTCCAAATCTTATGGTCTGTAGATGACACCCAGCCATATCAGACAGGCTAAAATTATTTACTGTTAAATAACAATTCATTATGTTAGATAGATTAGTCGGGGTGTGTATTATATTGCGCTCTTTAAGAGGCTGTTTCATCCCCCGTTGTTATAGCACACCAGTGAGTCTTAATTTATCAAGGAACAATGCACCATATTAGCGATTTGAGCCTCTGTTTTGTCATGATGACCCAGCACAATAAAAATATGAGTTGACGGTAGTGAAACTTGTTCATTGATTAAAATCTGTAGAACTGTTGTATAAATAATTTTGATCGTTTACTTATAAAAAAACCATATGAGTCCCACTTTATTCCTTTAAATTTATATTAATTTTTATAAAATCTTATTTATGGCTTTCTCTTGGCATTAGCAGTTTATTCAGTGTACTTTATTATTAATTGTGAATTGCTAGCAAATTAAAATTTAGCCAATTTACTAATCAGGCTCATAATGATCAAATGTTTATAGTTTTATTATACTTTTGATAAATATTTTAATGATTTGTTTTCTATTTTCTTTTCAGAAAATTATGGAGTTGTGTGCGAATACATCAAAACCACCACTTCCTGCTCTCTTTCTATTGAATGCCTTGAAAAAGCAGCCATCTGTTAAATGGGGCTCAGAGACTGTTTTACGATCTAACGGGTTGTCCCTGAAATCTGACTTCACAATAGTGAGGTATCTGGCACTTTCTGACAAAGAGGGAAAGTGGTTTGGCAGTCATGTTTTAGACGAAAGCGAAGTGAACCACTGGGTCTCTTTTAGCATTGGCCCACTTTCTTATCCTGATGAGTTTCAGGATGCTGTAGCTTATCTTGATCATAAGCTTAAACCATTGACCTACTTCGTTGCTAACCAACTTACATTAGCTGATATTGCAGTCTTTTCTCAGCTGCTTTGCAGCAGTAATTGGCACAATATGGTTAAAGAAAACAAATCGCCCCCAAATCTAATAAGGTGGTTTAATCTGATCAGTAATACTGAATTTGTGAAAAAGACGATTGCAAATTTGCCAGATTCTATTCAACTTATACAAAAGGAGATAAGCGGAAGAAAAGAAGAGGGGAAATTTGTCGACTTACCAAATGCTGAAATGGGAAAAGTAATTGTAAGATTTCCCCCAGAAGCAAGTGGCTATTTGCATATTGGACATGCAAAAGCCGCTCTTCTGAATCAGTATTATAAAGAAGCTTTCAATGGTAAACTTATTATGAGATTTGATGATACCAACCCTGCCAAGGAAAAAGTAGATTTTGAAAAGGTCATTTTAGAAGATTTAAAACTTTTAAAAATATCTTATGATATTTTTTCACATACTTCGAACTACTTTGATGTTATGTTGGAGATGTGCGAGAGACTACTTAAACAAGGCAAAGCATATGTAGACGACACAGATCCTGAAGTGATGAAAACAGAAAGAGAGCAAAAGGTTACGTCTAAAAATTGGGCCAACTCTGTTCAAAAGAACTTTGAGATGTGGCAGGAAATGTTGAAAGGCACTGCATATGGGCAGAAATGTTGTGTCAGGGCTAAAATTGATATGAATTCTCTAAATGGATGCATGAGAGACCCTACTATATACAGATGCAAAAATGAACCTCATCCCAAAACCGGTAATAAATACAAAGTGTACCCGACTTACGATTTTGCCTGTCCCATAGTGGATAGCATCGAAGGAGTCACCCATTGCCTTAGAACAATGGAGTATCATGACAGAGATGAACAGTTTTATTGGTTTATCGATGCCCTAGGTTTACGAAAACCATACATTTGGGAATATTCTCGTTTGAACATGGTGAATACCGTTCTTTCCAAAAGAAAACTTACCTGGATTGTGGACAACAAATACGTTACCGGGTGGGATGATCCTCGAATGCCGACTGTCAGGGGAATTATAAGAAGAGGTATGACAGTAGAAGGGTTAAAACAATTTATAATTTCACAAGGGTCATCACGTTCAGTAGTAGTAATGGAATGGGATAAAATTTGGGCAATTAACAAGAAAGTAATTGATCCGATTGCGCCACGGTATACAGCAGTTAGTAAGGACAATCATGTTGTTGTCCATGTTGAAGGTGTTAAAGAAGAATTTCTAAAAGTTGCAAAACACCCTAAAAATCCTGCTGTAGGGGAAAAAATGGTTTTGGTCGGGCCAGAAGTCATTGTTGATAAAGCTGACGCTGAAGTTTTTAAAGAAGGAGAAAACGTGACCTTTATCAACTGGGGAAACATCTTAATTAAAAAAGTTGTCAGGCAAAATGGAGAAGTCACAGAAGTTAAAGCAGTATCTAACTTGGAGGATAAAAATTTTAAAAAAACTCTTAAAATAACTTGGTTAGCAAAATCTGCTAAAGCATCTTTAATTCCATGTTATTGCCTTTACTTCGACAACATTATCAGTAAACCGATTCTTGGAAAAGATGAAGACTTTAAAGATTATATAAGCAAAGATACTATGACTGTAGTTGAAACCTATGTAGATCCAGATCTGGCAAGCTTGAAACAATCTGATATAATACAACTACAAAGAAAAGGATTTTTTATCTGCGATAGAAAGTATCATCCTCTGAATGAATACACTGGGGAAGATTGCCCCCTGGCACTTATTGCAATCCCTGATGGCCATACAAAAGAAATGCCAACTGCTTCTGCTGCTATGAAGACTGCAGTAAAAGCGCCGACTCCTGCTCCTGCCACCCTAGATTCGAAAGAATTATCAGATCAAATTACATCACTCGGTAATAAAATTAGGGAAATGAAAGCTTCAAAAGCTAGTAAAGATGATGTAAGCAAGGAAGTCAAATTACTTGTAGAGTTGAAAGCTTCCTATAAACATGCAACGGGGCATGACTGGAAGCCGATAAATGTGACCCAAGGGACCACAGATTCGAGTTCAGCAGTAGCTAGCAACCAAGTTGAAGAGCTTACAAAGAAAGTAAAGGAGCAAGGTGATGTTGTTAGAGAACTAAAAGCAAAAAAATCACCAAAAAGTGAAATTGATGCAGCTGTTAGCAAACTTCTATCATTAAAAGGAGAATACAAGCAACTGACAGGAAATGATTTTCCTGTAGAAGCCCGACAGACTAAAAGTGCAAATAAAGAGAAAAACGAACCTAAGATTCAACCGTCTTTGGCCTCAGTTGAATCAGAACAATTGAACGAAAAAATTACTCAGGTTGGTAATAAAATAAGGGAAATGAAAAGTGCAAAGGCTAGTAAAGAGGATATAACCAAAGAAGTGAACCAACTTTTGCAGTTGAAAGCATCTTTCAAAGTTTTAACAGGAGTTGAATGGAAACCAGTTGAAAAAAAGACTGTACCTCAATCTTCATCTCAAAATAATCAAATAACAGAGCTGACAAATAAAATCAAAGAGCAAGGTAATCTAGTGAAAGCATTGAAATCAAAAAGTGCTCCAAAAGAAGAAATAACTGCTGCAAATATTCTTTTATCGCTAAAAGGAGAATATAAGCAGTTGACTGGGAATGATTATCCTACAGACGATCAGTTAAAAGATTTAGTCACAGAAAAGGAAGGGTCCAAAAATAAGGAAACCAGCGAACAAACTACTGAATCGGTAAAACTTTCAGACAAAATTACTCAAGTGGGAAATAAAATTCGAGAAATGAAGGCTCATAAAGCTGATAAGGAAGAAATAGGTAAAGAAGTGAAACAGCTTTTAGAATTGAAAGCGTCATACAAACAATTAACAGGTCAAGAGTGGAATCCAGCGACTGCAAAACAAGAAACTAAACCTAAACCACAATCTCAACCTCAAACGCAAACTACCAAAGAAGAAAACAATCAAGTAGCAGAATTAACAAAGAAAATTAAAGAACAAGGTGATACTGTTAGAGCTTTAAAATCAACCAACTCTCCAAAAGATGAGGTAAACAGTGCAGTTAATACATTATTGTCTCTAAAAGCTGAGTACAAACAACTGACTGGCAATGATTTTCCTGTAGAAAGTCGGCAGAATAAAAGTTCAAATAAAGGAAAGAATGAATCTCGGAATGCCAAATCCAAAGTTGAGCAAAAGAAAGAAACAGACAGTGCAGTGAAAAAAGTAACAAGATTAGGACTGGAAGCTGAAAAAGAAACAAATTTGCCTGAATGGTATTCCCAGGTGTTAGTTAAAGGTGAAATGATCGAATATTATGATGTTAGTGGTTGTTACATTTTGAGACCTTGGTCATTTTCAATTTGGGAAAATATCAAGAATTGGTTGGATGTTGAAATTAAAAAATTGGGAGTTAAGAATTGTTACTTTCCTATATTTGTTTCAAGAAGCGTGTTAGAAAAAGAGAAAACGCACATTTCTGATTTTGCCCCGGAAGTAGCTTGGGTGACTAAATCTGGCGATAGTGACCTGGCTGAACCGATTGCTGTTAGACCAACCAGTGAAACAGTTATGTACCCGGCCTACGCTAAATGGATTCAGTCGTACAGAGATTTACCTATAAAGCTCAACCAGTGGAACAATGTCGTACGGTGGGAGTTTAAGCATCCACAACCATTTTTGAGGACAAGAGAATTCTTATGGCAGGAAGGACATACTGCTTTCGCGACATACAAAGAAGCAGAAGATGAAGTGTATACAATTTTGGATCTGTATGCAAAGGTGTACACCGAACTACTAGCAATCCCAGTTGTAAAAGGGCGTAAAACAGAAAAAGAAAAGTTTGCTGGAGGAGACTATACATTGACAGTTGAAGCTTTTATCTCAGCTAGTGGAAGGGCCATTCAAGGTGGCACGTCACACCACTTAGGCCATAATTTCTCAAAGATGTTCAGCATTGTTTATGAAGATCCTGAAACCCAGGAAAAGAAATTTGTGTACCAAAATTCTTGGGGAATTACGACTAGAACTATTGGTGTTATGATAATGGTTCATGCAGACAACCAAGGATTAGTACTTCCACCTCGAGTAGCCTCGCTTCAAGTAGTAATCGTTCCCTGTGGAATCACTGTCACTTTACCAGAAAGTGATAAAAATAAATTAATAGAAACATGTGAGCAATTGAAATCTGAGTTGGTTAATGCAGGAGTTAGAGCAGAAACTGACGTCAGAGATAATTATTCTCCTGGGTGGAAATTCAACCATTGGGAATTGAAAGGTGTACCTCTACGAATTGAAATTGGACCTAAGGACATACAGAAAGCAGAAATTGTTGCAGTCAGGCGAGATACACTAGGCAAAACATCAATTCCTATGAAAGATGCAGTTTCAAGAATTGCCTCTCTTTTGGAAACGATACAGTCAGCTCTTCTTCAAAAGGCAACCGATGACTTAAATAACCACATGGTAGTCTGCAAGGATTGGAAAAGTTTCTGCGAACATCTCGATAACAACAACATAATTCAAGCTCCATTCTGTGGGGAAATTGATTGTGAAGACAACATCAAAACTGATAGTGCGAGAAATGAAGATGTCGATTCAAATGCTCCATCGATGGGAGCGAAGAGTCTTTGCATTCCTTTTACACCACTCTTACCACACTCTCCTGAAGATAAATGTGTCCATCCAAAATGTTCAAAGAATTCAAAATATTATACACTCTTTGGAAGAAGTTATTAAAAGTGTAATAAGAAAGATCTTATTTAATTTATATATTTATTTTTAAACTTCCAAATAAATAATAATACAGTATATTATTTGTTTTTTTATGTATGTTTTCTCCTTTGTTCACATCTTTGAAAGCTAAAATCTTTTCTATAAATTCTCAAAAATGGAAAGTGTCAACTCACTCTGCTTATTACCCTTGACCTAATATATCTTTCCAAATAAATGTTTTTTAAATATTATTTTTTAAGGGAGAGTTCTTCTACTTACTAAATACTAATGTAAAATTTGTTATCGGCCAATTTGTGATTTTAGTGTATAACTTACGTATTGTAAATACTTCATAAAAGAAATAATATGTTTTGCACTAATGTCATAAGAAAACACATTTCGCTTTAAGAACTGATAAATGAGGAATATAAAAACTAGAGAATAATTGAGAGAAGAGCTACATCTGCGATGGTGTGACACAAGAATGTCATATTCTTTATTGTCTATTATTGGATCTACGTAGGCAACAATAATAAGATTTATACTTTTAAATTAAAACTGGTTAAAAAAAAAATGATGTACAAATTAAGTCTTTTCACTTGCTACATTTATTTTATTGATCATAAGGGGACTCTCAACACGACACACAAGAATGACCCAATTACGCAGAAAACAAACATTTTGAGCCCTGAAGATCTCAATAAAGATCGAAACATTGGCACAAAGAAAATATTTTTCTAAAATCTATGTCACACCAGACTGCATCTCATGATCTCTGTGAAACAAGAGATGTTAATGTTCCTGTTGAGAATGGCTTTTTTTCCTATTCTTTTTAATGGCTTTATGTTCTGAGCATATTAGCCAATGACAATGTTATTATGCGTATTCGTTTTGGGGGGAAGGGTAGCGTGAGAAAAAGGCCAGAGGAGACGGGAATCGAACCCACGATCGCGGGATCTACGAGCCGAGATTCTCTCACGCTAACCACTTGGCTACTGCGGCCCCTTGAGAATGGCTTCAATCTGCTGATACACTGATGGATCTAGAACAAAAGTAGGTATGGAGTAGGAGTCCTGGAGCCAAATACTCAAAACCCATAAGAAAATACTGTAGTATCTTCCGGGCTGAAGTTCATTCAATTGAGTGATGTACTCAGTTCAACTGAACCATGGGTACAAGAACAGCTAATGTAAGCATATGGATTTCACACTATCAAAGCGTATCTTAAAAGACAGGATGAAAATGAGGAAACAGTAGAATTCACTCATTGAACATAACTAATCCAACAACCTTCATGCGATTTTTGGAAGGAAAGAAACAACAGAGTGCATGCATCAAAGGAAGCAGGAAAACTTTAACTCCTAACAGAATTATTAACAGGACATTGAGAGAATAGGCATTTCAGGAAAAATGGTATAATCCAACACAGTATGGTTAGATTATGCAAGGAAGTAGGAGACACCAACACACACAACTACTAACAAACTGTGGCACATTTGCCTGCAGGAGGAACTGCATTTGGAAACCACAAAATAAAAGAAATTCAACCACTGAAACCAGGCCTACTAATCAAATTTCTGGATGGATTAACATCAATGGTGTTCTATAAGGAGAGGACAGGATACAATAGCTTTTAAAGGACAATACATTCACATCCCGAATATTGTATCTGCATCTAGTTTTGCTTTTGCAATTTCAGCTATCACGGTCCTGGTTCAGGTCGTTATTGTGAATATACCATGGTGTGTAAACCATGTTTTGTAGATCTTTGGAAATTTGCAATTTTTAGGTTTTTTGGGACATCCTAATAACTGTGTATGTCCATTATGATTGTAATATCTAGTTTTACATAAGTACTTTGTTGTGTACTGGCGTTTGGAATGCTTAAAAGCTAAGAAGGTCTTACGTTTTTTTTTTGTAACATTTACCTTGCTGTCTAGTGTAATTCTGTAAGCATTTTGTGTAGGTATTGTATTACAATTCTTAGAAATGGTTTCTTTAATTTTCTTATTAGTAAAATTTACACAAACTGCTTCAATTGATAGCAGAAATAATTTAAAAAAGGTGTAGTTGGTCTAGAGAGGTATCAACAAAAACAATATTTTGTGTTTCTAATGTGAACCGGTTTGAATAAACTTTTCTGTTATGTTTTTCCAGAAACATATATAAAAACCACCATAATAAAAAAGTTTTCATCTTCATTATCAGTCTCATTTCAATTTATTATCATTTATTAGTTCTCTTATACATTATTGATATCAGGGGGACGAAGGTGGCCGAGTGGATAGAGTGTCCGACTGACTCATATTAGCCATGCTAGAGGTCCTGGGTTTGAATCCTGGAATACACCCGACACTCAACAGGTATTTGGACATTAAGCACTCTGGATGAACAATATGTATACATTGGTTCCATGGAGACCAGAGTGGCCAAGTGGTTACGGTATCTGATTTGTATTTATTTGCCTTGCTACCAATTCTTGGTTGGTATTCTGGCACAACCCATGACTTTTTAATTGACAATGAAAAATATATTGTAAAATAGTTTGACTCCTCCTCCACAGCACTGAATGGGTAGTTCAATGTTAAGCCCTCCTGGATGGCAGGAATTATATATTTGTACACTAAGGAGCCTCGGGCCAAGCAATCACATATATTTGTGTAATTAATAATTATACAAATTAACAATTAATGTTAACTTTAATACAATTGATTAATATTAATTGTTAAAAAAAAGGTTTTGTCTCTCTGTTTAGTAAATTGTGGATGCAGGATAGAAGAGTAAACTTGATAAGTACCTAAGAAAAAGTAACAAGTTGTTAGCTTTCATTTTTATTAAAACAAAATATTAATATGTAAAAAAATTATTTTTACAAATGCTAGAACTGTTTTAATCACCTAAATTCATGTTAGCGTATTAACAAAAACATTAAACAATATTTTATATAGTTAACACATATATTAAAAAAAATTGTATTGAAATTATATATATTGTAATGTTGAAAGAGAATTACCTTTGGAATGAATAATAAATATGAATTTTATCATGTTTGTTTTAACACTTATTAGTCACTCAGTGCAAATGGTATTTTTAGTAAAACCGAGTGGGGGAGCACTCAATTTGTAGTAATTCATATTACCTATATCAGTGCAAGATAAGCAGTGGTTGAGCGTAAGTAATTCAGTCATGAATAGACTTCCCATCGGAAAGCTCGTTGTTGTTGTTTCAACAATCTTGTTTGGTAAGTGTCGAGTGACTAAATACAAACTTAATTCTAGGAATTGTTTGAATTTCAATAAGCAAATATCAAGGCGTGACATGACATCACATCTAAAATAAAAATAAAATAAAAATCAATAGCACAGTCACTCGTGAAATTTGTAGACATGATTCTTCTTTCATTACTTCTGTTTTATAATAACCTAGCTGAAGGATCTGAAGTTCCATTTATAAGAAAATGCTGCAACATCACAGAAACTTTAGTAGACAACAAATGTGAGACCACCGACATAAATTTTGAAAATTTAATCGTTGATCTATATCCACAACCTGATTTAATTGTCGATGTAGTAATTGGAGATGCCTGCAAACATGGAAGGTGAGTTGTAACATAATATTTACAAACAAATTCAATATAGTACAAACATTTTGTTGTTTACTGGACTAAAAATACATTGATTTTTCTGACCTCTTTTTGATTTAAATCCCTTAGCTATTGAAAATTATATTGCTCTTTTTTAATCGTTAATGAACGTGAGATTTTCACATTTTAAAAATGATATAAAATTTATAAATTATATGTTCATATGATTATTATATTTAAATATGTGCCTAAAAGCTACTTTTGGTAAAAGATGCATTCAATTCATATTTAATTTTGATAGGTTTCACATATCTAAAAAACAATTATAACATAATTAATTGTGAAATTATAAACAAAGCAAAACTATACAATACATATAGATGAGAAAAAAGAGGAATTAGGAAGAAATAAAATATTAATAATAAAAAATAAGAAAAATAAAAACAGGAGAAACAGAAAAGAAGGGATAAAGAAAATATAATTATAATTTACTTCCTAATGTAAGTCATTATTTAATAATCTTCCATAATGCAAGACAGCTTTTGTATAACTAATTTAAATATAGATTTTTTTCCAAAAATTAAACTTACACTTTGCAAAATAGTGAGCTCTGATGAGGGACCAGGGACGTGGCTTTCAAAGCATTAGCAATTGAAATATATGGCATAAAAATAAATGTTTAGTTAAAAAAAAAAAAAAACTAAACCAAAAATCTATATTTCAAATATTTTAACTGCCATTTTAAGTTGAAATTATTAAAAAAATAAAATTTGAACTAACTAATTTAGTTCAGTTGGGTCTATTAAGTAGATATCTAACGAACTTTTTTTCTCAACGCTGGTAGGCAATAAGGAACTGTTATAGAACTCAACGACAAAGTGGAATATGTCCTTCAGTTATAATTGCAAAGCATACATTCTTGCTGACTGAGAGGGTCATAGGACTTGTGATAAAAGTTCAGCACTTCTAACTGTATAAGCCAATGTAAGATGTAATATTCAGGATGTGTAATAGACTGCCCCCTTAGAGAGATATTATACTTCTATTCTGTACTAATAGCACACCATTAATCCTAATACATTAATAAATTCGATTAATAGGCTGGTTTCAGTAGACGAATTTCTTCTATAGTTTTATTGTACATCGCAAAACACTTCCTCCTGTGGGCTAATGCGGAGCCAAAGCTTGTTATTAGTTGTGTTGGTGTTTCAGACTCTGCACGTGTCATGTTGGGTTATACCAATCTTCTTCAGAATTCAGTCTACAGTTTCCGGTCAAGAATCCTGACAGGATTTGAAGTTTTTCTGGCTTCCTTTGATGCATTCTGTTGTTTCTTTCCATGCACAAATAATCCAAGGTATATCTGAAAAGATTTTACAGAAGCCTCAGTTCTTAGATCACCTGGTAGTTGAGCTTGGAGGGAACAACTGTTACAAAGTTTGTCCTAAGTCAACCAATGATGGATAGAAATTAAAAGAGGAGAGTTTTTTATTCTGACACAAATGATTATGAAAAAGAGAATCAATTGAATTTTTTTCAGCAATATTCGTTATAATCAGTGTAACCATTAATAATTATAACACTAAATTAACACAGGTCAAGAACAAAAATCAGTTTGATTCTTCAATGAAATTTATATCATGGTTTTATTAATATATCAATGACATGTACAGATTAGACACATACTGGAAATACCAATCCAATGACAAAGGCGATAAATATTTACAGCTTAAACAAATTGAAATATTTTTTAGCATTTTTGCATTAAACAGTACAGGATATCAAATTTAACAAACTAATATTGATTATGTGGGATTATTTTGATCTTTTTCAATGTTTTCTTAACTGTTTTTATTTCAGATATCGTCTGGAGCCTCAATTAGATAAAAATGATGAATTTGTTTTATTGGATGAAGGCTATCTCCAGATACCGGCTCTTAGCGATCCTCCTATTCACCCTTCGGAGTATTGTTTAGAGTCTTTTAAAATGGATGACGGTTCTGTTGCTGTGCTTCCGCTTATCTGTTTTCCACAACCAGTAGTCGAACCGTTATGGAAGACCATAACGGACGTGATATATCCATTAGGTATTATATACAGCGTATTGATACAATATTTCATGCATTAATTTAACACAATTTCAGGCTGTATTATATCAGTGCCTTTTCTTATCATGATACTTTTTGTCTATCTTGGGATTTCGGAATTAAAAGACACATATGGTAAATTAGTGTCGTGTCATTGCTTCTGCCTAGCTGTCGCATACGCTACCCTTGGAATTGTTCATATTTTTGGAAGTGATCTTACTCAAGAAATGTGCATTGGTTTTGGTAACACATTTTTTATATTTGTTTTACGTTAATAATTTATTATTAATAATATATTTTTGTTTTGTTTCAGCATATATAATACAATTTTCATTTCTATCATGCTTTATTTGGTTAAATATACTTTGTTTTCATACTTGGAAGAGACTAACGTAAGTGAATTTCCAGTAATAAAAGAAAATTGTTAAATAGAATGTGTGTTAAATAAAAATTTATAATGAAACAATTTCAGGAGAAAGGCCACACACAATACAACTTCTTCAAGCTCTGATAAATGTGTGTTTTTCAAATATAATTTATTTGCCTGGGGTATTCCAACCGCTATTGTAGTAATTACTGTAGTGATGGACTATACTCCTTCAATTCCTTTATCCTACTTAAAACCAAATATGGGAGTCAGCGCTTGTTGGTTCCAAGGTGAGATATGCATACTCTAATAATTAAAAAAGTTATTTTAAAAATCTACTCTACTACAAATGAAGCTTGATTATCATCGATAATATTGGTGGGTCTAATGTCAAATTAATAAAAAATAAAAGAGGATATTGTTTGTTCTTATTTTTTATAAATAAACAGACTGATAGATTGACATATAGACCGACTGACGTACAATAGGCAGACCAGGATGATAGGAGACGATCAAGTTAAAGGTTCACACAATATTTTACAAAATGTTTTTGTTGTTTCCAGGAGACAAATCAGTTATTCCATTCTTCTACGGTCCGATTATTTTAGTACTTATAGGCAACACTGTATATTTTGTATTGACAGCTAGATTTCTTCACAAAAACAGAAATAAAAAAAATGGAACAAGCGAAATACACCATCTGTCTGATGTAGTTAATGCTGTTATTATAAACAGAAAAGAAAAATTGTGAGTTGCAATACTATTACGAAAAAATTTAACTAATGAATCAGTGTAAAGATAAATATTTTGTTTTGTAGATTTATGCAAGTGCTTGTTTTATTCTGTATGATGGGACTGAATTGGATCCTCGAGGTTTTGTCTTGGGCTATTGGCAGTCCTTCTCAATTCTGGATAATCACCGATGTCCTAAACACCCTTCAAGGGCCTATCTTGTTTTGGGTATTCGTCTTAAATGATATGAGAGTGCGGCAGTGCGCAAAGGCCAAATATTGCAAATGCTGTTTACCAAAAAGTGAAACAACGCCAGAGGAAACGTTAATGGTAGAATTGCCCGAGGTTATAAGGAGGGTGTAAAACACCAAAAACTATTATTTATTTATTTATTTAATTTAATATAACATTTGTTGTATTAAATTAAAACTGACTAACCCATTAAATTAATTTCTAATTAAAGAAATGCGATCTAAAAGCAAATGGTCATGTTTTGCTAGTCTCATAATTGTAAAACATTGGTAAAAAATGTATCGTTGATCTAACTTATAACATAATTTAAAGAAATTTCTAATAAACTTTAAATATTTATTTAAAACTATTATAAAAAAAATTTAATGCATGCTGCAAAATAAGCAAAATAATTTTATATTCAATACTGTAAACTTTTAGTATTAAAAAGTCAAAAAAACCTAGTTTAGGTAGGTAAATTTAGAATTAACAATTAAAAATAGAATATTTTATATAAATTAAACTGTGGCCTTGTGGGAATGCTGGATCGTATAAAACCAACTATATTCTACACTGAAGGCTGATACTAATGACAAATTCCAAACTTTAATATTTCAATTATGAAGATAAAGAAAAAAATATATTGAAAATAATTATGTTAACATTATTATTATCAGTAATATGGAAAAAGGTAAAGAATAATAAAGCTTTAATTCATTTTCAAATTTTAATTATAATTATATGCAATAATATTTTTTAGGTAACTAAGTTTATATTACATTATTATTATGTTGTAAATATTTATCACAAATATACGTAACTCAGAAATCCCTGGTTTGTTCCTGGACGGATTTTATTTGACATTAAATTAAAATTTTTATTATTACACACAGTTAATTTTATATGTTATATGTTAATATACACTAATTACCAATTATTGTGTCACTTAATTTTACTTTACTGCTGTCTCTAGCTAAACAAAATAAATTTGTAAGCAAATTGTCAAGATATTGCTAAAATTCAGCTGTTCTCAAACCAAGGTGGGAATCATTTGATCAAAATCCAAAAAAAGTACGTTGGACGTATTCATTTCTATTTTAGGACCATCGGGGAAGCTCATTTCAAACAGATTTTTGGGATGAATCTAAAAAAAAAATTTTTACATTGAGTGTTGAAATTCTTCATTTTGGTCCAAGAGCTTATGAAAGGTAAATTCTTAGCAATTACAATTTTTTTTTTATTATAAAAGGCCCTCAAAGTTAAATTAAATTACCTTCTTAGCTCTCGCATGATCGAAATTAAATCCCATGAAAAATGGAATTGTTTTAAGGGTCAGTAGAGATCTCAATCTTTTTGTCGGATCTGGCTGGAGGAGTCGTCCGATTAAATCCCTCGCAGCAACAGAAAGTCCAACATCTTCGAGTTTGCCAGGAGTTGACGTGTTACCACTGCAAGGATACTGAAACAGAAAAAATATTATATTTACAACACTGGTAGTGCATTATTACATATGCAATATATAATATACTTTTCTCAGTTCACAGATTTTTATAAATTCAATTCTTTGAAATATAATATAATTGAATAAAAAATTTAATGTAATCTAAAGAACATGCAAATTGATCAACTAATAGGCATGGTTAAAAATCACCAATTAATCTCACAATAATAAAATAAATAATATGTAGGCAGAAGTCTTAAATTGATCGAATTTAATTAAGATCTCTTAATTACTTCTGAAAACTCTCTTCCAATTGGAAATCTTATCGATCCAATTTGGTAACCAATGATTTTTTTTAACAACACATATTGTTTGGCGAATTTTTAATGATTTTTTTGCGATACAAATGATGTAGCATGTCTTTTGATGGATTGATGAGTGCCTAAGGGGGCAAGTCTCGAGGAAGTCGGAAGTTCTATAAGGAGATGGTCAAACCATGACCTTGGTCTATCTATAAATAGTCCTAAAGTTGGTCGCTGCATTTTTGCTATGAGTAGGGAGGTGTTGACCTAGGGTACACGAGGGCGTTCACCCTTGGGTCACCTTCACCCCACCTCCTGAGGCCCTCAAATCGACGGGTCAACGAACAGGGTAAGAAGTTATAAGGGTGAAGCAAGAGTTGACAATAGTGGCTAGTCCCGGTCTACCTCTAATGGAAGCCTGTTCGATCCCAAATATGGTACGATAGGACGCTGACCGTCTTCCAGGGTCAAGGAACAGTCGGCCGATTTGGATCTGGATCCTGTGACAACTGCAACAAGGGAGAAAGGCGTCTTTGACAGAGTTAGGAGTCTGGAATTTTTATAGCCACTCCGACGCCAGAATATAATTATGCGGATCGGGAACGAAAGCAGTTTTCAACCAGAAGCTAAAATAATCGAAGAAAACCGCATTCCCTCTATTATAGCCATTACGATAAGCCATAAAAACACACATTAATAATGAAGTCTTATTCTTCCCCTTTTTTTCAAGTTTGAAAAATAAATTGCCACTATTTATTGCATCCTGTGCAAAATAAATTGATTTTGAGCTCCTGAATAAATCACCCTCATTTTGGGTTTCAACATTTTTTTTAAATGTGTGGTGATTAGTGACCGTTAATCGATATTTATTTAGAAATCGTGAGATGCGGTCTGGTGTGAGTAGGTTTCAGAAAAACATTTTCTTTTTGTACAATTTGGATGTAGAAAAGTGGAAAAAATATATTTTGCATTGTATAAATTCACTTTTCCACATCCAAAATGTAATTTTTATATGTAAACAATGTTTGTAAATCCCAAGCCCTGAAGATGATCTCAATAAAGATCGAAACGTTGGCACGATAAAGAAAATGTTTTTCTGAAACCTACATCACACCAGACCGCATCGCACGATTTCTAAATAAAATTTTTTATTAAAGAGAATAGAGTGTAGAGTAGCATATCTACTCCAAAAAACGTTGAGAGACTAATGGTCGTCATCGAATAAACTTAAAAATATGCCAATATATTTTTTCCAATCCCTCTTAAACGACACAAATAACATTAATCTGTCAAAAAAAACTTAGTTGGTAACAGCCAAGGGCTTGTAAACAAGTTATGAAAAGTGAAACAAGCATGGATAAGTTCCAAACAAGCTGAACCTGAAAACATGCCAGTCCTCCTTCCAATTCCAAGGGAGAACCTGACTTGTGAAAAAGTTTTGGATTGGCGGTGCCCGATCTTGGGGAATTTCTTTCAACAAACCAAAGGCACACTTTCAATGGAAAGCAAAACGTTCCAAAACTGACAGACTCGAGCTTCTAGCTTCGAGAGGCCATATCGTTGAGTTATGAAGGACAGTGGAATGTGAAGAAAGAACAAAATGAGTGTTAAACTCATCTGGGGATGCTGGGAAAACTGGAGGTGTTTGGGATGATTTACAGAGGGTGAGTTTCCGTAGAATGTGGGGTTAGGGGCAGAAGAAAAGGCGTCACAGATCAAAAAGTGTCTGATGAGTGTAATCGGAATAGTGTTTGAGAGCCAGAGTTTATCCAATTTGCAAGAAAGCGTAAATAACTTATTCTGAAAGGTGAAAATACTACTAAGGAGAGAAGAAAATCAATGAAAAGAAATGTGGAAAAAAACAAGTAATACATTTATTCCCTTAATGATATATTAAACTTTTTTCTTCAAATTTCCGTTAAAATCCGGTTGTTCAATGACTAATACAACTGGATGGAAAGGATGTCAAGTTTTTTCCTTTTTCCTAAGCATGGCCGAAGAAATTCTCGCAGATAAGTACATAACCAGCTAACGATGGAATTAAATCGGCTCGACTTTACGGCCGACATAAAAATGTCGCTTATCTCCTTCATGATCGAAATGATCGGCATGAATACGATGTTGCTACTGTACAGGTGTCCGGTTTAAAAATAGATCCAGGGAGTTGACCGCTACTCCTTCGTCTAAAAATATGCGGAGGACATGCAAATCGGAACTGTCCGGTATAACAGAATTAGCCTTCGATTCTCGTGTGCAAATCTCAGTCATTCTCTTTTTTTCAGGTACGATCGTTTTGATAAAATTTCGTACCAGAACAGAAGATCCGCACTTTCGGTTCAAATTCAACGGCCGGGTTTGACGCTAAAGCTGGGAATTGTTGATTTTGGATGGAAAGCCTTGTGGTTTCAAGATTGAATCAAAATTCTATAGGTGGATCGAGTGACATCCTTGGTCAAATTGGGCAAACAAGTTTTCTATGGATAAAAATGATATTAGTCCTTTTAAATAATAACGGCAATTTGACTTTCAAAAAGCAAAAAGCACAGAGGATGCGTTTGTAAATTTTTTTACCATGGTCTATAACGAGTTGACCAATGGTTGCTGGATTCTTTCTTGATAGTACAAAAGCTTTTGGCACCTTAGATGTTGAAATTTTAATTCAAAAGTTGGATGATACAGGGTGTTGTATTGAAATGGTTCCAGTCGTATATTTCTGAACGCAATCAAGGACCGAGTACAAGTACAAATATAGATAATGGGATTCCACAAGACTGTGTGCATGTTAACATTTTGTGCACTGAAAGTCTACAAGGAACATTAACCACCTATGCAGATGATATTTCTGCTCATTACTCAGGCAAATGGATGTAGAAAGGTAGATGCAATCTGACATGAAACCTGTACTATACCTCTATCTTTTACTAAAGGGAATTTTTCAATAAAGGTCGGAATTATATCAACAAATATAAAAAAAGAAAAATAATGTGAGATTGTATAATGTGTGTCTTATAAATAGCGTGTTGCTCCAACCCAAATTAAAATTTGTTGAATTATTTTTTGTATGAAGGCCCTAAATGGTTCCATTTGGTCCCTAATGAGATCAAATGTGATGTAAATCCCAAAATATTTACAGAAAGATTCAAGTGTTGGCTCTTTAAGTATATGATTAAGAACAGTGATAATTAGTATTACTATTTATAAAACAAAATTCTTAGGTTTTCATGATTATTTATTGTATTTTTACAACTTGTAACTATTATTATTTTTTGTCTCTCCACGTTTGGTAATGTTGTTCCCTGTTCACTAGTTTATCCCTCAATCCATTTTTATCCCACTGTCTTGTTGCTAGCCCTTAAACAGGTACCTCAAGCCTGCTTCACCAACTTAAGATATATAAATGTATACATTTTTCATTTGTATTAGGGTGGGGGGACTAAGTTCTTAAGCATTTGTGAAACGTAAATCCAACCCGGGAAAGAACTGCGTGATTTTTAAACGGAATAATTTCTCAGTAAATTAAAGATGAAATAGTAAAATATGAGGTCAAATTTTCAGCAGAACACCGACAGTTCGGTCAAAATGAAACAATATCACAAACAGTACTGGCAAATTTTAAGGTCAGGAAATATTTACAAGTTTATTAGCTTTTTCAGCTTGCAGAAAATAACGGCTCATTGTTGACAACGCTCTAAGTTGACCAAAAGATTTCAAGATCTTATTTGCCTTGTTGTATTCATGTGAACTGCTTGCTGTTCTATCCACTTCGCCCAAGTGTACATTTTGTTTAAGGACTTCTCGTAAAAATATTTTGCGAAAAACTTTACGAAATAATGTTTCCAACTCGAACTGTCAAGGAAAATCGGCCAGCACCACTGAATAGAAATGGTATTGAAAGCCTTTTGTTGGTCACGCGGTAAAAATTTGCCTTTAGATTAACTTCTGTTACGGTCAAAGCAAAAAAATTTGCGGGTCAATGGGAGAAGAAAGCCAAATGGGGAAAAAATCGCTTTAAAGATGTTAGGAACAATAAAAGCATGACAATATATACATGGATTTATTTTTAACATAATAAAATCTATCTAAAGTCTAACTTTTTATTATATTTATTAAAGAGATTTGTGTATTTATTGAGAATATTTTATTGGAATTTCGGGGAAGAAAAGCCTAAAATGGGTTGAAATGAAGCAGAAGCAAATGAAACAGATAAACCCTCTGGTTTTAATCATCACAGCATACATACAATCCAGATTTGAAGAGAAAAAACACTGGGAAAAAAAACGTGCACAAGGAAGTAAGCTTGTCAATACACACATAACTCCCAAGGCGGAAAAGGCAAACCACTTATGCTATTTGAAACGTAATAAAAAAATAAGATTCGGATGAACCCAATTGAATTGGTGCCCTTATCAAATCATCAAGACTTTACAGGAAAGAAAGGCCCAGAACCGTTCCGAAGGCGAATGTCTTTTAAATTATTGATTTAAGCCCTGTTGTCCGTCGAATTAGTTCCTATACCAAGAGTGTAGAATGTTTTGTTTCAAACATAAGATTGCATTAATGAATTTTATTATTTAAACCCTCCCGGGCAAGAGGTTAAACTGCGTCCAATACCCCTCCTGTACCTGGTGGCCTTCCGTAACACTTTATCCCCTTACTAACCTCATTACCTAACCTTCCACTCCTATAATAACCCCTTCCCCAACACTAACCTCCTCC